GGCATTAAGAGAGTACAAGTGGTGCAGCCGACGAGAGTTAGGGCGGAGACAGCGAGCCTCAACTTGTGCTTCAGTAGAAGCCTCCATAAAAGCGCCCCACTTATGACGCGCGGCGGCGGCGGATTGGAGTCCGAGTCTATGTTAGAGAGATTGTAATATATCTCTCAATTACAATATTACATAATTATTTGGACTAAAACACAAGAAGAATACGCTGCAGCGAAATATGCACCAATCTTGGTGCACGGACGCGCAACATCGCCCGTTTGGGCGCTGCAGCGCATGGGCACTAGGCGCGCTGCAGCGCCCGCTTTGGGTGCTGCAGCGCACCTCTTGGGCGCTACAGCGCGCACAAAACAAACCTCTCGAGTCTGTTTTGCGCTGCCCGAGTGCTGCAGCGGGAATATCATCCGCTGCATCGCAAATTGCTACCGAAAACGTGTTTTCGTGTGTTTTAGTGATCTAAAAGGTTTTGGACCATTACATCCATTGGTGATATGTTTTTTCATATATCTGACCACTTATTAACAATAGATATAACCATTGTTATAAGTGCATCAGCCCATGAAAAGATACCTTCATATTGGAAAAGGCATCTTTATGTGAAAGGTTGTAACGTTTAAAGAGGATGCATGCACCCTTGTCTTTAATTAATGCTCCAGAAAATATACAGACTTACTTTTTGTTCTGGAACTCAATATTTTTGCTGGATATTGTGTTTAAGGGTTTGTTGTATCTTGGGGGTAATTTGCCCTTAAAAACTCATTAGCAAACTTTGAGAAGTGAGGACAAATAAAACCTTAAAGGAAAGTATTCCTATACGCCTCAAACCCTCTTCTTGTTTTATATATTCTTTTCATCCTCCTAAATCCGAATTTCCAACAATCTATCTTCGGGTCGGGTTTGCTAATGATCGGGTCGGAAGCTGGTCCTGAGACGTATGCAAATATAGTGGTGATGGTGGGGCTGTTGGCCCATCGGAGTGGCAGGAAGGAGTGTGCCTGGTGAAGGGGACAGAGGGAGGAAAGCACAAGTTGGAGTGGGGAACAAGATAGCTTCTTTTCCTTTGATGACGATGATGAAGATATGGAAGTGATGAAGAAGTGTTCCAAATTTCTGGGATGGCTCGAGAACGGTGATAAGGGAACAGAGAAGATGGAGATAAGGGAACTGAGAAGATGGAGATAAGAGAACGAAGAGAGAAGTGAAAGTAAGAAAAATTACTCAGAAACTGGGGAAAATGAAAATGGGGAAATGGGAAACGACTTTAGTTCGTTTTCAGAAATGCCTCAATCTTTGGGAAGATGACAAAAACGTTTTTGATTTTGATTTTTGTACGGTATCACCCCAAACACAATTCCCCTTTCATTTTCATTTTTTTGCTCCTCAGAAAACGTGAAAAACGTTTTCAAAAACATAAACAAACACGCACTACATGTTTGTAGTATAGAACTACGGCATGTCATGTTATCTAAGGCATTAAAACCCTAAGGGAAAAGAAACAAATACCCCTCTTAAAATGTATGGATATGAATTTTTATCATTTATTTTTAATTAATACCTTTATGATCAAACAACTATATTTATCAAAATGATATTAATTAAGAGTGAGGGAAAAAAATCAGACTCATGCACTCTAATAGTAAGTTTAACAATTTTTTCTTTGTATAAATAAAACTAAAAAATTTTATTTTAAAAAAAAATGTTACAAAATAAGAAAAGAAAAGGACAAAGTAAAAAAAAAAAAAAAACAATAATAATGTTGCCGCATTAGGTTCCTACTCAATAATAGGATTTTGGGTCACGGAGCATGGGGTACTTCACGGGGTACTTCACAGGTAAGGTATACACTCTATTATTGATGGTGTTTACTGTTTAGTACTAGTCCAAACATTTTTCAAAATGGTAATATTTATTACAGTGAATTTTATATCTTGTTACTTGTTATAATTATACAATTATCTGAAAGCTGCTATTGGCTAGGGTTTCTTTTGATTTGTAGGGTTTGTGGGAGAAGGGAATCAACAACGTAAAATCCTTTATTAAAAAATATATATATACTCAAGAGTCACCCAAAACTATTTTAGAATTTGCTTTCAAGAAAACTATTTTAGAATTATTTTCCCCACATTAAACCCCTTATTCTTATTTCCTATGCACATAATGTACAAAAAGGGAGAATGGAGTAAATAGAAGTTATTGTAAATAATTAATGTAAATAGTAAATTTTTAAAGTATTTGAAGTAAATGGTAGTAAATTAAAATTTTAAGTTGTAAAAAAAAATTTTTACGAGTCGTAAATAGAAAATTCACGTGGTAAAAAAAATCTTTTCATGAGTTATAAATAGAAAATTTACATGGTAAAAAAATCCTTTACCTAACAGATAAATAGAAAATTTACCTGATAAAGAAATCTTTTACCTACTATTTACTTCAAGTATTTAGAGTCGTAAATAGAAAATTCACGTGGTAAAAAATCTTTTTATGAGTAATAAATAGAATATTTACATGATAAAAAAATCTTTTACTTACTATTTATTTCAAATATTTTAAAATTTACTATTTATTTAATTTAATTTCGTAAAAATGTTATCTACTACAATATATGTATACAAAAATTTAAGAAAGGAGATTAAATGAGACGTTTTCAAGGAGAAGAAAACTTACAATTGCAAGTCCACGGAGCCGAGAATTTTCTAAATTTGACCCCAAAAAAATTACTGCTTTAAAGTGTTAATTATTTATAAGAAATAGAATATCCCTATTTTCCAGCAAAAAATAAAAACTATAAAATAGAATCTCTAGCATTATTATTATTAAAAAAAAAAGCACTATCTAAAATCACCAATTCTTCCTTATAATTAGGAAAATATATAAATAAATAAGAAACGTACGTTTCTTGAAGCGCAATAAAAGAATATCTCGTTAGGGCTCGGGTGTTCAAATTTCTACCTTCTCTCCCCATATTGTCATCTGTCCCCATCATCCAGTACTACTGCCACGGTGCCACCGCCCACCGCCGACGAAAAGTAACCTCCATCTCTTTTTTTGTTTGATCGCTTTTTCTTTTGTATTAATTTTTTTTTCTTTTGACTTTCTGCACTCTTCTAAGCATGCATGAGAATTCATGACCTATTTTTAAGGTTTTCTTGCAACTTTCTCGGGAGACCAACAACCTTATAATCAATCTTTTCATCTCAACCTTTCTTGAAGAAACCAGGTCCAAAGTGCAACTGGAATTCTTGAGCTTATGATCAGAATACTATAATTAGTTTTTTCTTTCTTAGTCATGTAATAATGCAATTGCTACGTATAAAAAAGATGGCATACGGTTAATCTCTTTAATTTCGGATCCATATATTTAACTACATTGAGTTGGGTTCAGTTTCTACATATAATTATCACACTTTTCTTTTCATATTGATGTTTTGCTCTCTCTTCTATTTCCTATTTTATTATTATTTTGATCTTTTTTATCTTTCACAAAGAGAAACATGTTTTTTTTTTTTTTTTTAATCAATGTGTTAGTGTTCAGGTTATGTAAGAGGTTTGACATGAAATTAACAACTGTGATATCTTTCCCTCTTCTACTCTTCTTCGTCTTCGCAATTCATAGAGGTTAGGGCAAAACCATATTCTGCAAAACCCTCACTGATCTCAACAGCCATACTTCGACGACAAGCTTCTGTTCTCCTCCGCCCACAGTTTCCAGATTAGGGTTTGGATTCCGTTGGATTTGACTGCTTTCTTTTTGTATGGTCTGTTGAGAATTCGATTTTGCTTTTTGTTAATGAAATTAAAGAGAAGCTCACATAGCTCACATTGTCTAGGTCTTCAGAATATTTCGATTCTTGATTTGGTTTCTTTGAAATTTTGTGAAATTACCGCGATAGTTTTCATCTTTGATGGTTTTGGTTATGGATTTACTTGTTCATTGGAATTTTACGGGTTCACTGATTTGCTTATGGATAGGAGTTTTCAATCCATTGCTTGAGGGTTTTAACTCGAGATTTAAACTCGAACATGTACTTGTCTGGTTGGAAGTTTTAACTTTCCGTTGTATTTTGGGGCTATTGTTGTTTTCTTAGAAATTGCCAAACAGTGCTTGTATTAGTATGCAAGTATTTGTTCACGTACGACTTTGTGCTTCCTGAAAATGGATTTAGTTGATTTTGTTTAGTCGTTCTTTGTGGATGATCTTCTCTAATTAATTATTATGACTCTTAACTTATTTCGATTGTGTTTTCCTATTATCTATCCTTTTAGTTTTCATCTGTATCTTGCTAAAAGTCTTTTTGCAAAATTTTGTTTCCTTACTTTTATGTGTTGTATCTTTTTGACAATTTGAATTTGGGTCAATATTTTTCTAGACATTTCATGATTGATTGAAGAGTATGATTGTGTGTAAAATATTACATCCAAGTTTCAGAATCTGAACTATCTAGTGGTTTATGTAGTTTATGTATTTTAATCCTTCCTTTACTTCCTCCTTCAACCACATTGTTTCAACTAAGGTTGAATACAGGCTCATCAATGTTGGGTTTTGACCTCGTTTGACACCAATTATATACGTTGGGAATCTTTTTCTTCACTTAAGATAATTCATCATTCTGATTTTCTTTTCATTTCAGTATTTTAAATTATCTACAGTTTTACTTATTATTCTTCCTAATTTCGGAAGTCTATATGTTGGTAATTTTGTATTCTCATTTTTCTCTATCTTTATTGATCAGGGATTCAGGGGAATCTAGCAGGAGTAAGCATCTTAATTTCAATGGTGTGTTATTAACTTCCAATAGTCTTCCTCTTTTGGATTTATTATTATTATTATTATTTTTTTGTTATTAAATGACATTTAATTATCATGATTGCAGGATCAGGAACAAGTACTTGTAGAGTCAGCTGCGGCGAAGAAGAGGACAAAGAAGAAGGAGAAGGAAAAGGAGAAGAAGAAGGCCGAAAAATGTGATGAAAAGAAAACTGAATCAACAACGAAGAGCGAAAAGAATGAAGTGAATGACAAAGTAAATAAAGTGGAGGGCAGCAAGAAGGTGCCGAAGCATGTTAGGATGATACAAGAGGAGCTAGCAAGGCGAAAAGAAGCGGAAGAGAAGGAGAAAAGGGAAGAGGAGGAGAGGTTGAGAAGAGAGGAAGAGGAGAGGCAAAAGCAGGAAGAACTTGAGAGGGAGGCAGAAGAGGCGAGGCGAAGGAAAAAAGAAAGGGAAAAGGAGAAGCTGCAGAAGAAGAGACAGGAAGGCAAGCTCCTATCCGCGAAGCAGAAGGAGGAAGCCCGCAGGCTTGAGGCGATGAGAAAACAAATACTTGCTAATGCAGAAAGGGATTTGCCCTTGTACCAGAAAAAGATCAAGCCAAAACCAAGTCTCTGTCAGGAAAATAATTCGTCTCCTGCTAAGATGGATTTAGTTGAATCAAAGAAAGCTGGAGAAAATAAAGTTGTTCCTGATTCTAATCCAATAAAAACTCAAGAAGACGAAAGTAAGAGAAAGCTTGTTGAAGTTGAAGTTGCTGACAGGAATAGGACAAAGGATGTCAGCGAAGAGAGCCTTCGGTCGCCAATCTGCTGCATAATGGGGCACGTCGACGCGGGGAAGACCAAGCTGTTGGATCGGATCCGCGGCACGAATCTTCAGGAAGGTGAGGCAGGTGGGATTACTCAACAAATTGGTGCAACATATTTTCCTGCAGAGAACATACGTGAAAGAACGAAGGAGATAATTAGTCATGTTGATCATGCTAAGCTGAAGGTGCCAGGGCTGCTGGTTATTGATACTCCGGGACATGAATCATTCTCTAAATTAAGATCGCATGGTTCAGATTTATGTGACATTGCAATTTTGGTGGTTGATATAATGCATGGCTTAGAGCGCCAAACTATAGAGTCACTCAATCTTCTCAAAATGAGGAACACAGATTTCATTGTTGCACTAAATAAGGTGAGCATTATAGTTTTATTAGGTTTTTTTTTTTTTTTTTCCTTCACTCTTAGCATTGAGATTTTGATTTTCTAATTAAAAAAAAAAATCAGGTAGACAGACTTTATGGATGGAAAACGTGCCGTCATACTCAAATGAAGGAGGCGATTGAGCAACAATCTAAGGATGTGAGAAATGAGTTTAGAATGAGACTCGACCAGGTTATAATATGCACTCAAACTAATCCTTTTTTTTTTTTCTTTTCTTTTCTGTTTTTTTTCCTGTTTGGTTGTCCTAATCAAATATTCGAATTTTGTTTTTGTTCATCAGATCATCACTCAGTTCAAGGAGCAGGGGCTAAATACTGACCTGTACTACTCTAAAGGAAATATTAGGGAGAGATATAGTATTGTACCTACAAGCGCCATTACGTATGACTCATTGACTCTATGCTTTTATCTGCAAAATTTTATCTTTTCACGCTAGATATTAATATGATAAATTCTGTGTTTATGGCTATATATGTGTGTACATATATATATATATATATCAGTGGTGAAGGCATTCCAGAACTATTATGGCTAATATTGGCTCAGTGGACTCGAAAAAACAAGGTTGAGAAACCTACATACAGTGACCAAGTGCAGGTTTGCTTCTTTAGTTTTCACTCTCTTTTCTATAACTTATACTACGATCTTCAGCCAGTTGAAACTAGAAATTTATGTCTGATTGGGAGCTTGTTCTGTTGCAGAGTGTACGGTATTGGAGGTCGAGGTTGTCGAGGGCCTCGGTACAACTATCGATGTCGTATTGGTTAATGGAGTGCTTCATGGAGGAGATAGAATAGTTGTATGTGGCAAACAGGTATAATTAGCACGTCCCAAACCTCTTTCCAAATGAATTTTGTTTTGAATTGAAAAAGTTACTGATACATATTTTCTTTTGAAGGGACCAATTGTTACTACTATTCGATCCTTGTTAACACCCCATCCCATGAAAGAACTCCGAGTTGAGGTAATTTGAAACGTAGATATCTTTTCTTCATGTTTTTTTTTTTTTTTTTACCCCCCTTCTTTCTTTATCTCACAAGTGCAACATCATGATTGAAAATAGTCCATTCATTTGTACAAACAAGCAGATCTCAGAATAGTGCATTTGTCACTTCTGATCATTGTTGGAGCTCTAAAACTAAGCAATGAATTACATTAAATGATGATTCTGTTGTGTAAATTTCATGTCAGGGAACATACTTGCATCATAAAGAAATCAAGGCTGTTCAGGGTATTAAAATCACGGCGCAGGTGATTATACCATATTGAACTTGAGGCTGATCTTAATCTTCTGTTGTATTTTGAAATTCCTTTCAGTGGTAGCGGAGCCCACATTATGTTGAGTGGGGGCACAATTATAATTCCAAAAATTGTGTAAATAACACTTTTATGAAACTAAACTAAGTAAGTAGTATATTTTAAAATATTTAAAGTAAATAGCATAAAAAAAAATTTTATCAAGTAAATTTTCCATTTACCGCTAGTAAAAAGATTTTTTACCGGGTAAATTTTTAATTTTCTACTATTTACTTTAAATAATTTTAAATTTTCCTATTTATTTCAATTGTTTAGGTTCAATAAAGTATTATATCTAGTTTTTTTTTCAAAGTGCCCCGCTGAAAAAGGTTCTGGCTACGCCACTGCGGCTTTCATATTCATACTGATAAAAATATTTGTGGGTTAGCTCACTCGTGATTTTAGATTTCTTGATTTTTGTTTTGTGTCGAATATATCGCGCAGGGGCTTGAACATGCTAGCACTGCAACTGGTTTGTATGTGGTGCGGCCACAGGATGACTTGGAAGAAATCGAGGAAAAAGCAATGGAAGATCATATGAAGTCGGTCATGAGCAGGAGTACTGAGAAGAGTGGTGGTGAGGGAGTTTGTGTACAAGCATCCACTCTAGGCTCCTCGGAAGCTTTGCTAGACTTTCTGAAGACCCCAGAAGTCAACATTCCTGTTAGTTGAACAAGCATAGGCCCTGTACATAAGAAGGATGTGATCAAGGCCAGTCTCATGTTAGAAAAGAAAAAGGAGTTCGCCGCGATTTTAGCGTTCGATGTCAAGGTGGCGCCGGAGGCTCGGGAACTTGCAGATGAGTTGGGGGTGAAGATCTTCACGGCTGATGTTATATACCACTTATTTCATAAGTTCAAGGCCTACATTGACAATCTCAAAGAGGGAAAGAAGAAGGAAGCAGCTGATGAAGCGGTTTTCCCATGTATTCTCAAGATTTTGGCTAATAAAATCTTCAATAAGAAGGATCCTATTATCTTGGGAGTTGAAGTTCTTCAAGGCATTGCTAAGGTACTGCCATTTACTTTTGAAATACAATATCGCTGTAATACTGGTTTTGCAGCGTAACGGTAAATTCACACCTGACTCTAGCTTATTAAGATGCAAAAGCTCGTGAATAAGACCCGATCCCTTTGTACTATGGACCTTAATAATTGCTTTCTTTGTAGGTTGGAACTCCAATTTGTATGCCTGAAAAGGACTTCATTGATATTGGCCGCATTGTCTCAATCAACAATAGTGATAGAAAATCTGTTAATTCAGCCAATAAAGGTCAAGAAGTAACCATTAAGGTAGGAAAGCACTATAACTAAATGCTTGTATAATATTTTGTTACTATACTTGCTAGTTTTAATTTTTCCTAATTTGTTAAGCTGTCACCTATCAAACAATTGGACCTTGTGGTTTTGCAGATAGTTGGCACCAATCCTGAGGAACAGAAGAAAATCTATGGAAGGCATTAATTTTAAGGATGATGATAAACTTATCAGCCGTATTTCAAGAAGGTCCATTGATATGCTTAAAGCTAATTACTTGGTAAGTTTACAATTTCCCAATCCCCTTTTTCTTTTCTTTTTTTTCTTTTTTTTTTAATTGTTCCTTTATGGGATGATGGTTCGTACTTTGGTTGGTAACTAATTTGACTTCAAATTATCCAGGGTGATGTATCACGGGAGGAGTGGGAGTTAGTCAGGAGATTAAAAAGAGTTTTCAAGATACTATGAAAACACCTTTTTTTATTATTTTTTCTTTTTGCTTCACCAATGTTATAGCTTGCAGATTGAAAGGAATATTGTATAGTGAACCTCAGATAATGTTGGCATGACATAAACAAAAAGATATCATTTTTCATATTGATTAGTCCTTATAACGGTTTTTTTTTTTTACTAATTGCCTTTTGTTGGCTGTCGTTTTTTGCTTTTTTACTCACCTTTAAGAGACAGCATTGCTTCCCACAAACGACATGCCGATTTGAGGATGGACAATGTGACATTTTCTTAACTACCTATACAGTCATGATTTTCAAAGATCCAAAGTACTAAGCCAAGAAAAAGGAACAGCTTTATACAGTAGGGTGCATTTTAGGGTAGTTCGTATTTCTAAACGTTGAATTCAATTAAAAATCATATTAAATTAAAAAATACATATACGAAAAACTAGCAGAGAACTCAGAACGAAGAAAAAAGGCAAAAATAAAATTATGTTTCAAGGTTAGGCCTACAAAAGAAAATGAAGGTAAAATAACTCAACATTATTCTTTCAAGATGTAATTGGCTCGCAAAAATGGAAGACTCACTAGAATATCTAAAGTCCCGTTTGTTTTACTAATTTGAGTTTAGAATTCGAGTTTTGCTACAGTAAAAAGCTCTCAGAAACAGTTACATCTAACTTTTTTGTTACAGTAAAAACTGTCACATAAAATCACATCTCAACTCAAATTAAAAATTCAAATCAACGAATTAAACGGACTATTTCATCTCTCACTGTGAAAATTAACCGTAGTCTCTGCTCATTTGTGAGTTGGGAGATGGGAATGAGATCCACAAAATCGAGAAAGATTACGGGTTATTTTACTTTTTTAGAAAGTATATATATATATATATATATATAGCTTAAAAATATTTTCCTTTCCATTTTAACTTTTTCAGCTTTTATTAAATGATAAATTACAGCTTTTTGCTAACTGTTCATCTTGTTTTTCGCCCCTTCCTCATTGGGATGCTAGTGTAAATTCTTCTACCAATGAGATTCTTGGTCAAGTTGGTCTTTTCGTCTTTCGTTATGAAGACTAAAAGGCAAGTACGCCATAACAGGAATTCTGGATAGCCGCGCATTGGATGCTGACGACCATCACGATGGATTCCATTGTAGGAAAACATACACCTCACGAATCTCATAAATTTGGAAAGACACAAACACAGAGATGAGTACTCATGAATAAAAGTGGTACAAAACTGTACAAACCAGAATTGAGGGACTGTGATGTAATAAACTGAAATAGAATGGGCAATGCAAGTCAGCAAATAGGAAACACATATCTAGTCACATTCCTGCAAAAACACTTTTCTTAGCCAAACTCATCACATGCAGAGCCGACCACCCCAATGCAAACCCGGAATATGGCATCTCATAGGAGAACTAAACAACAGTAGCATTTTATATATGATTTTTTTTTGGGTTAATCATCTAGGTGACGTTTGTTTTAAGATTCTGTCTGATTTAGGATCATGATTCTTAGTTCTACTACAGTGTTTTTCTCTCATAAAAAATTTAAATTTTAAAAATCAGAATCATAAATCGTGATTTTGAACCTATAAACTAAACGTCACCTTAATATTTCGGGATAGCTTGGGAGCACCTGAACTAATCTAATGGGATAAATGCACAGTGCCTTCAGAAAATTCACTACGCGGATTAGATAATTTTATAAGAGAAAACACCATAAAAGTTCTTACAAGAGAGAGAGCAAGGTCTCATTGGAGGGAGTTTCATCCAAGAGGATTCGAACCTTAGACTTGGGATGGAGCATACCTACAAGACCAAAGTTTTTATCCCTTGAGATTTGTGACGTAAATCTTACTAGTTGTGGTCATTATAATTTTTTTTTTTTTTTTAAAATGCTATCTAATATATTTTTTTTCAAAATAACAAGGTCAAATGTTTCCTAAAAAAATAAATAAATAAATCCAATGGTCTAGAATTGATGATCGTGGCAATGCTTTACATCTTATTAATTGTGGTGATCGTTTAAAAGAAAAAAAAATGCTATCTAATCTTTAATTCAAAACCGAAACAAGATCCAATGGTCTAGAATTGGTGATCATTAGGGCTGCTTTAAATCTTATTAGTTGTGGGTTATCATCATGTTAAAAGAAAAAATGCAATCTAATCTTTAATTCAAAATCGAAACAAGATCCAAGGGCTTATAATTGACTATCGTTGTGGTGCTTGTGATAGTGTGTGGCACCCAAATTACGTAACCTATAAGTGAGTGTGAGCAGTGAGAGAGAGAGAGAGAGAGAGAGGGAAAATCCAAGAAAAGGAAAAGGAAAGAGCATGAGAAAATGTGGAGTATGTCGTACTATCCACATGAAGGCTGCAAAACCAGGCAGGCAAACAGCACCCATCGTCAGAACCAAAGCACATGCCCCTTGCCAGTGCTTTCCATTATCAATCCCACGCACAACATTACTACAATTTGCCATTTTTACCTCTCTCTCTCTCTCTCTCTCTCTCTCTCTCTCTCTCTCTCTACAGCTTGGATAATTGCTTGTCTTCTCCTCAAGGCAATCCATTGACGACTTTTTTTTTTTTTTTTTTCACTCCCTTTGACTCGACTTTTCATGTGCCCATGTGAGTGAAGATCTCAACGACAACATGGTTTAGCAGTTTTCTTTTGCTAAAAAACACACACAAAAGGGTTCAAACTTGAACCACCCGTTCACTTCGCCGATTTGAGTTTAGAATTCGAGTTTTGTTACAGTAAAAAGCTCTAAAAAACAGTTACATCTAACTTTTTTGCTACAGTAAAAAACTCTCACATAACATCACATCTTAACTCGAATCAGTGAACTAAACGGGCCTTAAATAAAATCTTCGTTAACTATGACTATGACTATGAGAGTCCCACAGGCCACAAATATACCTCATCCGCGGAGGGGGAGAAAAAATATACATGTACTGTTCCAATAAGCTAAATTATTACTTGAGTTGACAAACACAAAATTGATTATATGCTACTTTATGACATAATGTAGGGTAGATATGAACTAACCACAACAGTCACTAATAGTCAACATTTTTCCATTGAATTTCAAAGCAGGAATTTGAATTCTGCATCTTATCATTAATCAACAAATTTTAATTATTTATTTAGTTTTAATTTAGCTTTATTATGTTGCGTTCTGTTGATTCTTTAATTTATAGACAATTGTTGACTGAGAAGAGGTCATGAAATTAGAGAACTTAAGCATTTGTTGGCATTCACGTTTGAATATGAATTATATATTGATCAGCGTGTTTTTTTTTTTTTTAATGATTCCTTCTGACCGAATTAGAAAAGTACTCATGCAAAGTAGTGATTAATTAGATGTTCTTTCTAATGGAAGAGAACAAGTTTTAAAAAGCTCCTTACACGTTAAATTACATTATTATGTGCACAAAAGGGTTGCTTTATTTAGGCCAAAGCGTATTACACGCATGAGAAGTCTATGTCCACAAAGGCACTTTGGTCTAATTAGTCTTTTAAATCACTTGTCCGCCCCTAATTTAATTGGCAAAATCATCTTTAATGTACTGCTTTTCTCCTTCGAAAGCCACACTCCAAAAGGCACAAGAACCATTAAAAAAAAAAAAAACGCACAAGAAGGGTGTGAAATAGGCCGACCAAATGGCATATTAACAACTGTTATTGCCCATTCCCACTAATTAATAATAGCTTTCTTTTGATAGCCTGCTTGGACTTTGACCTTGTATTGTATTTTGCAAAGGTGGGTATTAACTAGGCGACTTTCATCTTTTGTCTAAGATTGATATTAACAAATCATATTATTGATTTTAAACATTGAAATATATCCAAATTAATTAGTAAACATTTTAATTTTTAAAAAAAACGTTATATAATTAATTGGTAAAATATTATTTGAGACATAAAAAATTAGCAGATGATCTTAGTCCGATATTAGATCATGCGAATGTTCTATTCGTATATGAAACATATATCAACTTTTATTAGGTTTTAGTTGATTTAAAGAAAAATTCTCTTTCTTTTTAACAACAATTAATGGCAATTATATACCAAACTCTCAAGTCTCTAAGTGCAAAAGACCACTATAGGAGTTGTGCTAGCTTATGGCCACAACGCCAAAAAAATAAAATAAAAAAATAAAAAAGGGAAACATTATGGGCTCGTTCATTTCACCGATTCGAGTTTTTAATTTTAAGTTTTTACAGTAAAAAGTTCTTAGAAAATGTCATATCTAATTTTTTCTGTTGCAGTGAAAAGCTCTCAAAAAATGTAACATTTCAGCTCGAATTGAAAACTCGAATTCATGAAGGGAACGAGAAATAAATCAACTCTCAAGGGCGGGGAAAGATTTTAGATATCTAATGATAACAATTTTCTTTTTTTAAAAAAGTCTAAATAAATCAGATTTAGATTAGTTGTCGTTTTCAACTCTTTTTTGAATGGACGGAAAGATCTTTTTAAGGTGGTGTCCCTTTCGTCTATTGTGTTTGTGTTTGTTGTTTTGGACTCGGCAACTTATCTAATCTCAGGCTGCCCTTGCTTATAGTTATACTAGCCGTCAAGAAGCTGACAAAACAATTAAGAGAAAAAAAAACAGATGGCAGAGAAAATGGTGGTAACATAAAAGAAATATTTTTTATGGAATATATAGAAATCTAAACAAATTAATTAATTCTCTAAAATGAAAAAAAAAATAAAAAAAAGAGAGAGAGAGAGAGAGAGAGAGAGAGACAAGGGGAAAAAGGACAGGTTTGACCGTTCTCTTCGAGAGTCCAAAGCGGTTTGTGTGGTAGCGACAGTAATGATTCGGTTTCAGGGTTTTAATTATATCCGGTGGAGATCTAATTAGTAATTAATTACCCCCCAATAATCCCATTATTCTCTCTCTCTAATCTCCATTATTCTCTCTCTCTAATCTCCATTATCCCATTTGACCATTATAGACGCCGCTTACATCGCTTGTCACTACTGGTCCTCTCTCTTCTTTCCTCCAATCATCGTTATTCTTCCCATGTGTTTTAAATTTTAACATTTTTCTACAAAATAATGATTTTAATTTATAATTTTATTTATAACTTGAACAAAATTCTGCAACTTCGAATGGGCTGTCTCTCTGTTTCTGCTGTTCACTCGCTATCAAAAGACAATAATGCCCTTTTGAGTATATAAATTATTTCTTCTTCTTCTTTCTTTTTTTTTAAATTGTCCTAATGATTTAATTAGAATTTAATTTTTTTAAGCTTTAATTATTAACTAAATCATTAATTATTTTAATTAAAAATATATGTCTCGTTCACTTCGTGGATTCGAGTTGAGATGTGACATTTTCTGAGAGATTTTCACTGTAGCAGAAAAAGTTAGATGTGACATTTTCTGATGACTTTTTATTGTAAAAACCTAAAACTGAAAACTTAAATCGGTGAAATGAACGAAGTTATAAAATACCTAGTATGGTTGTAGTTACTCTTAATTTTTCTCAATTTCAACTATTAGTTAAATGATTCCCTATTTTAAAAATTCAATTCATACTAGTTAAATATAACTAGCAAGAATCAGTTAACTATTTGATTTTTGTATTATTTTATTCTTTTAAATCATAATAAATGTAAAAAATTTTCTAAATTCAAAAAAGTTATTTATATTTTTAAACTCAATAAATATTAAAATAATTTATGCTTAGCTAAAATAAAAAGTATAATTAAAGTGTACCACTCAAAAATTACTAACTAAAATAACTTTTTAATCATTTTAGCTAAATTGTTAGCCATTTTATTTATTTTAAAATAAGAGTATGGTTTTGAGTTTTCACTATTAAACTTTTTATTTATTTATTTTTTCAATTTTCACTACTAAACTATGGTGTCCTAATTTATTATTATTCACTAGTCATCCAAAAGGATTAATTCCCTTAAGTATGTATTATATTTTAAAATATTTTTTGATTTTTTAAAACCATTTAAAATGCCTGTTGATATATTAAAAAATGATTCGAAATACTCATTTCGACCGCGTTCATTTTACCGATTTAAATTTTATTATTATAAAAAACTCTAAAAAACAATCACATTTAATTTTTTTAGTATAATAAAAAGTTCTCACATAAAATTATAACGCAACATAATATTAAAAGGTAATAAAATATATTAAATTCTAATTAAAACTATAAATAAGAGATTAATATAAAAAAAACTTCCTATTTAATTTCAAACCATTGATCTACCCATTTAAAAATAAAAATAAAATAAATAAAAGAGAAACCCATTTCAAATCAACCCAACCTCAGATAAAAAGCCCAGATCCCCTTGCTCCTTCAATATATTGCTTATGACAGCTTATGTTCACCAAATCAATTCCACATCCCCCGATCCAAACTCAAAAATCAAACAGAAAAAGAATCAAATTTCAAATTAGAAATCAGTAGATACCAAATCCAATGAACTGACTAAAAAAAAAAAAAATCACATCAAAGATTCAAAACAGATCACTCGTCAACTGCTTCTATGCTAACGACAGACTAAACCAAATAAAAAAATATATGAATTCGTGTCTACTTTTTTTTTTGCCAGTAAATTGAAGATCTAAAGTGTTTTGATTCGGCGAGCCTTCTCGCTATGAACCGAATGGCGCGATTAACTCTTCCCTATTCCTCGCGTTATTTCCAAGGCTCGAGCTCAGACCATCGATCCTCCTCCCTGCAATGGGATACGCGGCTGACGGTTCTCATCGGAAGAAGAGTAAAGGTCCGGTGGTCGTGGGTTCCAGTGGAGGTCAGGGGCGGCGCTAATGGAGAACTGAGGCGGTGCTAATGGAGAATGGGGCTGCTCATTCTAGGGTTTCATCATCTTAACTTTTACCTAAGTCAAGAGCTGAGATTGAGCCTATATTTAGATGAAGGGTTAGAAATTAAATAGGATTTTTTTTAATATTAATTTCTTATTTATAGATTTAATTAGAATTTAATATGTTTTATTAACTTTTAATATTACGCCATGTCAGCATTTCTGTTAAAATTATAAACGAAAGTGGAGGGAATGAATTTTTTGTTAAAATTATAAACGGAAGTAGATTAAAGGGATATTTTGAATTTTTTTTTTTTTTTTATATACTAAGGACCATTTTAAACGGTTTTAAAAAATAAAAGAGTATCTTAATATGTGGTACATATTTAAGAAGTATTTATGAAATTAATCCCACTAAAAAATGTGTAAAGAGAATTTAGAAGGTTGTGCCAGAAAAGTTCTGGCCCACCAAACATAACCCCCCAATTTCTGTATTTCCTCACAGCTGCAGATTTTTTTCGTTGAAAAAAAAAAGAGAGAGAGAAAGAGTTTTAGAGAGAGAGAGAGTCCCAATATATGATCTCAGAGACCCACCAAATGCCATAAACAGGTCAAGCAATATCAAGAGAACGAGAGAGAGAGAGAGAGAATGGAAGGTTGAATACAGCGAAGCAGATATGTTTATGCAGACCCACCCTCCACAAAATGTATATTATTATTATTGTTTATATATAATAGTGAATGTATAACTATATAGCAGAGGAGCCAGAAAAGAAAGTCCTGATACAGCAAAAAAAAAAAAAAAAAAAAAAAAAGTTGGTCCCTTGGTCTTTGAAATTTCATTGGACAACCTTGTGCCTACTATTGTCGTCGTGGGTGCCCACTAGCAGCTTTTTTGTCTTCTCTCTTTTTCTTTTATCATATATCTGTTTTTTTTTTTTTTTTTTTTTTTTTTTTTTTTCTTTTTTTTTTTTTTATTTATTTTTTTTTTTTTTTTTTTTTTTTTTTTTCTTTTTGCTCTTTGTTTTTCTCGATTGTATTTAATATTAATATTAATATTAATATAATAATACGTATATATAATTATTTTCCTAAAGGGTGGTCTTCTTTTCTCTCTCTGTCTCTCTAAATTCTCTTTCCACCCTCAACAGTAATGATTTTCTCGTTACGGGTATCGTTGTTGAGGAATCTGAGGAGGAGTTGTTGTTTGTTGTTGTTGCTCTGCTTGTGAAAGAAAAAGTGGCAGTTATAGCCTTAGACAAACAACAACTTATATGTATTAGAGAGAAGAAGAGAAGAACAAAACAGAATCACGAGCGCACGAGTGTTTTTCCTTCTTTTTTTTTTAATTTTTTTTTTTTGCCCCCATTGATGTGATCTTTGCAACTCTTTCTGGCTTTTATAAACCAGAAGAAAATTTCCTTTCTTTCTTTATTTGGGTCTTTTTTTTTTTCTCTTGTTTTTTTCTGGGTAATTTTAATTTTTCATCTTTTTTTTATTTTTCAAGTCATTATGTCTCAACCAAGGCAATTTCAGATGGTGGGTAGTAACAATCCTGGGCAATACAATGACACAACTTTTACAAAAATATTTGTTGGAGGTTTGGCTTGGGAGACTCAAAGAGATACCATGAGAAGGTACTTTGAGCAGTTTGGAGAGATCCTTGAGGCTGTTGTTATTACAGATAAAAACACTGGGAGGTCCAAGGGTTATGGCTTTGTAAGCCCAACATTTTCCACTCGCTTTGATCATATTTCTTTTCATTGCACAATCTTATTTCTATGTCTTTTTTCTTTTTTGTTTTTGTTTTTGGTTTTGGACCTGATTTCTGATCAAGAAAGTTGGGTCCCTTTTTTTTTTGGCTTGTTTCTTAGGTTACATTCAAGGATCCAGATGCAGCCATGAGAGCTTGTCAAAATCCTTCTCCTGTTATTGATGGAAGGAGAGCCAATTGTAACCTTGCCTCTCTTGGTGCACATAAACCACGCCCACCAACTCCTCAGCATGGTCTGTAATATATCTTTCTCATATGTACTTATTTTCTCTTTTTTTTTTTAATCAGATTTTGGTTGTTAGAATATGCATTTAACAATGAACCCATGAATTGTTTCTGACATTGGTTGGCTAGACAACAATCTACTTTATGCACAATGTAAATCTTGTACATTTTCGATATTTGTAAATCTTGTACATTGTTTCTCATCTTGTACATTTTTTTTTTTTTTAGATATTTGTGTTATTCTAAGCAAATTAATACAAGCACATAATCATGGTATTGGTAACTCTTTTTTTTTTTTTTTTTTTTGACTAAATTGGAAATGTGGATCTAGGCTTTAGGGGGTTAAAAAGAATGTGATTTAAATTCAAGTTTTTCTCGTGCAGGTTCAGGAAGGTTTAGACCAGCACCTGGTTTGATGGCTCCACCAGCTTATCATGGCTCCACATCTACATACTTCCATCAACCCACTGCTCAATACCCTTTTCCTTATTCAGCTTATGGGTAAGCCAAAATAATCATATGAATAAACATAACCAGAAATTAATCTCTCTCTCTTTTTTTTTTTCTTTTTTTTTTTTTCCTTCTTTTGCATGTAGTTTATATTAGTTTCTGAATTTCCTTTTTCTCCTTGGTCAATCAACAGTTACACTGGATATTCACAAGACTCCATATATCCCTTGGTAATTATTTATGTAGTGAAAATACTTGTATCACTAGTAACAACAATGTATCACCAATTTCATTGAATTCTTTCAAGCTTTAGCCTAGTTTTTTTTATTTATTATTATTTTTATTTTTGGGATTGAAATTGCAGAACTATTATGGTGTCTATGGTGCTCAACAATTCTCACCTTACTTAACCAATGCTGGGGGATCAGGAGCAACTGGCATGTTCCACAATTTCTACCCATTATATGCTCAATATACACAGAGCAGCCAAGCTCATGGTTTCAACGTTCAATATCCTCAAATGGTACAATACCCTTATTTGCCTCACCATTATGGCTCAACAGGAATCCTCTCTCTTCCTTCTTCTATGGCCATGACCACTACCACTACTATTACTACTACCCCAGGTGAAAATTCCAAAAGATTATGAATATATATATATATATATATATCTGTGTGTATGTATCTCATAATATTGTCCAATAATAATAGTAAGTTAATAACTCATGCCACAATCTTGAGTAGAGAATTCACTTGCGAAGTTCAAACAGGTGCAACAGCAGCAACAACAACAACAGGGGTGACAGGAACAGTAGCTTCACTAGCCTCCGGGACGACTTCCGAACAGAATTCATCAACTTAAGTTTTGGACTGAAGAAGAGAAAAACAAATGTCTTCTACAAGGCTAACATGGATAAAGGATCAAAGCGTCAAAAGCCAAAAAAAAGAAAGGAAAGTGGAATAAGGAAGACACACAAAGGGTGACTTGATTTGAAAGAAATGCATAACAAGAGAAAGGAATCCAGAATCAGAGATGGGATATTTTTCATTCACGGAACAGGCATTTGGGGATGACATTACAAAGCTTGCTTCACTAACCTCATCATCCTCATTGTCATACATGTTTTCTTTAGGACAATAGGGAGTTTTTTTCTTTTGTTTTTTTTAATTAGTAGTTTGTTAGCATTAGGATGATAAGAATCATATTCATTTATGCATTGGCATAAGGTGGAAGCTGAATATTGGCTTTGGATTCTACCTTGCATACTGACTTCTATATGATCATTATTATTGTCTTGGAAGCATAAAGCATCCGAGGACATGTTTATATATTGGTAAGCATTTCTGGTTCAAAAGATTGGTTTTGTATCTTTGAACCACCCACAGCCTTTGTTGGTCAACAAAAAGTGGCTAGCTCAGGGACAGCTTGGCCAGTAACTTGTAATTTTTTTTTTTTTTTTTCCTTTTTTCATTAATCAAGATTGATACTTTTTTTTAGATAGGAAGGATTCAGTAGGAACGTAACAACATTTTCATTTTCATTTTCAGACCACTTGACATGTTTATATTATTTATTTATTTTGTGTTTTAGTTTCCTTTCGCTTTCAGTTGCATTATTGTTATTTGTTAATTGTTTATTTGTCATTGCTCTTCTTATGAAATATAAGTATAATCTCCAATTTTTGAGGGGTGGCTTTTGAATAATGTGCTTGGAATCCAAGGGGATCTCTTACAAAAAGGAGGGTCAAAATGAATAATGTGCTTTTATGCATCAAAGTTGGGCATGCGGGTCTTGCATTATTTTTTTAGATTCTTGCAAATTCCTTTTTTCTGTCAAAGTGGTGTAATGTTATTATTATATTTCTTTCCTTTGATCAACACTATCCTATAGGAAAAGAAGAATCCTATAAACTCTATATGATGAGTCTATGGGTGGTATTGTGCAGTGTATCAAACTAGCCAACAGTTTTGCTCCAAATTATAACGGCTATAAAGAAATCATAAGTTTGTTGCTCAAAATTTCTATTTAAGGTGGTAGTTCAAAAAAGGGAAATAGTAGAAAATATGCCAATATGAAAAGCTTAAAAAAGTATATAGGTCAATTTTTAGTTATAGAAATTAATAGGCCATAACTTGTCAAGTTATGGTTCATAACCAGATAAGTTATGAACAAACTTGTCAAGTTATGGTTCATAGTCAGACAAGTTATGGACAATTATGGACAATAACTTGTCAAGTTATGGTTCATAACCAGACAAATTATGGACGAAAACAGTAATTTAGCCTATTTATTAACTTATGTAAATTATTGACCTATTAATTTTAATTCATCTCAAATCTTTTCTTATTTCCCTCTTTCTCCCCTCAAAAAACTGAGCCTTATATTTATATGGTTTTTGCAACTTTTGGAGACAAACATCAAAGAATATCTGTGAAACATGCACCCATTAGAAAATATTGTCAAGTTGTGGAGTCTAATTGCTCTGATTTTCATTATGAAAGGAGGTCACCATTTTATGGGTAATTAAAGAGGTTTGTTATTAAAAATAAAAATAAAAAACATAGGGCCCGCTCAGGAATTGTATTTGAACCAAATCAAATTTTAACTTAAATTCTTTGTGAGAAAACTATTGACGATAATTTTTTTTATTTAAATTTTTTATGAGAGAAAAATATTATAGTATAATCATAGTTTGAGTTTTGAGTATATGTACCAAACAATCCCTTAGAGTTGCAAAGTGTGCGATTTTTTCATGTAAACTTTTTCATCATAGTAAAATAATGTAGCTATCAAATGATGATGTAATATTACATTGAGATAAACCTCTATAATTTTTATACGTTTGTTTTATTTATTTATTTTCTTTATGTGTTTTTATTGCTATCGATATTGTAGAATTTGGGCATCTACTTCTCGAACAAATATCTCTTCATACTAATAAATTCTGATGGACATTGTCCAATGTTCGTTATGAGTTCCACATGCATATAACAGTCAAAAAATATATACATAAACCAACATACCCCAAACTATTACAAACAACTCCCAAAATATACTCCATAATACATCCCACAAAACCACAAAGGATCCTAATTCTGTGCATCTGGATGCGGATTCAACTGGTAGTTTAATCACCACTTCTCTTAGGATGAATCAAGATTTGATACTCTAAGACCCCACTTTAAAACCCTACGGTTAATGCGTTGTGTATCGTTAAGTGTGTGATGACATGAGTGAAAATTAAACCTATTATTCGAGTATAATTGAGTCATGTCCTTTTTATTCTATTAGTAGGTTCGTAATTTCTAAAATGACAAAAAAAAAATATAAAAGACGTGATGATACCAATAATCCATTTTTTTTTTCTCTCTCATCAAAAAGTCATAGTTCGATCAACTTCATTGGCTTTACGTCTCACAGATTTCCTTAAGTCACTTGTAACAATTTTGAATATTGGGCATTTATACAATGACAATATTTTGGCGTACGCTAGTTGTTAAGCAAAAACATAATGACATAACAACAAATTGAATTCCTGTTTTATATAAGACAACCTGTGTGTACCAGTGATTTGTACGCATCTGGATATGAGGATGAAAATAATTTGGCGTTTTACAGATCTTGTGAGAGCACTTATTTGAGGATGTGTTTTTCTGAAGTGTGTGTATATGTATGTGTATATATATTAATTGTTGACGGTGAATTTTAGTCAATAAGGAATTAACTCTCCGAGAATACTCGCGATAATCTTTCATGTATTAATTATGGATTAATGATGCAGAATAAGATAAAGAATGTAAGAGTTTATAGTGGTTCGGCTAAAATTTTTTGCCAACATCTACTTGTGTATGCACTAATATGATGTAGATTACAAACTCTGTGGTAGTCTGGTAGTGTGTGTAAAAAACTTAATGAATTCTCATGCCTCTATTTATAGGCCTTGTACATGTGAGAGACTCCCTTTGTATTTTCCGAGGAGATCATCCACTATCCCTCAATTTGGGAATTTGGCAGCTGGATTTCCATGATTACTCTTTCTTGGTCAGGCTAACCACTCTTACCCAATACCTAATTTCCTGACTTCAACAGTGGCGGTAGTTGGTACAGTGTATCTTTCCCTGGACTGACAGCGGATTTGACTGAGCTGCTGTCTCGACGTTGTGGCCCTCGCCACCTGAGCGGGGCTCTCGACGCGCGCTAGCACACACGAATTCTCGACGTCTAAAGGGCACCCTAGATACACTGGTTCCCTCGGCATCAGTGACCGATCCTCAACGGGGAGGCCTCGGCGCTTGTCGCCCAAATGAACGGTCGATTTCTCGACTGTGGTGTAACATATATATATATATATATATATGTGTGTGTGTTGGGATTTAGGGGATTATTTTATATATATATATATATGTGTATGTATGTATGTGTGTTGGGATTTAGGGATTATTTTCTAAAATTTTCACAGCGGCTATTTTTTATTTTTTATTTTTTTTAGTAAACTATTTTTTTTTTCTGTTGCGATCTACAAGATTAATCATAATACTCCAAACCACATTAATATAACGGGGTGATGTGAGCTTTAAACCTTAATCCTTTACAACTTTAGACCAAACAAATACTTAACATATTTGTATAGATAATTTACTTTTGAAATATATTGATAAAAAGTACTCATCATATGAAAAAAAAAGCATAAAAGTTTACCCATATATTTCTACATATAAGTGCAATTTTTTCCTTGATAAGATATACGTCCATGTTATTTTTTAATGTCATAGAGGAAATGTTTCAAAAATTATATTAACAAGAAAATGCGGCATAAAAAAAATTGCATGTATACAGGTAACAACAGTAATGCATGGTAAGCATAATATAAATGCGCAATGCAATAGGTACTAATTTATTTATGAATTTCAAATACTGAATAATATTATCATACATTTGGCAATGTTTAGTTGGATAAACAAACTATGCATAATACGTATTCGCGAAAAAAAAAAAAGCACAATTAACTTGAACAAAAACAAAAAAAAAAAAAAAAAAAAAAAAAAAAAAAAAAAAAAAAAAAAAAAAAAAAAAAACTCAAACATCTACATATATTTGGAATTTGGGTTAAGATTCGAATTCTTCATTTTATGGTGGTGCAAAATTAATGTAACCACATTTGCCAATTATATTTTACGAAGCAAATTACCACATCATTGTATTTATCAAATTAGTGCCCATGAAATTGTTTTACGACATTTAAAAAAAAAATTTGTTTTACGACAAAATGGATTATGCTAAACTCACAAGTCACGACAATACAGGTATATCTCTATAACGGATGACATAATTAAGTTATCAAATATTCCATACACATTATTCTTGAAAGAAAATTATTCAATTGTTTTCTTTAAATTTACGTACATCAAATAATGTTCCTATTATATTATGTTCAGATTAAATTTTGTTAGGATTCCAATAAAACAAAAACAAAAAAAAGAGATAAATGGTGGCAATTCATGTCACGTGTCGTGTTCGTGTTCGTGTTTTGATCGTTTATTTCTAAAGTTGCAGTCAACCCGACCTGGGCCACGAAATTTTTTATAAAACTGCAACATGAACATGACACGATAACTTTACGAATTGACACGACACGACACGAAAATGACATGTGACACAAAATTAACCCCAAAACCTGAAATTAACACGAGAATTATATAATTTTTTTAGTTTCTTACATATTAGAAATAACTTATAATTCATAACACACTAAAATATAATAACATCCATTAAAATTAAGCAAATAATAATATAAGATTTTAGTACAACTATCATGACATCATAAGTTCATAATAAAATTTAAAATATGTAATGAAAAAAATATATTTTTTAGTTTTTTATGAATTTTGTGTTGTATTTGGATTATGCAGATCTAACACGAAATTAACCCGTGCTTTTCGTGTTAATTTTAGGTCAACACAATTTTAATCTAAACTTTTTTTCTCAACCCTAAATCCATATTACCCGGCGTAAGATAAACAAGATTAGGACCAAGGCATCAGGCACCACAAAATGTATGGGCCGTTTCTGGCCCAAAGATTGAGAGTCAAAGGCCCAATGAAATTGACCCACTAGAGCCATTATAAGAGCCCACTTTGGGTCCCGCTTTAAAAGCCCTTCGCTATAGAAAAACCTTGAAACCCTAGAAAGCAAACCAGTTTGCTGCTCTTGTAGAAGAGAAAGAGAAGAGACGCAGAGCCACACAGAGGGCGGCGACACACCAGATCGAAGACTCTCATCTCCTCCAGGTCAAATCCCGCCATTTCAACTCAATCTTTCTCCTTTTCCTTCGTCGAAAATGGATTTCCAATTTTCTCTGAACTAATCTAGGGTTTTCATTTCACTTTCGGTGTTGCAGAAAGAGAAGAAAGACGATGTCGTCCTCAGAGATCGCTTGCACCTACGCCGTCTTGATCCTCCACGACGATGGCATCCCCGTCACGGTATGTTTCATTTCCGTTTTATAGCCATTGATATTTTCTCTGTGTATGTATATTTGTGTATTTATATGTTGATGCTGTTAGTTATTAGATTTGTTTGGCTGTCTGGAAAGTTGAGGGAAATATGAGAATCATGCTCCTTTTGTTTTTTCCGTAGAAATTTTTTGTTTATTAGGTTAATTTCAAGACTTTCAAATGTAGCTGTAGAAGTTTGAAATCAGCTGTGGTTTGAATTTCAGTGTTTTTGTTTCTTGGTTTGATTTGTATGAAGCTTGAATCATGAGCTGTTTCTTTCAATTATTTTCTGACTTTTTCTGTAATTTACTCGTTTTTATTAGTTTGAAATTGAATTGGACGTGTGAAGTAGGTTATCCGAAGCTGGAAGATTCTTTTTTTGTTCGTTTTTTCAGTTATTTTCTGAATTTGGAAGATGCTTTTTTTTTTTTTACTTACATTATTTACTTTTATACAGGCTGAGAAGATTTCGATCTTGTTGAAAGCCGCCAAGGTGGAAGTTGAATCCTACTGGCCTAGCTTGTTTGCCAAGCTTGCAGAGAAGCGCAACCTTGATGACCTTATTTTGAACTCTGGTGCCAGCGGCGGCGGTGCTACGGTTGCTGCGGCTCCAGTTGCTGCAGCTGGCGGTGGTGGTGGTGCCGCCGCTCCTCCTCCCGAGGAGAAGAAGGTAAGGAGGCCTTTATTGACTGGTTGGGTTTGTTCATTTGTATTGTTGGTGTTTATGATGCAAATAATGTGATTGGTAACGTCTGTTTTTGTTGCTGTTTTGGGAAATTTTACAGGAAGAACCAAAGGAAGAGAGTGATGATGACATGGGTTTCAGCCTGTTCGATTAGGAGCGAGATGCAGTCCTGTGCTGTTTTTAGTTCGTTTTCGGGGTTATTTTACTTTTATTATCTTTTTTATGTTTTAGGGTTTGTGTTTTGTTCGTATCAAATATATGTATTTGTGAATGAGCAAGTTGTTCAGGGGTATTTGCAATTTGAACATCGTAGTTTTTGAAGATTTTGTCATCAAGCTGAGCTTTCTTCTTGATATATACAAAGCACTTTTGGAGTTATTTTTGCCTGATGGGTTTTAGATTTCTTTTTTTAGTGCTATGCTATGAAACAAGCATGTTTTAATGGGTTAACCAATGTTTCTCCAAGCATTTTTTACCACGGCAGAATGATATCTAGGGTGATGAGGTCCTGGATTAACCAGTGTTTGATATTTCTATGTTATATAACAAGTTCTCTGCTATTATACCAACGTGAGACGTTGGCATTTAGGTATATGTTTAATTTAAACGTTTCTCGGTGACAAAATGAATCAATAGCTTAAAGCAATAATAAGGATTAGAAACTGATTAGTGGCTAGCCACTAGCAAGCCATATATGGTAAAGAATAATCAGCTTTTGTTATAAGGTTAGTATCATTTTATCATTTTTCTAGTAACGCTTACATTACAACGTCAGAAAAAAGCACTTAAAACAGAAACAATGCTAGTAGTTTTGGATGGAGGATATGGTCCTCTCATGGGGTTGCGGCATGTTCCTTGGCAAGTGGAGCAATTTCCTTCAATACCAGCTTCGCTGCCGTGAACTTCCATACTTAGCAGCACCTCCTCCTTTGCAGGACCCGGTACCATGGCATATTTCAATCACTAGGAAATCTCCTTACTTTTTGGGTCATGTTTACTTGGTATCATTTTGCTTACCTTCCATGAGACATACCATGGCATATTTCAATCACTAGGAAATCTCCTTACTTTTTGGGTCATGTTGACTTGATATCATTTTGCTTACCTTCCATGAGAGATCTTGAGCCATGCAATTCCTGATCATCTCTGCCAAAGCTAAAGTTCCATACGTTGCAAGCGCTCGTTTAACACCTTTAGCCACCGATTGTACGTCCCCAGAATCAACAGCATCACACTGCCACATTTAATAAGTTAGAACTTGCCCTAAATTGTGGAAATCCCTTCCGCTTTATCTCTTATGGTTCACAAGGAAATGAGTTATATTACTTCTACATTGAAGGCTCCCATTTGAAAGCCTGTAAAACCTTCTTTGACAGTATCCACCAACCCACCAGTTGAGGCAACAATTGGTAGTACCTGCAAATTTTTTCTAGATTAATATTAGCTACTAGCTTTCAAAGCAATATTTTCTTTACAAGCGTCTTACACATCCATAACGCATAGCATCTAACTGAATGCGTCCACAAGGCTCAAATCTGCTTGGAACCAATATGATATTGGCTCCGGCTGTAATCATATGTGCCAGAGGGATGTTGAATTTTGCGGCTCGCGCCTTGTTAGGATATAATATCTCCAACTGCTGAAGCTGCTTCTCCATTGGCCCTTTTCCAATCCCCCGAGTATTTCGATTGCAGAAGAATAAAATAGGTACGTTTTCAGTCATTGAAAAAGCAGAATTGAAACTCTCCGATGAAGTCGGAGAAGAAATTCCAACGTTTTATGCTTACCAAGACTATGATCTGAACATTCTCTCTGATGAAATAGGGAAATTTCTGAACCTTTCTGCTCTTCAAGCCTACCAATAAGGCCTATGACTAGGATATTTCTATCCACCGGCAGGCAAACCTACTTCTGCTTGGAGGGTTTCTTTCAGAAGAACCTTTGCATACATTACCTGATCATGTCAAAAGCAGAAGAAGATCTGTTGAAAATGTAGTAAAGAAAACACTGGTGATGCTAACTTAATAGAGTCAATTTCTCTATAAGGATCTTACAGATGAAGCATCATATTTGATAGCTATGTACTTGTCAGTTAATGGATTCCACTCCTGGACATCCATGCCATTCACAACCCCGGTGATTCCATTTTTTTGAAGGACGTAATTCAATTCCACTCCTTTCTCCGCCAGAGATGAGTTCCTGAGCATGGTATGGGCTAACTGTCAAGACCCCATCTGATTCCAAGATTCCAGCTTTCATCCAATTAATTTTCCTTCGCTTAACCGGTTTCTCATAACTGCAGTATTTTGTTAAGATGCGTAAAACAATGGAGCAAAAGATGATGTGATTTATAGAATCCACGATAACCGTGCATACCCGTCCATGAAATCAAAAGAAGTTCTGGAATCATCTGGAAGATTGAGGAGTACGAAGTCTGGGAATGCAAATCTTCCTTGGTAAGCAATGTAGAGAGAGAGAGATGTTCACCTACTCTAGCACTCTTGTATAAGCCTTTGGCTCTATACATGGATTTGAGATAGCATGGTAGAAGGGAACTGTGCCAGTGATTAGCAATAAAAATAACATCTTCACCTGATATACAATATCAAAATATTAATAACATACTAAGGCACTCTGATAATCAGAAGTACTGAAAGTTTCGGGTATCAAATATGAGTGCCATATGGCCCGGAATAGTATTTGCTGCTTGTAAAATTCAGAATCCTTGGTGCTTCTAGAGCTGCCTAAACCATAAAGTCAAGATTATGTCTAATATAACTTGAAATATTTCATAAGATTTGCTATAGAATTGACATGTAACAGAGCGGAGGCAGATTCACCTGACACAAGAGGCTAAATCGAAGTTGGTTGTCTTGTTAATCCTTCCCAGCAATAGGACCATAAATTTTGGATCCTGTTTTTGCCCCAAACCTTGTTCATTCAATCATATGACATATCAGCCTTGAGTTATGTCATTCATTGCACCAAATCAATTGCTTTCGAAGAGAAGAATGGTTCATAAAATATCAAATGCGCCTAGTTTCTGTACAATTTTGATTAAGTCGTGTGAGAGAGTAAATTTATCTCAAAATCTTTCCAGCCATAGCTGGTGGAAGGCTGCCGAGAACATCTCCAATTCCACCGGTTTTGCTCCACGGGCATACTTCTGTCCCCACAAATAAGTTATAACTTGCCCTAAATTGTGGAAATCCCTTCCGCTTTATCTCTTATGGTTCACAAGGAAATGAGTTATATTACTTCTACATTGAAGGCTCCCATTTGAAAGCCTGTAAAACCTTCTTTGACAGTATCCACCAACCCACCAGTTGAGGCAACAATTGGTAGTACCTGCAAATTTTTTCTAGATTAATATTAGCTACTAGCTTTCAAAGCAATATTTTCTTTACAAGCGTCTTACACATCCATAACGCATAGCATCTAACTGAATGCGTCCACAAGGCTCAAATCTGCTTGGAACCAATATGATATTGGCTCCGGCTGTAATCATATGTGCCAGAGGGATGTTGAATTTTGCGGCTCGCGCCTTGTTAGGATATAATATCTCCAACTGCTGAAGCTGCTTCTCCATTGGCCTTTTTCCAGTCCCCCGAGTATTTCGATTGCAGAAGAATAAAATAGGTACGTTTTCAGTCATTGAAAAAGCAGAATTGAAACTCTCCGATGAAGTCGGAGAAGAAATTCCAACGTTTTATGCTTACCAAGACTATGATCTGAACATTCTCTCTGATGAAATAGGGAAATTTCTGAACCTTTCTGCTCTTCAAGCCTACCAATAAGGCCTATGACTAGGATATTTCTATCCACCGGCAGGCAAACCTACTTCTGCTTGGAGGGTTTCTTTCAGAAGAACCTTTGCATACATTACCTGATCATGTCAAAAGCAGAAGAAGATCTGTTGAAAATGTAGTAAAGAAAACACTGGTGATGCTAACTTAATAGAGTCAATTTCTCTATAAGGATCTTACAGATGAAGCATCATATTTGATAGCTATGTACTTGTCAGTTAATGGATTCCACTCCTGGACATCCATGCCATTCACAACCCCGGTGATTCCATTTTTTTGAAGGACGTAATTCAATTCCACTCCTTTCTCCGCCAGAGATGAGTTCCTGAGCATGGTATGGGCTAACTGTCAAGACCCCATCTGATTCCAAGATTCCAGCTTTCATCCAATTAATTTTCCTTCGCTTAACCGGTTTCTCATAACTGCAGTATTTTGTTAAGATGCGTAAAACAATGGAGCAAAAGATGATGTGATTTATAGAATCCACGATAACCGTGCATACCCGTCCATGAAATCAAAAGAAGTTCTGGAATCATCTGGAAGATTGAGGAGTACGAAGTCTGGGAATGCAAATCTTCCTTGGTAAGCAATGTAGAGAGAGAGAGAGAGATGTTCACCTACTCTAGCACTCTTGTATAAGCCTTTGGCTCTATACATGGATTTGAGATAGCATGGTAGAAGGGAACTGTGCCAGTGATTAGCAATAAAAATAACATCTTCACCTGATATACAATATCAAAATATTAATAACATACTAAGGCACTCTGATAATCAGAAGTACTGAAAGTTTCGGGTATCAAATATGAGTGCCATATGGCCCGGAATAGTATTTGCTGCTTGTAAAATTCAAAATCCTTGGTGCTTCTAGAGCTGCCTAAACCATAAAGTCAAGATTATGTCTAATATAACTTGAAATATTTCATAAGATTTGCTATAGAATTGACATGTAACAGAGCGGAGGCAGATTCACCTGACACAAGAGGCTAAATCGAAGTTGGTTGTCTTGTTAATCCTTCCCAGCAATAGGACCATAAATTTTGGATCCTGTTTTTGCCCCAAACCTTGTTCATTCAATCATATGACATATCAGCCTTGAGTTATGTCATTCATTGCACCAAATCAATTGCTTTCGAAGAGAAGAATGGTTCATAAAATATCAAATGCGCCTAGTTTCTGTACAATTTTGATTAAGTCGTGTGAGAGAGTAAATTTATCTCAAAATCTTTCCAGCCATAGCTGGTGGAAGGCTGCCGAGAACATCTCCAATTCCACCGGTTTTGCTCCACGGGCATACTTCTGTCCCCACAAATACTAAAACCATACCACTGCCACAAAGAATGAGGCCTAAAGGCCTTCCATTGTATCTTCTTCTCCTTGTTTGTCCCAAAACTTAGTTTTGACGATTTCTTTGTCCATAATGAGTCTTGTTCTGCCTCATCAACCAAACTTTTTCCAAAGTTGCCATAGAATCTGATCCAGAAGATGACACTCCACAGTTAACATTTGAACTTCTTGATGCAAAACTTGAAGCAGTAAGAGCAGCCATTGGCAATAAAAAGAGGCAAGCAATGAAGAGGAAAAGAGACCAAGAACTAGCAAACGGACCCAAAAGCTTCACTTTATGGAGTTTTAAGGCAACAATTTATACTCTTTTTGAGGTTTCCACATGGCAATTAGAGATTGGTTGAAGGGTCTTCCTGTGGCCAAGAACCCCAGGATTTTTTTGCTGCTTACAAATTATATGGAGAAATTGGATTCACGGGACCGATCAGTTACATGTGAATTAGATGGAATATGGCACCAAAAAACTGTCTAGCATGTATATACTTCGCTGTGTTAACTATTAACTCATTCCTAAGTTTATATATTTGTATTCTTTATGCTAAACACTGAAAAGTAGGAAAGAGGAATAGGAAAAAAGCTTTAGGTGATCTACGGAAGAGATGAGAATTTTCCTTGAGTCCACATAAAAAAATATATATTATGCACAATATTTGTTTGTTTCTAGGTTTGAATCATCCTTCAAATCTTTTCACTACAACGTTTTTTCTTACAAAACTTTAAATGACATCGTGTTACTATGTTTGAACCATTTGATTTTAAAGTTGGAACATTTTACTATTGCATTTTTTGTGAAATTCAAAGAGTATAAGGCCCCGCTCACTTCGTTGATTCGACTTTAGAATTTGAGTTTTTCTACAGTAAAAAGCTCTCACAAACAATCACATATAACTTTTTTACTATAGTAAAAAGCTCTCTCATAAAGTCACATCTCAACTCGAATTCTAAACTCGAATCAGCGAAGTGAACGGGGCCTAAAAATACGTGTCAAATTGTTAAAACAAAATTTTACGAATAAGATAATATCTTTTTCATAAGATATTTTATATCCAATCTTAGAATTTGATAATCTATAAGCTTATATTATAATCATGCCAAATATTTCCCAAAAATCTCTATATGTAACAATCTTGTGTAGAAACCAAGAAAAAGGAGGACAATGGACACATGGAAGTTTTGGACCCATTTTTGAGTAAATTGCAACTACTGCTGACTTCTGTTTTATCTCTTATGTTTTAACTGTTCATTGATCTGCCGCCTTTTCTCTAACGCCTGAATCTCCGAGAGACGATCCATGGAGTTCACAGGGAAACCCACCAAGACGATAACCCATTACGACAAGCTAATTCGGACATGATCACCAATCCTCCCATGGAGCTCGACCTCAACTCCTTCCTCGACTCGCAACTCTCCAGCGACGACGACGACGGCGGCGATCTCACCTCAATTGCCCACCGCACGATCGACGAGATCCTCAACGACTCCGATTCCTCCGCCTCGTCGTCTCCTCCTCCGTCCCCGCCGCGCCGCTCCTCCTACGACGCCGTTTCGGTCTCCGCCTCGAGGCTCTCGTCGGAGTCTTCGATTGACGAGGCTCGCAGGTCCCCTCAATTGGAGGAAAGGCCGGTCGGATCGAGGACCGGTTCGTCTGCGCGGTTCAAGTCGGCCGGAGAACCCTCGTCGTCGCCGGAGGATTTGTTTCGTAGGGCTTCGAAACCCTTGCCATCGCTGTTTGGAGGCGTCCGTTCCAATGCGAAGCCCGGGGCGGCGCTCGCAGCGGCGGCGGCGGCCTCGAGGTCCGTTCCGTCGCCTCACGCCGCCGCAATCAAGTCAAGGAGGAGTCTTGGGAGTAGTGAGGGTTTGAGGAAGGTTCTTGACGGCAGGGAATTGAGGTCTACACTCGGTGATGACTCCGAGGCTGCTTCTGATGAATTGCCATCCAATTCGAATGGTGATTTGAAGATAATTAGCTCGGAAATTAGTCAAGATAGTAATGGCGATGAGATAACGGATGGTTTGCGGACAGTGGTAGCTGACATTGGCAGTGAAATTTTGAGTAGAGATAGGGTTTCTGAGAGTTCCCTCGAGGGAGATGAAGTTCTAAACAAGGCCAAAGACAATGAATCGAGGGTTGATAATACTGGTGAGGGATTGTTGGACGCCGATATTGAACCTCAGATTGATTCTACCCTAGTCAATAGCGGAAAGGATGTTGATTGTCAAAAGAATTCTGCGGTTACATTTGTGGACGATGTTGAAACGAGTAATTTGGAGTCTAAATCTGATTCTGCTGAGGAAAATGGCCTGGATGAAAGATCAAAATTTTTGGATGTCAGTGATGATAATGAAAATGGATGTTCCTCTTCTTTGCCTAATACTGATAACAATGGTAAAATGGGTGAGGAATTGACATCAGTGGAATTGGAAACAGAAGATTCGTTAGAAAAGTTTGCTTCTTCCAATGATAATAATGAGGATCTTACTGGTGACAATGCTGGTTCAACGAGTGACATTGATGAACTTGTTGAAGAGATAATTGGGCAGTTGGAGAGTAGGAGAAGTAGTGAAAGACCAGAAAAGAAAATGAGATCTCGCTTGAAGCCGCTCGAGTTAGCTGAAGAACTCGAGAAGAAACAAGCTTCAACGGGTTTGCACTGGGAAGAGGGTGCGGCTGCGCAACCAATGAGGCTTGAGGGTGTTCGTAGGGGATCCACAACACTCGGATACTTTGATGTTGCTGCCAACAATACCATTACACGGACCATTTCATCTCAGGCATTCAGGCGCGATTATGGTTCACCGCAAACCTTGGCAGTTCATGCTAATTATATAGCTGTAGGAATGGCAAGAGGGGTTATTGTTGTAGTTCCCAGTAAATACTCTGCTCATAACGCTGATGAAATGGATGCCAAGGTTTCATTTTCCTATTTCTCGTATATCTTTTCAAATTTCCTGCTTCTTTGATGCTTTTGCATTATCTGTTTCCTGCTCTAGTTGAATCGTCTATAGGTTTTGACATTAATTTTAGGGTGTTGTTGAAAACAAATTTGAGAAAGAATGACATCGTGAATATGAGGTTAGACAAAATAATTAGTTGCGAATTCCCAATGATATATTTGGACGATTGAACTATGTCACTGGATTGTGCTCTTTCTAATTTCTGAGCAACAAGTACTTGATTTTTTACGGTTGCTCCAAGATATAAGTAGCTTTATGCTTTGCATACAATCTTTGCATGATGGATAAAGTGATTCTCTTTCGTTGTGTTTTTCGGTTATGCCTTTCATTTTTACAAAACCACAAGCAACAGTATTTTTAATTATTACTTACAAGTGGTGAGCTATTTTTCTTCTTATGTAGATCAAGAGAAGCAACAGAGTTGTTGATTTCATTTATATTTGTATATTGAAAAAAAAAAAAAAAAAAAGCTTTATGATTTTGGAAGGTTCAGTTTGCAAAATATCTGACCTTGTGATTACGCTATTCAGCTGTCGAGCAGCATTTGATGTTTTGTCCCTGAGGTTACTTATCTTTTCATTTATGGCAGATGGTCATGCTAGGGCTGCAAGGTGACCGATCTTACTCTGCTGTAACTTCTATATGCTTCAATCAGCAAGGGGACCTTCTCCTGGCTGGTTATGGTGACGGCCATGTTACAGTTTGGGATGTGCAGAGAGCCTCAGCGGCAAAAGTTATTACCGGAGAGCATACTGCACCAGTTGTACATGCGTTATTTCTAGGGCAGGATTCTCAGGTTACACGTCAATTTAAGGCAGTAACTGGGGATTGTAAGGGTCTGGTTCTGTTACATGGTCTGTCAGTGGTTCCTTTGCTTAATAGATTCTCTATTAAAACACAGGTAAGATTTTCTACAGTATCAAGAAAGTGACTTATATTTGTATCTGTCTACTTAAACTTAATTCCTCCAAATTTAATTGTATGTATATTGATTGAGATAGTGTCTTCTTGATGGGAAAAGAACGGGCACAGTGCTATCTGTTTCGCCACTCCTCTTTGATGAACCTTTTGGAGGTGCTTCACCATCTGCTCAGGGAAATACAATGGGTTCAGCTAGCAGCATCGGCAGTATGGTGGGGGGTGTGGTTGGGGGAGATGCAGGCTGGAAACTGTTTAATGAAGGCTCTTCTTTGGTTGAAGAAGGTGTGGTCATCTTCGTCACGCATCAAACTGCTCTGGTGGTATGAAACTTTTAGATGATAAGACGAATTACAATTGCCTCTTATTTGATGAATTAATGTTTGCTTCTTTGTGGATAATGCTGGTTCAGATTATATAAATGCTGCATATTTGTCTCAGGTGAGACTCAGTCCCACTTTGGAAGTCTATGCACAACTTTCTAGGCCAGATGGGGTTCGGGAGGGTTCCATGCCGTACACTGCCTGGAAATGCACAGCACAATCGGATAATTTGTCTACTGGTATGGAGTCACTTGGTTTGTTCAATTTTATGTTGACAGCTTTTTCACACAAGTATCTATTGCAGAAAATACTCCCGCTGAAGCTTCAGAAAAAGTTTCACTGCTAGCAGTTGCTTGGGATCATAAAGTTCAGGTCGCAAAGTTGGTCAAATCAGAGCTAAAAGTATATGGAAGATGGTCTCTCGACAGTGCAGCTATAGGTGTTGCTTGGTTGGATGATCAGGTACATATGTTAGTTTGCTTATCATTTGTCTTTTGTCATGCAGAGATTCCATTAATAGATTTTCTTAAATTTTTTTGGTCCCTTAAAAACATGTCCATGTTATGGGTTTGAGTTTCTTTTATTTTAAATTCTCTGTAAGCCATTAGAGTTCTTTTCAGAACTACAAGGATAATTGAGGGTTTTATACCTATCCAGATGCTGGTGATTCCAACTGTTACAGGACAACTTTATTTATTCGCAAGGGATGGAACTATGATTCATCAAACAAGTTTTGTTGTTGATGGTTCTTCTGGGGATGATCTTGTTTCTTATCATACATACTTCAATAACGTCTTTGGGAATCCTGAAAAGGCTTATCACAATTGCTTATCTGTAAGGGGAGCATCTATCTATATTCTTGGACCAGCACATCTTATTGTGCCCCGTCTTCTCCCTTGGAAAGAACGGATTCAGGTCTTACGGAGAGCGGGTGATTGGATGGGTGCCTTGAACATGGCAATAACAATTTATGATGGTCAAGCACATGGTGTTATTGACCTTCCTAGGACCTTGGATGCTGTACAGGAGGCCATTATGCCCTACCTGGTAGAGTTGCTTCTCTCTTATGTAGAAGAAGTATTTTCCTATATTTCAGTGGCGTTCTGCAACCAAATTGAAAAAATGGATCAATTTGATCACCCAAACAGAAAAGGCAGTTGTGTGCACCATGAAATAAAAGAGCAATATACCCGTGTTGGTGGAGTTGCAGTTGAATTCTGTGTACATATCAAGAGAACTGACATCCTTTTTGATGAAATTTTCTCAAAGTTTCTAGCTGTCCAACAGAAAGGTATCCTTAACATACCATTCTCTTGCATTAAATATGCTGTTATTGGCCTGTTAAAATTGAAATTTTAAATTCCGAAAATTTGAAAATTTTGTTTACACGAAATGGGAAAAGTCATTATGTGTTAGAACTTAGAGTATGCAGTAGGCAACTCTATTTTACAATTAGACCAGGTAAGTTTCTAGAAAGCAGCTTATTATGTCTCACACCATGTTGTCTCATACTGAAAAACATTTTAGTGATGTACTTTCTTGATTTAAAAACATTGGAAAATCGTGCTAATGGTGTATCATTTGCTGAGTAAATTATCCTGCTTAACTGCTATTCGATGCTGTTCTTTGACTGATTTTTCCTCTCATTGCTAGAAACATTTCTGGAACTACTGGAACCATATATATTAAGGGACATGCTCGGTTCTCTACCCCCAGAGGTATTGCCTGATGCTTGAGTATTATGCATGTATTATAAGCAATATTCCACATATTAAACCTTTTTTTTTTTTTTTTTCAAATCTCTTTCTAAGATTATGCAAGCCCTCGTGGAGCATTATAGTGGCAAAGGGTGGTTACTGCGAGTTGAACAATGTGTCCTTCACATGGATATTTCTTCCTTGGATTTCAACCAGGTATATAACTATCATATCTTTGCTAAAATTTGCTGATATGGAACTGGGTTTTTCCTGTTATAATTTCTCACTTTAGCTGTGGACCATTCTTTCTACTTTCTTTTTGTAGGTTGTGAGGTTATGCCAGGAGCATGGATTGTATGGTGCACTGGTTTATCTCTTCAACAAGGGATTGGATGATTTCAGGGCACCTTTAGAGGAGCTCCTGGGAGTCTTACACAAGAGTCAAAGAGAGGCTGCTGCTGCCCTTGGGTATGGTTCCTTATTTCTCTCGAATTCTAAACTCCTAAACTTGTCTGGTTTTTTGGTAGTATATAGTTCTGGTAGATTTTGTTATATCACATCTTTATAGTGAATTTATAATAATCAATGAAAAATCTGACCAAATGCAGAAATAAGAACTGATTTTGACCGAAAATGCAAATAAGAACTACGTTTCTGTTATTCCAGTTGATCTCACTGGAAGTGTTTTAATCTTTAAGATCAAACACTAATATAAGAACTTTTGACCTATGTATTATCATTGTCATTATCATCCTCATCATCATTATTATTATTTATTATTTCTAATACTGTTCCTGTTAACAGATATAGGATTCTCGTTTATTTGAAGTACTGCTTTTCAGGCCTTGCTTTTCCTCCAGGTATGGACCTTGAAATCTTTTTATTTGTATAAATAAATAACCTCAAGCAAATTTCTCTATTTGTATCTATGTGATGTTAAACTCTGCTGGAGAAAGACTAACCCCGTTATTTCCTTTGCTAGTTTCATGCAACTGATTAGGGGAAAAAATGGAAAATTATTTTGATATGCAGGACATGGTAAACTTCCTCCTTCACGCCTGCCATCTCTCAGAGGAGAACTTCTGCAATATTTATTACAGGACTCTGATACCCTTAATCCTAGAGTAGGTTCAAACTTATCATCGAGAGGGGCACATCTAAACCTGTATCCCCTCTTAGAACTAGATACTGAAGCTACTCTAGATGTCTTGAGATGTGCTTTTGTAGAAGATGAAATCCCACAGCCTGGATTTTTGTCTGAAAATTCAGCTGATCCCAGTATGGAAGCGAAGGAAGAGAACCTTTCAATGGCTGAAAGTCGGAATTTTTTGGTTCAGAATACAGTAGATGCTCTCGTTCGTATTCTTGATAGGAACTTTTCAGATGCAGATAGATCTTCTTGTGGTGATGACGGGGCATCAGTCGAAGAGTGGCCATTTAAGAAAGAAATAGGACACTTATACGAGTTTATTGCACACTATGTTGCATGTGGAAGAGCTAATATATCAAAAAGAGTTCTCGGTCAGATTTTAGAGTATTTGACATCAGAGGATTTTCCATCGAGTGCTTCTGAACATAGCGTAATCTCAAAAAGGAGAGAGAAGCAGGTCCTTTCCCTTGTGAAGGCAGTGCCTGAGACTTATTGGGATGCCTCTTATGTGTTACAGCTATGTGAGAAATCACGTTTTAACCAGGTACATTTACTCTTCTCGATGTTGCCTCAAAGACTTGTTTATAGGATTACAGACTTGGTCTGGATAAGTCGACTCACACTTGGTAACATTGTCAATTTAGGTTTGTGCCCTAATTCATACAATGAGGCGTCAGTATCTTGCTGCTTTGGATAGCTACATGAAAGATGTAGATGAACCTGTTCATGCCTTCTCCTTTATTAACAAAGCGTTATTAGAGCTGAATGACGATGACCGTGCTGTTTTTCGTTCAGCAGTCATTAACCGTATTCCTGAATTGGTTAACCTAAACAGGTAGTGCTTATGTTATATTTGATCTTTTTTAATGTTATTTCTTGTCGTGGATTTCCCTTTTCAGCCAGAACTTAACTTCAAGGATTTATGATCCTTTTCAGAGAGGGCACTTTTGTCTTGGTTGTTGACCATTTCAGTGATGAGCTCCCACATATCCTATCTAAGCTTCACACTCACCCAAAAAGCCTTTTCCTTTATTTAAAAACATCTGTAGAGGTACACTTATCTGGCAACCTCAACTTTGATTATCTAAAAAAGGATGATATGAAGGATAAGTCCGAAGGACTTGAGGCCTACTTGGAAAGAATCTCTGATTTCCCAAAGTTTCTGCGTAACAATCCTGTACATGTGACAGATGATATGATTGAACTTTATCTTGAGGTGAGCACATCTACAATAATTAAGAGTGCAATTGTTTCTTTTTTCATTCAGGCTTTAGTATTTCTTAATGAACTTGTGTTTGTTCAGTCGTGCCTCATAATTTTTACTGTTGGCAACTTAAGGTGTCATTTCATTAGCCATACGTAAAAATAGAATTAAAAATCAGAAATACCCTCCCTCAAGGACTTTGTTAAACGGGCATATTATCCATCAATTTGGGTAGGCAATTTCAACATCTTTTATTTCGAAACCAAAGTTTAATTCAGGCAAGTACATTTGTTTATATAGGTGCTACTGATCTCTTAATTTTTACTGTCTATTGATTGTATAGGCTGTGGGATTTCATACTACCTCAAGTCTAAAAGCTCTTGTTTCTTTTGGTTCTTGAAATATTGCAGCTATTGTGCCAGTATGAACCTGGTTCAGTTCTCAAATTCCTTGAGACTTTTGATAGCTATCGCGTGGAACATTGTTTACGGCTATGCCAGGAACATGGAATAATAGATGCTGCATCATTCTTATTGGAAAGGGTTGGTGATGTTGGCAGTGCTCTTTTACTTACACTTTCTAGCCTCAACGACAAGTTTGTCAAGCTTGCTGATGGTTTAGGAAGTGGGACTGCTGGCTTAGAGCATTTTAGCACTATTAAAAATCTGGACAAGGTCTGATTATTTTCGGATAAGAGTGTACTGTTCTGTGTCTACTAGTTTTTATGCATTTTGCATCTTAGAATGTCATTTTTATATTGTTGTATTTGTAACATTCTCTTACAGGTGAATGAAATACAAAGTATATTGCATTCCTGTATTGGATTGTGCCAACGGAACACCCCTCGTTTGAATCCTGAAGAATCAGAGATACTATGGTTCAGATTACTAGACTCGTATGATCACTCTCAATTTTCCATCTTCTTTCTTGGTTACCAAATCTCTATTATTCCTTTTGTTTGCGTGTTTCCTCTTGTTGGCTGTATGTGTGGCTCAAGATCACAAATATGAGACTATGGCCCCTGGTGATATGATCTCATCTACAGTGTATGGCCTCTGCATAATCATGATAAAAACAATGAGAGGATGCACGTTATGCGGAGTATATACTTTGTCTTGTTTCCAGTCAAACAACAAAAGTTGTCGTGGCCTTGAGTATTTGCTTAAGATAGCTTGCTTATGGAGTTGGTCATAATCTAAGTGTGTGTGTGTGTGTTTTTTTTTCCCCACAGTTTAACCACCTGTTGAATTTCAATGCAGGTTTTGTGAGCCTTTGATGGGTTCATTTGGTGATGGAAGAGACTCTGAAGGAAGAAATCTCAATGGAAACTTAGCTGAGACGTCAAGTGAACAAGATGATGATGATGATGCATCCATAATCAGGTGGAGGATTCCTAGATCCCACAAAGGTGCTAATATCTTGAGGAAATTGTTCTCTCAGTTCATCAAGGAGATTGTTGAGGGCATGATTGGATATGTTCGCCTTCCGATCATCATGTCCAAACTCCTTTCTGACAATGGTAGCCAGGAATTTGGTGACTTTAAAATCACGATACTGGGGATGCTTGGAACATATGGCTTCGAAAGAAGAATTCTGGTATATTTTACTTGGCTTTTTTTATATCTATACTTATGTGGTTAGCTCCGTTTTAATGATGTGTGTTTATCTGGAATCTCCAATAGCTAGCTTCATGTAATGACCTTACCATGGGATTCTTTTCATGTAATGGCTTGTATGACTAATATGCTATGTAGGACACTGCTAAATCCTTGATAGAAGATGACACTTTCTATACAATGAGTTTACTCAAGAAAGGAGCATCTCACGGGTATGCCCCTCGTAGTCAACTTTGTTGTATATGTAATGGTCTCCTTGCCAAGAACATTTCTAGCTCCAGCATTCGAGTTTTCAGTTGCGGTCATGCAACTCATCTTCACTGTGACGTTTTGGAGAATGGCACATCGAGTGTTGGCTCCTCATCATTTGGATGCCCTGTTTGTATGCCTAAGAAGAAATCCCAGAGGTCTAAAAGTAAATCGACCCTTGTGGAGAACGGCCTAGTAAAGAAGTTACTGTCAAAATCCCAGCAAACTCATGGAACAACTGTTTTCCCACATGAAATTGATGCCTCAGACTATTCCTATGGACTCCAGCAAATATCACGAGTAAGAAGCAGTCTTTAGCTTATTGCTGATAGTATTATCTTCTCAAATGTTTGTTTTAATCAAATTTGCAATATTGGATGCTGCAGTTTGAGATGTTGAACATGTTGCAGAAGGAACAAAGATTTGTCCAGGTGGAACACATGCCTCAGTTGAGGCTTGCCCCGCCGGCCCTTTATCATGAAAAGGTAAAGAGAGGGGATGATATTTTAACAGGAGAAAGTAGTAGTAATACAGCAAGAACGGAAAAACAGAGTAGAAACAAGCAACTCAAGGACCTAAAAGTGAAGGGATCGTCTCTTCGATTTCCTTTGAAATCAAATATATTTGGTGAGTTATTTTTTCTCTCGTTTCGTTTCTTTTTATAAATTCTCACTTTAAACATGCCAACATTTCTAATGCTATCCAATCTTGACGCTTTGGGGCAATTTTGGTGTAGGCAAGGAGAAGATCAGCAAGAGGTGATGCCATTTTCTTGTACAGAATACAGATAGACTAACAATACTCATTTCGGCCTGCCGTCCATCATGTGTAATAGCTGAGGATCAATTTACAAAAGTCCATGTTGGCTGTTTTTTTTTTTTTTTTTTTTTCCTTGGTACCTCGTTTGTTTATATTTTTGTTTTAATATTTAAGTTGTAGCTATATGTACAAGTGGTGTATACTTTTTTCTTTTAAGTTCTCTGTATATGATCAAATAAGAATTTTTGTCGAAATTATGAATAAAAACCAATCATTCAATGGAGAAATATGTGATTCGAGTAAATTTAATGGACTTTTTATTTTTATTTTTATTTTTATGCGGATTACACTCTAACAAAGGCTCAGGCTGGCTGATTTTTTCCCCCCTTCTCTAAACCTCCCATTTGTTTTCTATTTTGAGGCCATCGATCGAGGCCACAAGGTGACGCTCAGCCAGCGCCTCTTTGCGATGACAATGCCTCGATAAGTTTCTTGGCAGGAATTAGGGTAGGGTTCATTTTGGAGCGAGACAATTTTTGTATCAAATCAAAGCATGATTTCAACTTCTTTGGGAATTTGAACCTGTTCAGTGTGAGTTGCTGCATGTAATGGGGAGTTGGACTCGGAGTTGTGGTGTTAGGAATACAGACTCCAGAACCATGCATTTAGGCTAATCAAGCGTTTGAAACAAGACTTGCATCATAGTTATGATAATTTTTATAACTATAAACATTCCTTTCTTTTGATGTGTACTTGATTTGATTTGCTTCCAATCATTTACTGTCATTTATGCAATAAAGTTTCAAGCAAAAAATAAATAAATTAGTACAACAAAGCATATGAATTATTTTTAAAGAGTTAAACTCAAAAATAGTTCACGAATTTTTTTCTATTTAGATTTAGTCTCTATAGCCAATTTTGTTTTATAAATAGTCCCTGAACTCAAAAAGAGTCTCATAAATGGTCTCTCTGTTAAATTTTGGATGGAAATCGTTAACTTTATCTCATAAAAGGTTCTTAAACTATTTTCTCTCTTTAAAAAGAGCCCCTATGTTAAAAGCTGTATTAAATTTTTTTTAAAAAAAGGATATGTCAAAATTAGTTCCTAAAAGAAAAAAATACCAAAATTAGTTTTTTTCCTACACATATTTGACTTTTTTTTATCTATTTATTCCATGTGTAATTTTGATATTTTTTTGAAGTGATTATATTTACCCTACCGTATTGATAAATGTTCTCTATTATTATTATATGATAATAATAAATTTAAAACGTATATTTTTAAAAATATCTTTTGTATTATACCTATTTTACAATCTCTCACTTTAATTTTTTATTTTCTTATTACAAAAAAAAAATAAAAAACTAAAGTGATCGTTTGTGAGACAAAGTTAACATAAGTATAATACAAAAGTTGTTAAATATTTTAAATGAAAACCATTAATTTTATCTCATAAAATAAAATAAAAAGTGATTCTATTAATATGCATTGAATTTCTAAATAACTCAATATAAATAACAATATTTTTTTATTTTTTGGTATAGTAAATAAAACAATGTTATGAAATTTGAGGTACTCTATGGTTCTACCTTATGAATTGCATCGCATTTATGCTTTGATTAAATTCATGTCAAACCCTTATCTCGTTTTATTATTAGTGTTATGTTAAGAGGTGGTTTTAATTATGGAAAGGACTTATATATCCTTCTCATTTTGGAATATATAAAAAGGAATTAATGCTCAAAAACACCACTTATGTTTTGTCAAAATACCACTTTCATCCATTTTATTATACAAATACTCAAAACAACCTTTGTATTTATAAAGACACCCAAAACACCCTCTGAAAAAACTATTTTAAAAAAAAAAAAAATACTAAGATTACCCTTTTCAATCTTTATTAAATACAATTTCCAAAATTTAAATAAAATTAATCTTAAAAAAATGGAAAGTTCTCAAAATAATTGAAGTATTTCTTTATTTTGAATATTTATTTGAGCATTTTTAAAATTTTTTATTGAAATTTTTATTTCAATCATATCCTAAATAATATTTAGAATTAATTACAAAAATTCTCCTTAAATTATGACTCTTATAGACTTTACTCCCCGATTTTCAAAATGTAATATCTGCTCCCCCAAACTATAAAACGTTAACAAAAAAATCTACTTTTGTTAAATTTTTTAACAGAAAACTATATGTAATATATAATTTGGGGTATTTTAGTAACCTTATTTAAAAAAAAAAAACTTTTTTAATTCTAATTTTACATGTAATATATGCTATATATTATATAAATTATGTAATATATAATTTGGGGTATTTTAGTAACCTTATTTAAAAAAAAAACTTTTTTAATTCTAATTTTACATGTAATATATGCTATATATTATATAAACATTTTTTTAGAATGTTAACATTTGAAAAATGTTATTAAAAAGATATTACGAGTTAAGTTAAAAAATATATTGTGAATTTAAAAATTATTAGTTTTATTTTTTTTGCTCAAAGAGTTTTAATTAATTAATTAATATGAAGAATAGGATTAAAAATTTTATTCTATTGTTTTGTTTTATTTATTATCTTATTAAATGAAAATTAAAATATATTTTTAAGAAATGTAAATTTAAAATTGATGGGTAGAAAAGTAATTTTGTAGAGACATAAATCATTATGGCCTCGTTCATTTCACCGATTCGAGTTTTCAGTTCTAGGTTTCTACAGTAAAAAATTCTCAGAAAATGTCACATCTAACTTTTTCTACTACAGTGAAAAGTTCTTAGAAAATGTTGACAAGAGTCATTTTTATTAGAACTCTAATGGAAGGGGATTTTTCTGTTAATATTTCATATTTCATAAAGAATGGATGTTATGTTTTAAAGATTGAGAGTAAATTATTATAAGAATCATAGAAAGGGTAACCATGACATTTTTAAAAATTCAATTGCTTCATGAGATGTTTTAGGCCTACTTGGCCACTTCTACGAATTATGAGGTGTTTTGGACATTTACATAATAAGAGATAAAAAATGGGATTTTGACAAAATAGAAGGGGTACTGGGATACTTTCTTAGATAAAAATTATCTTTAAATTCATTCAAGATATGAACGTGGCGATCAATTCTCCCTTCTGTAATTGTTTTCCCAAAATCCTCCTTTTGCTCTTCTTCTCCTCCACAGGCATAGCTCATTCTCATGCCGCCATTGCCATGAGATCAAACAGGGCATCCTCCTATCTCCTTCCCTGAAGCTCCAATTCCTTCTATTTGGATTCTCACTGTTTGCCTTGGATTTTTTTTTTTTTATATAATTTAATCGTCTAAGAATGTAAGTTACTTCTGAACCCCTCGTTTCTCTTCTTGATTTCTTCTCTTTTGGCCTTTAAATTTCACTTCGGTTCTTTCAAGGTTTTGTTCTAAACTGGGAGCTGCCAATGAATTCGGCTTTGGTTTCGTTTTCGCCATTTTGTAATTGGGTTGGTATATAAATTCTCCATTTTTGCCATTTTGCTATATTTCTGGAAAATCATTCATCCACATTTACCTTTGATGTTGCAGAAATAGAAGAAGAATATGTTGGTCTGAGAGCTTGCTTGCTTGCTACTGTTCCCTTTTAATGCTGCAATACGAACATAAACTGTTTGAGATTATTCCTAACTGAAAGTTATCAGCTAAGTTTCTTGTGGGAATGCTTCAGTGTGTTGTCTAAGTACGAGCTTTATGTTGTGGTTTTAGTTTGTTTGCTGAAACACCATGACTGTAAGATGGCCCAGAATTTTAACACCCACACATCTCTCTCAGATCATACGCAATCAGAAAAACCCATTAACGGCTCTCCAATTCTTCAATGAAGCTAAATCTAAGTACCTGAGTTACCGTCATAACGGGCCGGTATACGCCACCATGATTGGTATCCTTGGAAAATCTGGCAGAATAACTGAGATGAAGGAGGTGATTGAGCTGATGAAAAATGACTCTTGTGAGTGCAAGGATTCTGTTTTTGTAGCTGCAATAAAGACCTATGCTAAAACTGGAATGCCTGATGAAGCACTCTCTCTGTTCAAGAGCATTCCACAGTTTAACTGTGTGAATTGGACCGAGTCTTTCAATACCATCTTGCAGATAATGGTCAATGAGTCAAGGTTTGATGACGCTGGACGTCTTTTCTTGGATAATTCTTCTCGATGGGAGGTGAGCTCTCGCATTCAGTCCTTGAATCTGTTAATGCGTACTCTGTGCGAAAAGGGTTGTTCGGATGTTGCATTACAGGTTTTCCAAGAGATGGATTATCAGGGAATTCACCCTGATAGGGAAAGTTATCAGGTTTTGATGAGGGGGTTATGTCAAGATGGGAAGCTAAATGAGGGAATTCATTTGTTGTACTCGATGTTTTGGAGGATTTCTCTGAAGGGCAGTGGCGAGGATGTTGTGATCTATAGAACCTTGTTAGATGCTTTGTGTGATAATGGGAAGGTTGAAGAAGCAGTGGAGATTCTTGGGAAGATATTGAGGAAGGGGCTTAAGGCTCCTAAGCGATGTCGTATCCGCATTGATCTCAGTCAATGCAGCAATTTTGAAGACGTGGAAAGCATTAAGCGACTGATTAATGAAGCTCTGGTCAAAGGTGGGATTCCCAGTTTGGCTAGTTATAGAGCCATGGCAGTTGATCTATACAATGAAAATAATATCAATGATGGTGATAAAGTTCTCAAGGAAATGCAAGATAGAGGCTTTCGGCCAACACCTTCAGTTTATGAAGCGAAGTTGGCCGCTTTCTGCAGGAGAGGAGAATTAGATGCAGTGAAGGTTGTTGAAGTAGAGATGGTGAAGGCAAACTGTGTCCCAACTGTTAAATTTTATAATATTGTGGTGAGAGGCCTTTGTGAAGGAGGCAAATCAGCATGTGCTATTGGGTACTTAAAAAAGATGGCTAAGCAAATGGGTTGTGTTGCTGACGAGGAAACTTATGGTGTTTTAGTTGATGGGCTGTGCCGTGAGGGCAAATTTCTTGAAGCGAGTAGAGTTTTGGAGGAGATGTTGGTGAAGTCTTATTGGCCTTGTGCTGAGACCTACAATGGACTAATCAAAGGTCTTTGCTCTATGGGTAGGCAATATGAAGCTGTGATGTGGCTGGAGGAGATGATTAGCCAGGGTAAGTTACCACAACATTCTGTGTGGAACTCTTTGGTGGCGTGTGTGTGTCGCAACACGTCTAATTTTGATATATGTTATGAGGCCAATAATCAGCGGAGGAGCTCTTAGACTGTTTGTGTTGTAGAATAGCGACCATCAGGGAAAAAAAAAGAGGATATTTATTTGAGTTTACTGCACGTTATATTGTATGTGGAAGGGCTAACGTATAGAAAAGAGTCATTGGTCAGATTTTAGAGTATTTGACATCAGAGGATTTTCCATGGAGTGCTTCTGAACAACAGCATAATCCCAAAAAAGAAAGAAAAATAGGCGGTTCTTGCCCTTCTGTTCTGAAGGCCTTGCCTCGGACTGATTGCGATGCATCTTATCTGTTATAGGCTACAGCTATATGAGAAATTGTGTTTTCATCAAGTACATTTACTCTTATGTCATCTCAAAGACTTGTTTCTAACAGTTCTACATAAGTCAACTAAAACTATCAGTATTAATGTCAATTTAGGTTTGTGTCTAATTCATACAAATGGGCATCAGGATCTTGCTGCTGTGATAGCTACATCAAAGATGTAGACCAGCCCGTTCGTGCCTCTCCTCTATAGACGGAGCGTCGTTAGAGATGAGTGACAATGACTGCACTGCTCTTCGATTGCAGGCACTAAAGCGCTCGCATACCCTGTTCGAGCTTTGCACTCATCCAAAAAGCCATTTCATCAAATTTAAAAAGTAAAAACAGCTGTAGAGGTTCAATTATCTGGCAGCCTCAACTTTGATTATTTAGGAAAGGATGATGATATGAAGGATAAATCTCAAGTAGTTTAGGCCTACTTGGAAAGAATCTCTGATTTCCTAAAGTTTCTGCGTATGAATCCTGCACATGTGCCAGATTTTATGATGAAACCTTATCTTAAGATATTGTACGTGATGGATATTACAAATTATAAAAGCTTTTTGGGCCCGTTCGGTTCGCTAATTCAAGTTTTTAATTTGAGTTGAGATGTGATATTGTGTGAGAGCTTTTTACTGTAACAAAAAAGTTAGATGTGACTGTTTCTGAGAGTTTTTTACTGTAGCAAAACTCGAATCAGTGAAAAGAACGGGACCATACTTCTTTTGGTTTTCCAAATATTATAGCTTTGTGCCAATTTGAATATGGATACTTTTGATAGCTATCGGAAAACCAAACGATACTTGTTGGGTCGGTTTTGGTTGGTTCTGTGTTCGGTTTCTTATAACCTTTAAACTTTTTTAATAATTTTTATATAGTAAATTGAAAGAGAAAAAAAAAATCTTTTGAAGCTTAAGGGTCATTCGAAATGAGTCAATATGAGGCTTAACAAGGTGTGCATGCTTTAATTTATGTGTGTATCATTCAAACAGAAGTTTTAATGGAAATTATAAATAAAGAACAAATCATTTATCAAAGAAGAAATGTATGCTTTAATTCATTTGTATATGAAACAAACAGAAATGTTGATGGAAATTGTAAATAAGAACAAATCATTCATTAATGAAGAATTATGTAATTCAATATGCCTCCAGCTACAATTGTTATCTGTATATGATGCAAACGGGAATTTTAGTGGAAAGTATAAATAAAAAACCAATTATTCAAGGAAGAAATATCTGGTTCGAGTAAAATTTTGAAAATTTGCTATTTCTTAAAAAGAATTGCAAAATAGGGCCCAACCGGGTTCGAACCGGTGACCTCTTGATCTGCAGTCAAATGCTCTACCACTGAGCTATGGACCCGTTTGTTCCCTTTGGTATGTACAATAAATATATTATTGAAAATTAAAATTGTGTAAAGGAAAAAGCACAAAAAGAAAACTTGAAGGCTTTGGCCTCATCCATTAACACGTTGGAAAAGTCATCCCCCTCCACATGTCACACCCATCAGTTTATATTTCTGACCACAGAAGCATACAAAAAACTTTTTTGTAACGTATTTCCACCATTATAACCCAGAAGAAAATAATTATAAAGGAAGAAGCAGGAAAAAATATGTTTACTTGAAAAAAAAAAAGAGAAAAACAAAGGAAAAAGATATTGAGTTCATGCACCATGGTCAGATCCAAAAGAAAAAAAAAAAGAGCTAAGAATAACTATGAAGGACCATGTTCCTAAAAATGGTCCAAAGAATAATTATGCCCAAATTGGGATTTGTAAGATAACTCCCTTATGTCCAAGCACTCTCCAAAAAAGAAAAAAAAAAGTAAAAAGAAAAACTCATAATAAATGAGTGAGAGAGAAACAACCCAACTGTCAACAAGAAAGTATAGAAAATACAAACTCACATCACATTAATAATTGGGAGAGTACTCTTTTTTTTAGTAGAAAACTGAAGTTACAAGGCTTGTGATAGTTTTCACAATAGTAACTTTAAGGAAATAATGGTAAAATAATAGTACACTTTCCCATTGATAAAAGCGTAATATGTACAAGTACTCTAGAAATTTGAATTTACATCAAACACTTCTTCATCAATGGATAAAACAAATTAAACATTTACATGAGAAATTAGCAACAACAAAAAAAAAAAAAAAGTAATACAATCTATATGAGAGAGAGAGAAAAAAAAAATTTATTTGGGAAAATTGGAATCTAAATAGCAGTAGGAATTAGTTGGGTTTGGGTGGCTTTCCCTTTGTCAGGCGGGTATTTCCAAACTGCTTTCCCTCGTATCCTCCGCCTCTTCACTTCTTCTCTTCCCCTTAAAAATTTCTCCCCTCGTTCCCTCATTTTCCATTCTTTCTCTCTTCCAATTCCCTCTAACCCATTTTATTTTCCGGTCGTCCAAACACCAGCCCCCCCACTCCCCAAAGCTCTGAAACCGCAACAACAATGTCGTTCTCCGCCACCACCAAGTTCGCCCAGCCCGTCGTCCCTCTCAACACCTCCGCCACGCCCAGATCCAACGACAATCCCTCTCTCTTCTTCAAGACCTCCTCTTTTCTCGGATCCACCCACAAGCTCCGATTCAATCCTCTTCCTTCTAAGGCTCATCACCGCCGATCCGCAGCCGTCGTCGCCGTCTCCGACGTCGTCAAGGAGAAGAAGCGCCAGGCTTCCACCAACCTGGTAAACTGTGATTTTTCAGTGTTTAGCTGTTGAAATTTCACTTCCTGGTGTTTTTTTTTTATTTCATCGTTATTTTCGAGAGAGAGAGAAAAGAAACGACATTTTTCAATCTTTATTAGCTGTGAAAGATTTAAACTTTACTTTCTCTTGTTTTTTCCTTGTTATTTCCGAAATTGTGGGGAGATTAAAAAAAACTGGAAATTTTTGTTCTTGGTAATCATGGGTTTCGTGTATTGGGTTCCTGAGATTATTTATGAGACATTAATATTAGCTGTATCAGCTGGAATTGTTTTGATTCTTATTTTTGGATCTCTATTAAACAAATCAGAAGATTCAAGTTTCGGTTTTTGACGGTGAATTTCGGAATGCCTTGTTATAATATTTGATTAACTTGGTAAAGATTGTCGTTTTGTCATCTTGAAGCCATTATATTCGTTCCAAAACTTTTCCATGCCAGAATTTCTAGTGAAACAAACAAGGTCTCAGTTTAGTTACTTTTGAAATGATTTTTGTATTAAGCTGATCACGAAAGAGGAAGGCTTGGAGGTATACGAAGACATGTATTTGGGCAGAGCTTTCGAGGATATGTGTGCCCAGATGTATTACAGGGGGAAAATGTTTGGGTTTGTTCACCTATACAATGGCCAAGAAGCTGTGTCAACTGGGTTCATTAAGCTTCTGAAGCAGAAAGATTGTGTGGTGAGCACTTACCGTGATCACGTGCATGCGCTGAGTAAGGGTGTCCCTGCTCGCGCCGTGATGAGTGAGCTCTTCGGGAAGTCCACTGGCTGCTGCCGAGGCCAAGGTGGTTCTATGCACATGTTCTCCAAAGAGCACAATTTGCTTGGTGGATTTGCTTTCATCGGTGAAGGAATACCTGTGGCGACCGGTGCTGCATTCTCCGCCAAATACAGGCGGGAGGTGTTGAAAGAGGCCAATGCTGATGATGTGACTTTAGCGTTTTTCGGAGATGGGACTTGTAACAATGGCCAGTTCTTTGAGTGCTTGAACATGGCGGCATTGTGGAAGTTGCCCATCGTGTTCGTTGTGGAGAACAATTTGTGGGCAATTGGGATGTCCCATTTGAGGGCTACTTCGGATCCGGAGATCTGGAAGAAAGGACCTGCATTTGGTATGCCGGGTGTTCATGTCGATGGGATGGATGTTTTGAAAGTCAGGGAGGTTGCTAAGGAGGCAATTGCAAGGGCCAGGAGAGGAGAAGGGCCGACATTGGTTGAGTGTGAGACATACAGATTCAGAGGACACTCATTGGCTGATCCAGATGAGCTTCGTGACCCTGGTCAGTACTCGAGTTATTCTCTTTCCTTGTTTTGGATCGTTACGTTTTCTTCATTGTCAATTTTGACTGTCATCACATGCTTATGCTTGTGCTTCTTGCTAATAGACTGACTTCTATGTTTAGATTTGGTTTTTTCCTTTAGCATGTTATGTTATTAGAATCTTGGCTTTTGTATTATGTCGATTATGGTCCAATTAGTTCTTTGAATGTTTGCTGGTGATCTACAAAAAATTATTTCTTTAGCTGTTTTAAGAATAATGTCTTTCAAAGTAGTCATATTGTGTCAGATTTCAAGTTCCTATTGTTGACCAACATTTTTGGTTATTGCATTTTGCAGCTGAGAAGGCGCGTTATGCTGCCAGAGATCCTATCACAGCGTTGAAGAAGTACTTGGTCGAGAACAAATTGGCTAATGAACAAGAGTTGAAGGCGGTAGAGAAGAAGATAGATGAATTGGTTGAGGAAGCTGTTGAGTTTGCAGATGCTAGTCCACATCCACCTCGCAGCCAGCTACTGGAGAACGTGTTTGCAGACCCGAAAGGTTTTGGAATCGGGCCTGATGGGCGGTACAGATGTGAGGACCCCAAATTCACTGAAGGCACTGCTCAGGTCTAATTACTCAAAATTAGAGGTCTCTTGTTATGTTGGTCAATAGTTCTTGGATGTATGGTTTTATGTTTTTTTTGCTTACCGTTAGAAGTTTCCTGTCACTCATAAGTTGACTTAGTCGTTATACTGTTAGCAGGATATGTGTTGTCAACGTGAGTTCCTTATTTCAATTTTGGTTATCCTCATCTTTAAGCATCGTCCAACTTTTGTTTCCGACGGCTTCAGTTTATACTTCTCATCAATGTTATACGTGATGAAGGATTAAAATACAGAACTCGTCAAGGTTTCTAGGGAAAAGTTGAAGAGAACAATATCGCATTCAATCTCGTTATGTAAGTACGTTTCAAAATTGTGCATAAGTTATGTTCCCATGTGACTATTATTAGCAGTACTGATTTGATGATGCAATATGATGTTTATGACGCACAATAAACACTTTCAGCTACTACAGACGTTATTTTCAATGTGACGTAAACCTCCAACTATAATAAATGCGCATTGCTTCAAATCTTGATAATGAAAGTTTTCTGTCCCATTCTCACCTCATATGAAATGAGAGGTATGGTTTAGACTTCAGAGACATAAAATAAAATAACAACGCGTTGACTTGTAAGTAATAAATTAACTGGTAAAATTTTATCTCAAATCAAAATGTCCCCTTTTATCCCACAATCAAAATACTCCTGTACACCGCTTGAGGTCAATATAAAAAGCTACATGCTTAATTGGATGTAAGTTGTAACAAGACAAAACGAGAATTATTTCAATCTGAAGAAAACCTTCAAGTAGCAACAAGAATAAAGATATATAAGCAAAAAAACAAATGAATGGGACTATAGGACTCATTTACAACTTGAGAGCCGCAATTGCTTCAGGTTTGAAATCGACTCTTAGACCCAGAACTCGCCTAACTTCAGCTGGGGTCAGTCTCCAAGTCATGGGTCCTGAATTCTCACCCCAGAAATCTAGAATCTCAGAGACCTTCTCTAAGTTGAGGATTGTAGCCATTTGAGTAAGACGAGCAAACTTATCTCTTACAGTCCTCTGAGTCATGCCAGAGAAGTGGCTTACCAATGCCCTTGCATCTCTATCGAGTTGCAGGCCTCCAAGCTGGCTGAATCTTTTCTGCATCATAATCACTTCAAGCCTCTTGACAATGAAGTCGATGACCAAATGTACGAAGGAGTCATAATTGTTAGCGGTCATTAAAGGCTGAAGCCATGCTACATTTGTTTCAACAGCATGGAGGAGCCTCTGGACCCATGGATCATTGACCTCATTATCTGCATATTCAGCCTCCGACAGCTCGTAACTGATGGTTGCTACAGTGTCCAGCAATGGACGAATTCGAGGTGTTACAGTTGCCACAAGTTGCTCCATGCCAGCTGTCAAAGCTTGCTTGAATGTGTTGCTCATGTCCCCCATTTCGGATAAACAAGATTTCACTCTTTCCCTATCAGCTGGCGCAGGAAATACCTGAAGAAGAAATATTTAAGCATGTTTACTATTAAATGCTGGACGCAATCTAACAACAGACCGCTACAATATCAGCCTTAAAAAATACATACAAGAACTAGAGAATAAACTTTTATGATAGTCTCCCATGAATTTGGGAGAAGAAATGTACAGAAGATCAAGAGAAACGTAAAATAAAAGCGCTGGTGTCTTTTCTAGTATCCACAAAGCAACATAGGTTACACTACCCTTCAATCATTTTAATTTAATGTGCTCTCCAACTAAAGCAACGTCACATTTCACAGACAGCAAGTTAATAGGAAAACCAACATGACCTGTATAATATGCGCATTTGAAACTGTTATACTTGTAAAAGGGACGGGGTTTGTTTTTATATGAGGTGTCTCTATGATAAGTGAAACATAAAATTTGTTGCTAATCATGGCAACATAAAATGATTACTAGAATGAATCAAAAGAAATATTAAGAAAAAGTTTCAAAGAGTTGGCTGCCACATTCATAATGTTCTTTTGATAATTACGCAACTTCTTGAGACGTTGTTCAAACGAGCATAGACATAGAGCCATAGAGTCATTGAGAAAATCTTTCAAAAGCATGTCTGGATGAAGTAAAACCAAATGACACGTATAAATTGGTAGTGACATAAATGAAATTACTATAATTACATTGTAGGAAATCGATCAATTTAAAATTGAAATGACCAATCTCAAGTACCATCATACCACAATATTTCAAAAGAAAAATGAAAAAAAAAAAAAAAAAAAAAAAAAATCTTTACTTTTTTATTTTAGAATTTATTTCCACAGATAAATGTTATATATCTCTAGCATTAAGTCCTGAACTTTTATTTCAAAAGACAAATCACAAATGCCCGAACTTTTATTTCAAAAGACAAATCACAAATGCCATTCTTTACTTTCTATTATAGAATATATTTTCACGGATAAATGGTGCGTGTATCGCTAAGACTCCAACAGAGAGTTCTTAACTTAGTTTCATATTCCATTTTAATCTTCATTTCCAATTGATATTAGGCCTACTAGACACAAAACCTCTGAAAATGAAGTAGTATCAATGCATGATCAAGTTGCATGAGCAAGGAGTAGCAAACCATTCGGGAACATAAATTTTGGAACTTCAGGCTTAAACCGCAAGCAAGTTGAAATATGAGCCATATGCTAGATTTCCTTGAAAAGAACAATCACACAATCACTTACCTCTACACATTGCTCTTCAATTTCGTGTTTCAGTTTCAGGACATACTCGCTACTCACATCCATGTTATTCAAAGCTGTTGCAATTTCTGTTCCGGTTTTCTGTACTCCAACACCACCCAAGAACAGCTTTGCACCAAGATTGGGCTCTCTCATCTTCTGTTGCAACGCCTCATAGTACTCATTGCCCAACAAGCTACTCGCACCACTAAGAACAGCAATCACAGAGCTGATATTCGAAGTCGAAATCGCCCTTCGCAAGCAACTCTGCAGAACATAGAACACATCGTCCACCATTGAAGTCGTGAGACTATCGGGCACATGCTCGTCGATCATAATCGCCTTCCTCACGCTTTCCACCATGTAGAATCCCTCTAGAATGACGTAAAACCCAGTAATTTCCTGAGCAACTTTGCTGAATGCTCCATTTCTGAAGACCTTGGTGGCCCGCGGGACCAACTCTGGATCCACAGAAGTCAACCCCTTGATCTTGGAAAGCATGAATTGTATGTAGTCCTCTCCTAATTGCATCAATGACAGAATTTCTTCCAAGTACAATTCAACCTCTCTCGGATCAGGTCCCTCGGAGACCACTCCAACAGTGAGCAAATTCTTGTTCTGGGCATTGATCTCTGACGAAAGCTTGGGCAATTTCCGGTATTCCATGTACTTCTTCAAGATCAAAGAGCCCCTCGAATCACACTCCTCTTGAAGCTCAAAAATGGCGTAAACAATTCCATCCTCGCCGCAAAGACCTCTCAAGATCTGATCGTTCTCTTCGATTGCCAAGACGATGTCTTTGAACAGATTCGTCAAGCAACCAACGAAATTCACCTGCGTCTGAGCATTTTGCTCCACCAATTCCACCAAATTCTCGTACTCAACCCTAGATCTCATCCCGATCACCTTCCTCAAATACCCTACGTACACCTGCAAGCCCTCAACCGCCAATCCCAGTGGCGTGTACAACCTCACAAACCTCAAAATCGTCGGATGATCTCTCTGATCTACCGCCGCCGCGAGGCGCCTCTTGACGATCGCCTCGAGCTTCCTCTTCGACTCGCTGAGCTGCTCCATCTGATCGGAACCGGAATCCTTGTACTCCTCGTCGATCTGGAGAAAAGTCTGAACATAATTGGCCGCAGCCTCGTAGTCTTCACTCTCGAGCGCCTTCTTCACGCCGTCAATGCAGCTCCCCCTCTCTACAATGGCGTCCAGACGCCGGAGCGTGGATTTCACGCGCGACTGGGCGAAATCGAGCTCTCGGACTTTCCGGCTGACGGCGTCGGCGAGGGCGGCGGTGGAGGAGACGTTGGCGAGCATGTAGTCGGATTCGGCCTTGACGATGTCGAGAACTTGGGAGGATTTCTGGAGGGAAAGGAGTTGCTTGTCGAGGTCGGATCGCTGAGAGAGGAGGCTGTCGAGCTCCAGATCTAGGGCTCTCTGGTAGGCGATGCACTCATGGAGAAGCCGCGTCATGGCGCCGACGTCCGTGAGGGTTCGGACTTGTTCCAGAGCCTCCTCCGTTCCGAACTTGATCGACGGTGAGGAGAGGAGGTCCTGGTGCTGTTGGCGGTGGGAATCCACGACGGTGATAGAACCGTTTGGGGTGGTGGGCTCCATTGCCGTCATCGGAAAAGATGATGAAAGATCTCCGAAACAAATCTGAATCAAGAAATGTTTACTTTATAAACAATAAGAACAATCATTTCCTTTGATCTCATTCTCTGCATTGTCTTGTCTGCCGTCTTCTTTTCCTCAACTTCTGACGGGGAAAAGAAAGAAAAAATAAGTTTTTTTACTTTATAAACAAGGCCTAAGGTTTTTTTTTTTTTTTTTTTTTAAGTGAATGTTTTATTTATTGATTCAGAATCATGATTTATAATTATTTTTAATTTATGTGTATTTTTTATGAGAGAAAATATTATAGTAAATCATGAATCATGATTCAAATTATGGTACGAATCCACCGACCAAATAACCCATAAATTTTAAAGTAACAAAAAAAAATTAGATGTGAAATTTTTTTTAAATTTTTAATTGTAAAAATTAAAGATTAAAAATTTAAATTAGTGAAATAAATAATGTCTAAATTTTTTTTAAATAAAATTATTTTGATAATTTTTGCTATATTAAAATATATTTTTGATAATTTATATTTTTATAATATTAAAATGATACTTGAATATTTTTTTTAAAAAATATTATGAATATTTTAAAGTTGATTTTTAAGACATAAAATAATTTTAGTATTCTTTTATTTAATTAATTAAAATCTAATAAAATTAAAAAAATCAAACTTTTTTGTTATTTTCTTTAAATATTTAACATTTTAAAATATATATATTGATTCCTATTTAATTAATAAAAATAGTAGTTTGAACAATGTCCCAAAAAAATTACTTTAAAATACTTAAAAGATATTTTTAAAAAGTCAAGATACCATTTTAATATTATCAAAAATATAGGTCATTAAGAACATGTTTTATTGTGATATAAGGTACCAATAAGATTTTATGTCCCATCATAAGTTCCCTTCATTTAGGGGGCGTTTGGTAGAGGGATTCATTCCCTGATTCGAATTATGATTCGTGGTTCGCTACAATATTTTCTCTCACAAAAAATACACGTAAATCAAAAATGATTCGAATCACATGGTTTGAATCCTCCAACCAAACGAACCCGTCTTCTTTGCTCTTAGAGGTATTCAGTTTTTATACGGGTAAGAAGCTATCTTGTGTATTGAAATTTTTTCTTAAGCGAATAACTCTTAGCTCTACTGTCGCACTTTGAGTCTCAAAATTTTTAGTTTTGATAAATTACCCAATATATTTTAAAATTAATAATGATTGAGATTAAAAGTTAACAAGTATTATCAAACTAATAGTTTAAAATACTATATCTATAAAAAAAAATATTATAAAAAATATAGGTTATCAATAACATGTTTCATTGTGATATAAGGTAACAAAAAGATTTTATGACCCATCATAAGTTCCCTTCATTAAGTCTTCTTTTCTCTTGGAGGTATTCAGTTTTTATACGGGTAAGAAGCTACCATGTGCATTGAATTTTTTTCTTAAGCAAAGAACTCTTAGCTCTACTGTCACGTTTTGAGTCTTAAAATTTTTAGTTTTGATAAATTACCCAATATATTTTAAAATTAATAGTGATTGAGATTAAAAACTAACAAGTATTATCAAACTAATAGTTTAAAATACTTTATCTATAAAAAAAAATGCATTATTTTTTAAATAGGTCAGTTATTAGACTTTAATTGTTACTTATTTGTAAGTTCATAGTGTGATTTGCAATAATTAACAGTTTAAGGTATATCATACAAAAAATGAAACGTTTAGATGCAACGATGTGATTTTCTCGAAAAAGTAATCTAATCCCAATCTAATAGCACGCGACATTACCACAAAACGGAAAGTACACACCCATGTAACAAACGACATCAATTGGAAAAAATAAACGACAGTAAAATGGGAAACAACAGTCAACAGTAACACGGACAATGACGTGACCCCAAAAATGACTGTAATGGTTTTGACTAACATTTAGATCGGCAGTAAAACGACAACAAATAGAAATAAATTTACAAACGATAATAAGTAGGAAGAGCGAATACATGAGAAACAACTATATGATGCAACATCGACACTAGTACGACCTAAACGACAGTAAAAGACATCCACTTAAGACGACAGTATACTAAAGCAGTAAATAAAAAACGCATAAAAACAAAAACAACCAATAACCAAAAGCTACATCAAGAACGACACTTAAAAAATGCAGAAACGACATGACGATTAAACCTATTTAACAAAGGACAACAAACTAGATCACGACATGAACTGTTGAAACGAAGCAACGTGAAAGGGACAATATTATGGGAAATTTTACACAACTAAGGAACAAAAGGAATATGAGGTGCATATACAAATAATTGGCTCGACCTTGAATTGGGGACAAATACAAATTAGTGTGAGCAACTAAATACTAACTTTTTGATTGACAAGAAAAAAGGGTCGGAAATAAAAGAGATAAACAAGTCAAATCCACCTTCATCTATAATCATGTCTTTCATATTGTAATTTTTTGATTAATTATATGCTTATAATTGTAAGCTATACATTACTATCACACATTAAGCATTACAATTATACATTACTATCACACATTAAACAAAAGGTAATAATATATCCAACTTCACTTTAATCAACCATAAAATTGATACACCAATTCATATAACAGACAGAGACAAGCATTAATATTAAATGCTTCCCATAGTACGCTACAAAAACATGTAAACTTTTCCGTTATTCCAAAAATTAGCATTTTTTATTTTATAAAAAAAAATTGTTTTTTTGACATATAACAGAATCCCAGTAGTGAAGATGAAAATATTAAAATATTTTAAGCATAGTAAAAATTAAAATAATTAAAAAAATTAGTGAGATTATATAGTACATATTACATAATGTGACATCATTATGCTGATATTATATCATTTTTGTTATTTTTAAAATATTCAGAAAATTAAGTTAATAATTTCATCAAAGAAAATTTTCCATGTAATGTAATTAAAAAAAAAAAAAAAACTTTATATTACGGGCTTATGGAGCTCCGAGTGGTAGTAGTACAAAGGCACGGGTGATCTGTCGTAATCGAAAAACCTTATCCATTCCATTACAGAAAAGGTTGAAAGCTTTCAGTGGCTCAATCGCTTGCTCACAGTCACTCCGGTCGATCGGGTTAGCCCGAGACATGGCGGCCACTTGCTTAAGCATAAGGCCCTCTTCATCTTCCGCATCCTTCATCGCCACCAACCACCACAACCACAACCTCCTCAGAGCTCCAAAACGACTCGTTTCATGGCCGTCGTCTCAGTACTCCTCTTCTCAGCCAATCCGGCTTGGCCGCCGCGAAAGCAGGGCTCCGACGGCGGCGGTTTTAGACGGACAAGCGGCGGTGGCTGAAGAGGAGGAGGAAGATCTGGACGGCTACGGTTACGACGAGTATGACTTCTACGACCGCAACGACGACGTCGTTTCGGGAAGAGAGTGGAAGAGCCGGCCGAGACCGTGTGAGTTGTACGTGTGTAATCTTCCCCGGAGCTGCGATGTCCCGGAACTCGCTCAGATGTTTAAGTGTTTTGGAACTGTTTTCTCCATTGAGGTAATCTTTATTTATTTGTTTGTTTGTTTCTAGTTCAAGATTGAATCTTTGGAAATTATAGATAGTTTTGAGTTTTTTTTTTTTTCAAAAAATTTTGGTGAATTTTGTTTTCAGATTTCTAGGAATCCGGAGACGGGAATAAGCCGGGGAAGTGGGTATGTCATAGTTGATTCAATGGAAGCGGCAAAAGCTGCCATTATTGCACTTGATGGATCGGTAAGTGATGAAACTTTAGCTACTCTTTAATTATGTATTGGACAATAGTAGAAAATTTCAAGTAATTTTAACAATTTTTTTAACTATTGTGTATAAAAATCACTAAGGGGATGTTTATTTTCTGTATTCGTTCATGATTTTAAATTATGATTATTGATTTTTTACAGTGTTTTTTTTTCTTATAAAAAACACATAAAACGAGAATAGTTCTGAATTATAATTCTAAGGTCTCGTTCATTTTACTGATTCGAGTTTTCAATTCTAAGTTTTTACAGTAAAAAGCTTTCAGAAAATGTCACATCTAATTTTTTTGCTACAGTGAAAAGCTTTAAAAAAATATCATATCTCAGCTTGAATTGAAAACTCAAATCTACAAAGTAAACGAGACTTAAATCTATAAACTAAACGTTCACTAATTTTCTGTTTCTTTTATAGACAAACATGATAGATAAATCATTTGCTTCTTTGAAAGTCCATTTTCACTTTATGGCTCAAATAAATATTTGTAAAATGATTTTATTGATCTTTTTTCAAATATAATTTTTTAAAAGTAAGAATTAGCATGTTGATGGATTATTATCTTGATCTGATGATATAATAAATAATTATTTTATCTTACATGATAAAAGGTGAAAAGATAAAGAATAATATAATAAGAAAAAAAAGATAGAATTGAACAACCGTACAAGCATTTTTTGCACATTGCATGCGGCTCTACAATAGAATTCACTTTTATACTTATACCATTTTTTTACCTTACATTGAATAAATAGAATATATATATATATATATATATATAAATAATATAGGGTCTATCATATTCACATAGGTAAATGATCCTCTGATAGAGTCTCTATGTGTAAAGTCAGTTTTTAGTCATTGTATTTAATAAAAATTACAGATTAAAGAATACGGAGAACAAATAATTTTCAATATAAATCAGATGGTTGAAAGCCAAGACTTTTGGGTAATTCATTTCTTGAGAACATACTATTAGTTTACAAAATGATTTTGGAACATCCAGCATGACTGCTGCGGGACTTAGTGGGTTGCCCAATGTAGAAATGAAAATGGTTATTTAGCTAATTCCAGTTTGTAGGGTAATCGTTTTCGTAAACTACATGACTTGAAACTACGTTTTTATTTTATTTTATTTTATTTTATTTTTTTCGAAAGGACGTTGGTGGGAGAGAAATGAGGGTCAAATTTTCGATTCAAATGAATCCGAAAAGGAGGAGTAATTCGGCGGCAATGACTTCACCTCCGGTGAAGAATTTGATATACGAAAGCCCTCATAAGCTCTACGTTGGCAACCTTGCGTGGACTGTCCAACCTCAAGAGTTGAGAGACCAGTTTAGCCAATTTGGGCATGTGACTAGTGCTAGAGTTGTACATGATCGGAAAGCCGGAAAAACCAGAACTTATGGTTTTCTCTCCTTTGCTTCCGCTGCTGAACGTGACTCTGCAAAATCCTTGAATGGAAAGGTAAGTCCATATATAAAAGAATTTCTCTCCATATCTATTATAATACGGTTATTGACCATAACTATACGATTTACTCATGCACTTACAGTTAATAGTCACAGGAGTGTCACTTATATGGTAGAAATTCCTCAATTTAAATCTCTTTTTGTTGTGTTATTTTTGTTACTCACGGTAACCTATTTTTAATTCCAATTGCAGGAGTTTTGTGGTCGGATAATGGTAGTAAGAGATGGTACGGAAAAGAATGAAACTTCATCTAAGTTATAAGATTAGCCACCTGCTGCTATTGGAGTATTGTTATTTGTTATGAAGCCTGAAGTAGAGCTTAATGGGTAAAAATACCACCATTCTTGTCCCAATTGGCAATTTTGTAATTTGAATTTGGTTACTTAAATGAGGATATAGTTTACATTTATCATCTTCTTGTTTACTAGATGAGAGTTTGTGCCGTAAAACTTCCTTCTTTTTTTCACGTGTAAATGGTATTGTTATTTTAATCATTGGATTGAGTACTTAACAGTTAAATTTATAATTGTAACAGTTTACGTCGCGCGCAGTAAACTTTTAATGTGACACTTACAGATTAGATTAGACCGTTAAAATCTTAATCTAATAATTAAAATAACAGTTGCTCCCTGTAATTAAAAAGAACAATCCTTAGTCTTTACCCTAAAAATTCCCTTTATTTATTTTATAATCATGACTATATTTACGATTGATTGGGTCGTCACACCCAAAATTCGAGAATGTTTTGTAGCAATACTCGTAAGCCATTAATCTTACAAGCATCCAAGGCCTCACTTAAAACGGAATAGTATACCTCTAATACCCTCCAAATTAACTCGTACCTTCAAAACAAACAAAGAAACGAACTTGAAACAGTTCAGAGCATCATACGTTTTAAAGCCCTTACAATGACTAACGATCTCATAAAAGGCAACGCATGAGCTCAAGAAAGGAGTAAAGTGATAATTTCTTTTGTTAGTTGGAGATCAGAGTAAAAAACTAAAGAACATGAACAGGAAAAATGACAACTTCGTCAAATGATCCGGATTTTATTCTTTGTCGTTATTTGAGGGTTATTGTCGTTTCTTAAGTTGACATGTCAAATCCACTTCAATCATAATCCTCTCTTACATACTATAAAAAAATTTTAATTGATTACATAATTATAAACTGTACATTACTCTCATCTGTTAAGAAAAAGCAACTATAAGGACTTTTTATATTTTTTAAGGAAATAAGGACCTTCATTTTTCATCTTTTCCCGTATTCTGAAGGACATCCATTTCAATCAAGCATAAACTCATTTATAACATGAAGAAAAAACACTAGTATTAGACTATTACATAAGATTAAGACCTTCGTACAATGACATGAAAAACCTGTTGTAGGGTAAAATGATGAACTTTAAATAAGATCTTGTATGGGGCCACGTGCAGGCAACTTTCTTAAGGGTCAATCGTTAGAAAGAAACGCCAAATGTAAGCATGAGGTCGACCGTACCTGCAATCAAAGGTGAAGAGATTTCTATGAATGTTTATGAGGTCCAAGCTACACATGGGATGATATCCGCGAGATTTGTTTTAAGATTTGTTATTTGTAATTCAAATATATGAAGTTTAAATAAGGAAACCGTCATGATTGATTGTAATATCTATTTTTTGGGAAACTATCTTAAAAGATAAGAGAAATATCACAAATTCAAATAAGGAAAAGGATATGGGTGGTGACTATGAGTATAAATAATATATTATAAGTCAGAAAATCCCTAAGTCTCATTTTGGGCATTATTGCGTGTATTCTCTTCTAAAGTAGTGAATTTTCTCGCCTCCCCACATTGAACGTAGCTCTCAAATCGAGAGTAAACCACTATAATTTTTGTGTATTCTTACTATTTTATTGTTTTTAATTACGTTTTGATTTATTTAATTCACGTTAACCGTAAAAAAATTTGTTATTATTTTGTTGGTGAATTTTTACGGTGAACAAAACCCTTTTCATCCAAATGAAGATTTCTCCCCATTACTAACATTCAATAGGTCCCGTTGATGGGGAGAAATCCCAGTTTGGATGAGTAACATTATTCCAATGACATATATATGGACAAATTTTGAATTTTACTCGTTAAACTTTAATGACGCAGTGCAATAAAAATCTATCCTCATTAATTGTCCACATTTTTTTTTTTTATAAAATACTAAATTTATTACAACCAGATTAATATCATGTGGTTAACACGGATGAATATATATTGTGTTGGGCTCTCAGAGCTTTGAGTGGCAATAGGACAATGCTGAGGACGAAATGGCCAAGGCAGTTGGGTAAGCTGTGATTAGGGGTGATAATTCGTGTCAACGAGTCGTGTTCATGTCGGGTTGGGAATTAATACTTATAAAAATGACCCCAACCCTAACACGATATATGGCACGAACCGGTTGAGAAATTTCAACCCTAACACGACCCACTCTAACACATGTTGAGACTAACACGACCCCACGAACTTGTTACCTTTGTGATATACGACTCATAATCAACCCGTCACACATCCAACCCGAAATCATCCAAACTGTGACCTTATAAAACCTTATCCATTCCCCATGGCTCATACAGCTCCGTGAGAAAACATTTCAAACTTCACTGGTTCGCTTGCTCACTCCGAACCCTGAAAATCTATTCGGGTCGGGTTAGCCCGAAACATGGCGGCCACTTGCTTCTTGAGTATACGACCCTCTTCGTCTTCCTCGTTAATCGCCACCCACCACAGAGCTTCAGCCCCTTCTTCAAAACGACCCGTTTCATGCCCGTCGTCCCATTACTCCTTTTCTGCGCCAATCCGGCTTCTCCTCCGCGAAAACACGGTTCCGACGCCGGAGGAGGATCTGGACGACTACGGTTACGGCTTCAACTTCTACGACCGCAAGCCTTTTGGAACTGTTTTATCTGCTGAGGTAATCTTATTATTTATTTATTTGTTTCTAATTCAATTCAAGGCTGAATCTTTAGAAATTATGCTTTTGCATTTTGATTTTTTGGGGGGTTTTTTTTTTCAACGAATCTGTAAGTGATGAAACTTAGCTAGAAATCGCAGGTAATTTACATTTTCTTGTACATAGTCCTTCACCCATGAAAATGTTGGACACGTTCTTCACATTTTCAGGATCATACTTGATGGTCAAATTGTGCTAAAAAAAGGAAGGCCAAAACTTCTAAGATGTAGATATTTTGTTAAGTGATGAATTAATAAAAATCTGATTAAAAATAAAGAAAAGGAATTGAAGAATAAGAGCACAGTTTAGATAAAGAAAAACGACAGTTGCTCTGTGTGTCGTTGGAGGGAAAGAAAAACACAGAGAACCTAGCCATTGTAGCTCGATTCTGGAGGAAGGTATGTGGGGATGATATATTTAAGAACAAATCACGAATTTTATTATAAAAATAAAAGGCAATGGAGTAGATTTTAAAAAATTTTCATGTGACAAATATTGAGAACTCATAATGCTATGTACAATAATATTTATAAATAGATCTTAATTAGTTATTTGACAATAACCTTTAGCTGATCAAAAGTTCTCCATTCCTGAAATTCTAGAGTTTCAACCGCGGGATCTCTCTCGCTATATCTCTATTCACAAATTGGAGTGTGTGGGCTCAACATTGTAGAATCTTTGGTCTTGCTTGAAACCACAAGGAATCTTTTCTCCGGATCTCCTTCTTCTTCTTCTTCTTTGGTTCAACCACTAGTGCTCTAGAAAACTAAAGGGAGTGATTAAAAGAATTTATCAATGATGACAAGTGTTTCTTCTCTTATCTTATGTGCTCAAACAGTAAAAAATAATTCTGAGCCACTTTTATCAGATAAATGTTCAAAATACAAAAATAATTTTGTTTTAGTTTAGTGCACAAATCCTAACAGTTAAGAGTTTTAAAATAGGTGATTAGTGTCGTTTCCGTTGATGTTTAGACATTGTGTTGCAACGTGACAACCCAAATCCAGCCGAGAAAGCCAACGATTCGTGGAACCTTTTGGAAGCCGAAAACCATGGTGGCTAGTATACTCGTACTCGGGGTGGGCTTGGCCCTGACTCCTGTGGGACCTGCTTCAGCTGTCGAGTTGCCGATTTTGGGTTCTCTGCAGCTTAGTGAGCCCTCCAACGCGCTCTCTCTTCCCACGTGGGCTGTACATGTTTCCAGTGTGATTGAATGGTGAGCATTTTCATATTAACTTGCTTTCTGTTTTCTCTAAATGGGTTTATGGGAATATTATTTTTTTCTTATTTTTTCATTTTTCATTTATTATTATTATTATTTTTTTTTTGGAAGGATTACAGCTATGGTTTTGGTGTGGCAATATGGGGAAAAATCCGGGAATGAGTCCTGGAAAGGGCTTTCTTGGGGTATGGTGGGTTTCTTTACTACTTATTTTTACATAGTTATTTATGCTTTATTGAGTGATTAATGTGCCATGAAATTTCCTATTCCTAAGAAATAAGAAAAGAGAAGCTTTCATTATTGTCGGTTCACTGTCATTTGTTTACCCTTTTTCTTATCAAAAGAGCTAATAATATCCTTCTTTTGATAAGATAAAAAAGGTATAAGGAGCATTTTTTAGAGGTTCTGCAGCTGTTTCACTATTGTTATTTTGCCTTTTTCTCTCAAATACTAATAGTTCTTAAAATGGTTTAGGTACCCTTGCTTGGTGGAGCATTTTGTGCATGTACATGGCATTTCTTTTATAACTCTGAGTCTCTCGAGGTAAGATTAAGAAGGCTCAATTCTTTAGGTATATGTGCCTTTATTTTATCATTTAAGCTCATTCACTTGTACTAGCTGTCTGAGCATGATTCTTGGGATAAATAGAATCAAGTGATTGAAACATCTTATTCTAAGTATTTCTTCTTCACTCCAAGTAACAAAATATTTTCAAAATTTGAAGGGAGAACCATATAATAGTAACAAACTTTTCATATAAAAGATTGAGCTGATGATGTGTGATAAGCGCATGAAAATGCACTTAATTTGTTCATAAGCTAATGATGTGCTTTGTAACTTGCACATACACTATATATATTTTTTGTCAGCATGCACATAAGATGATCATAACAATCATCTTATCAATTATCATATGTATGTCTTATATGTACAAGTTATTACAAATGAATCTCTAATTTGGCCATGATAAATATACATTATACAATGATGACTTGGTGATTTTGTTGAGTTGTAGGTATTGGTCGCTCTTCAAGCAGCCTTAACGGCTATAGGCAACGCCACATTGTGTTACGCTGCATTCCGTATATGCAAAGCATCAGAAGAAAGATCCAAGAATAATCTTTGAAGTTCTTGCATTTGTCTGTTTACCAAAAGAAAAAAGAATTGATTTGGTGAATATCTATCTCCCACTTGTAAGTAGCTTCTTGGTAGAGGAGTGATCTTTTTGAGTAAAAAATACAAGTTCACAAGACTAGTTGGGTTCAGCAGTAACGATTCTTCATATGTTCTTTTGTGCCTACAGGACGAAAAAAGGACAAATGAGGAAGCTTCCTCGTTTTGATGTGAACATTGAACAGGCGGCTGTCTAGAGATTTAGAGGGAGGTTTTATGATCCCCTCTTGAAGGAGACACCTTTCTTCTTCTTCTCTTTTTTAACACTTGTGATCTTGGTAGCTTTTAAAGTAGGAAGATTGGTCTGAGCCTCTCAGATTGGGTTAACATGTATCATTGTGTCATTTATACTTTTGTTAATAGTAATAAACAGCTTCTTCTCTAATTCCATGAATTTTATTATGGCCGTATGAGAGCTGTAGTCGTTGTGGTTTATGTAGAGTAAAACCTCTATAAACAAATATTGTTGGGTGGGATTATGAGAAAATATTATTTTAAAGAGATTTATTTATCGATAAATAAATAATTTATTAATTTATCGGTAAATGTACTTTTTCTTTTACTAATATTTATGTATGTGCTATAAATAATAAAGATAATGGTATGTGGTTAAAAATTAACGTGTACATAGAGAATTGTAAAAGTTATCATTTACATTAAAAAAAAATTAATTGTTGTTATGTACATGTATAGAAGCCCAAAATTGATCTATACTGTATAGTATAGAAATGCAATCGATGTTGAGCACCTGCTAAATTATCCTAATGAAAATGATGATCATGATCCAGATGACAATTGTGTTTTACCAAATGTTTCTTTAAAAGAAGCGTTTCAAGCAATAGTAACCTTAAATAATTAGCTGCTATAACATGAAAAATATATATCAGATGTAGTGCATGCTTTGTAAAAAATTAAAGATGAGGTTGAGTTCAATTTTGGTACAAAGAAAAATAAATGACTTTAGATGCATATTTTGTAAAAGAGTTGAATCGAGAAAATAAAAGTTGTTAAGAAAAAAACTCTTTAATATTATGAATTATATATGTTTTTTTTGTCAATTATTAATTTATATTTCCGTTGGGCCCTAACGATTTGAAAAAAAAAAATTATCATTTTATGCATTTAGCGAGATTATTAACTTAGTGCATTGGCCCAAGTCGGTAACGGAAGTTTTTATTATTTAAGCGAGGTTATTAATTTATAAACATTCATTCATTGATGTTTTACTTTATGTTCTTGGTGCTATTTTGATTGTTGATTGATTGGCGATAAAGCTAAACTATAATGTATATCTATGAGTCTGGGCTTGTATACGTCGACAAAATCTAACTGCAACTTTCTCAATGTACTGCTCGAGTTTGATGATTTTGATGCCCTAATTTATCTATGAGCATGGGAGTTTCTTCTTGTCAAATTGGCATAATGAAGATTATTATTATTATTATTATTATTATTATTATTATTATTATTATTTAAAACGCTTAGTTAAGGGGTGACTATTGTAGGCCCCGTTTATTTCGTTGATTCGAGTTTAAAATTCGAGTTTTTCTACAGTAAAAAACTCTCACAAACAATCACATCTAACTTTTTTGCTACAGTAAAAAGCTCTCACATAAAGTCACATCTCAACTCGAATTAAAAACTCGAATCAACGAACTAAACGGACCCGTAGTGTCTTATAAGTCATGTCACCTTGGTCTCTCTCTGTACACACACACACACGTATACATGTGTATGTGTGTGTGTGTTTGCTTCTTCACACATTAATGGCACGTTTGGTTCGCTAATTCGAGTTGAGATGTGATGCTGTGTGAGAGCTTTTTACTATAGCAAAAAAGTTAGATGTGACTATTTCTGAGAGCTTTTTACTGTAGTAAAACTCGAATTCTAAACTCGAATCAGTGAAATAAACGGAGCCAAATATATCTCTATCTATCACTTTCGTTATGGGGAAAAAGCGGTTTGAAATGGCTAGAGGAAATGATCAAGCTTTTTGTTCAAAGTGAAGAAAACAATGCTACAGTGTATAGAAGAGCTTGTTGAGGTCGGTAAAAGTACTTTAATTGCTTGTGTAACCATGTAGACGATATTCTATCCAATATATATATATATATATATATATATATAGATGACGAGTTTTTTTTATTTATTATTATTATGATGAGTTAAGAGACAAAAAGCTAATTCCGTGTTATTTTACCTTTCCCTTTGATAAAATATGAAAAAGTGATTTCCATGCAGAGGGAAGATAGCAAGTCATTGATCGTGTTGTTGCATCATAAATAAACGGTATGTCGTTTATCGTTGCTTTCGTGATCCTTGAGTCACATGTCGCTTTTGTTCTTCCACGATATGCCGTTTTATTTTTGTTAACATGTCATTTTAATTATTGACCGACAAGTATATTATTCTTCCTACCTGTAAAATAAGGTTTTATCATGTTGTTTACAGTTTAAAGAGATGTATTTATTGAAGTCGAACACGGATAATTTTCAATTCGTTTCATTGTGTACAATCTACATGTCGTTTACTCCCTTTACAATGGCTATCAAGACTGAGGACCGACATGGCGTTTTGTGAATGAAAATCGACAGAAAACAAAACATTTTGTGACTCTTCAAGGTCGTCTGATTCTAAACTACACACATCATTTTCAGCAACATAAGAACAAGTTGTTTCTACCAACACCAACGACATGTTGAGTGAGGCTGTAAGCCATAGTTGGGACCCAAATTGCTTTTGCTTGCCGATGTGTCGAAAAATCTAGAACCTTCAATTTTCGAACAGCAACTTCATTTTATCCAAGTTGTGGGAAGTTTGAACAAATCAAGAAAAATCTAGAACCTCCTAATGGCATAGTTCTTGCCCATTTTCATCAAGGGGTCCTCCAAACAAGTACGTGGCTCGTGCATTTTTGTACCAAGCTGAACTTGATCGATCTTCAGAACCCCTTTTAGAATTTCGTCCAAACTCTCAATCTCATTCTCTTCACATATCCTAGGAAGAATTGCGATCCAAGTATCCATATGAGGAACTTCCCCATGCTTTAGACTCTCCGCTAGAATCCCACAAGTTTCCTCAACCCTACCAACATTGCAGAAACCTTTAACCAAAGCATGAACGACCGAGAAATGTGGAGACAACCCCTTTGACATCATCTCCTCCATATATCTTTTCGCCTCGTCAAGACTCCCTTGGTGACACAGTCCACTGACCAAGCTTCTGTAAGACACCACATTTGGTAAGCACCCGTTTTCGGCCATATCCTCAAGAACCTTGCAAGCATCCATGGCACGCCCTTCTCTACAAAATCCCACTATGACCGTATTATAATGAACAATATCAGGATTACACCCTTTAACCTTCATCCTACAAAGAAGCTTGTAAGCCTCTCTTAGCTGTTTCTTTCTACACAAACTATTCAACAATGTGGTGTAGCTCAAGGTGTCCGGAGTAAACCCTTTGTTCAGCATATCCTCCAAAAAGTCGACAGCCGTGTTAACTTGACCCTTCCTACACAACCCCTGCATCAAAATCCGATATGACTCGTCGTTGGGAACAAGATCTCTCTCAAACATTTTGTTGAACAGTTGGTACGCAATGCTGAGATCACCATTTAAACAAAAGACCCGCATCATAATATTGTAAGACTCAGTGTTGAGCAAAACTCCATATCTGTGGGCACTCTTGAAAAGATCAAAAGCCGATAGGATATGGCTCCGGTAAGAAACAAGGATCTCAAGAATTTGGTTCAAGTGTTTGGGCAAAGGCTTAAAATCGAACTCAATCATCATATAGAATGTTCGAAGGACCTTGTCGGGCAAATCAGCCTCACCATAGATCCTTATAAGATGTGAAAAGAGAGTTGAGGTTACTGGGTAACGCTCAGCTTTGAGGCGGACAAGAAGGTTGTCAATGAGTGAGAAGTATTTGGAACGACCAAGCTTGAGAATGAGAATGAGAAAGGAAGAGTAAGAGTGGCGAAAGTTGGGTTGACGAGAGGCATAGTCGAAGATCTCTTTTGCAAGGAGAGGATCAGATTGGGACACGATAAGCTTTTGGACTCTTGAAGGAGAAACAAATCCATGGCGCTTCTGGTTTGGGTCTAGTTGGGGTTGCGAGGAATAGAGGGAAAATAATGGGGTTCTTGTTTGAAGAAAGATGAGAGAGCAATTGGCTATTCTTGCAGCCTTTGATGATCGGAATTGAAGCATTTTCTTTGGTTTTGAAAGAATTTAACTCCTCCAGTGAAAAGGATTAATTTCATAAATGCCCCCTGAACTATAGTTATATCAACTTGCTTCCCAATTTTTTGAAAGTGGTAATTGCACTCCCTAACTACATGAAAGCCCTCAATATGCCTCTTCTGCTCAGATCCATCTATAATACTAACGGAATCACTGGTGAGAAACTAACTGCAAGAGATTAAACCCTAATTAAAGCTGTAAAAAAGTAATTATTTAAAGAATAATAAAAGAAACCTTATGAACAACATCCCCCAGAAAATGCAGAACTTAACATGGTCTCATGTAATGGGCTCTCCACAAAATATAGCATCATGGCCGAATATATGAAACACACAACAAATGCAGATTGTTAAAGAACTTCGCTACTTAATTTGGGGGGCAAAAAAATAATCGTTTTCTTTCAGATTAAACAACAGATCTTAGACCATTTTAGAAATTTTCTCCACTGATGCATAATGCTAATTCGTCACTCTGTAGGTACAAAGCATTACTAGTTTAATACTAAGTTAGCTTATCTTACCAAAAAAAAAAAAGAGTATAAATAAATTGTGAAAAAAATGTAAAAGTGAGGTTTATATTCTGGTTGGGGAATTTTGACAAACACCTGGTGACTGTTGTAATTGTTCAATTGTACACAAAAGTTATCGACCAAAAGAAACCGTGAATTTTCAAAGTCCGTAAATGGGTATTCTGAGAAAAAGAGACGAGAACAAATAAGAGCATGAGGACGGGAAATCGAACTGAAACTATTGGAGAAAGAGATTACCTTTTTTTTTTTTCATTTTGAGGCTTAAAAAATACAACCAGTACTGAAATTGAAAGGCCTGATAGCTCCTCCCTCAATCTTTCTCTCATTTCGATTTACTTAAAGAAACCAATTTCTGCAAACAACCAACAGAAAACAAATTCTTTTCTTATGGGTCGCCGTCTGGGCCGTCGGGGGAGAGGGAGGGGGAGGGGTAGGGGAGGCCAAAAAGCAGAGCTTCTTTTATTTTTATTTTTTATTTCCTTTTGATATATTCTTTTTGAAAACGACCCCTAATTTGTGTAAAAATTATACAGACACCCGTTGATCAAACTTAATTACAGTAATATTCCTTTAAAGTTTAACCTTACCTTAATTATAGTATCATTCTAAAAAGAAAAAAAATTAAGGTAATTGGCATTATAGTCTTTGAATTTTGAGATAGTGACATTTTAGTCCTGAACTCTTATAATTTTGATAAAAAGAACAAAATTAAGGTATTTGGCATTATTAGTTTTGAATTTTGAGATAGTGACATTTTGGTCCTTGAACTCTTAATTTTGACATATTAACTGTTGAATTTTCATTTTTTAACAGTTTTGGTCCCTGACATTAAAGTTGGCAAGAGATTTCTATAATTTAATAAAAATAACCATATGTCCAATGCATGATAATTTAAATTTTTATGGAAAAATTACGTTATATAAAATTCTCTTTATTACTATTAAATCTTATTGAAAATTATAGCATTTTGCACATATGTTTATGTAAGTTTTTCCGTTATTATGTGATGAGGATGTGATTATATACATTGAAATTTCAGAAATTGTTCATCAAAACTGTTAAAAATTAAAAATTTAGGGACTAATATGTTAAAATTAAAAATTTAAAGACTAAAATGTCATTGTACTCAAAATTTAAGGTCTAACAGTATCAATAACTTAAAAAATGGTGCTTTTGGGAAAAAAAAAAAGCGCTAAATAATTGTAGTAAAATCTCTATAATATGCCTAAAATGCCCTTAAAATAGTAGAAAACTATTCATCAACCCCTAAAATATAGATTTAATGACATTTTTATTCTTCATCTATTAAAATTCAAATGATGTTTTTGCCCCTATATATACAGATATATTTTGAGCAGATTTTATCATATATTGATTATTCATGAATTGTCTTTTTTATTATTGTTTTTTCCCCATGTGATACAGAACTTAAAAAACTTGCAGCCCTAAAAAATAAATTAAGCAGAATTTAAAAAATCATATAATTTCCAGAATTGTTTTACTAAATTTTTAACAACTTTTACTTAAATTCAACTTTCAACAAAATCTTTTAACATCAAAATCATCTTAATTTTGAATGTTTATAGCTTTAATTTGTAAAGGTAGCAGCCTTCCTCAATTTATCAAAACATTTTGATTGACTGTTTTTGATAGGGTTGTTCATAAACCCGAACAACCCGCAAACTCAACCCACCCCGCCCCAACCCAAGCCGAAAAAAGCAACATGCAGTATTATTTTTAAATTTTCAACCCATTATACCTCTTACCCGAAGTATTTGGGGTGGATTGCGGGTTGGGCCCATAACAACCCACAATCCCCAACCCAACCCGCACAATATATCCCCAAGCTTTTGGCCTAAGCCTAACCTGCCCAAGTTCTACCCTGGGCTCCCTAACATTAGGTAAGACATCTCTAGGTAAGACAATAATTTGTATATATCTTAATCTATTTTATTATATAAACTATAAACTATCCAAATTATTACTTAAGCTATTTTCATTTCTCTTGTAAATAACTCAACTTCATGTCCTACTACAACCATTGAGGAGCCTATGAGTGTGGATTGATAAAGATGGTTGATGTTGCAATATTTGCTTTAGATGGATTTGAATTAAGATTTAAGCCTCTATGTTTGCTTTGCTTAAGCTATTTGTTTTATGTTAAGACTAATTTATAAGTGTAGACTAATTTATGTTTGCTTTGTATTTGATGTTTGATGGACTATTTTGCTTCATGTTTGATGTTAGATTGACTAATAAAGATGGTTGCTATTTCTATTTAATGATGAAATTTGAATATTATATTGAACTTTAAGTCTTTGATTTTTTAAATGTTGAAACCGACCACCCAACCCACCCTGCACCGCCCCAACCCAACCCGAACATCGTTGGGTTGTGAAATTTTTCTAGCATCGTTGGGGCTAAATATGTGCAACCCGCACCCTTTGGGACGGAGAAAAAAAAATTCTATCCCGCACCAACCCAACCCATGAATAGCCTTAGTTTTTGATGTAAGAGAATTTTCATCCAATTTAACAAAATTTTAAACATAATTTTTTTTCACTCAAGTTTTTACCTCGTCCTTTTCCACCATTTCCACTCATCAATTGTGCTTTTTACTAAATCCGATAATGCAATTGCATTGCTATTCAATCACGACCAAGGATAAAATTGTTGATATTCATAGAAATACTAGTATTTTCCATTTTCTGAAAATATCCACGGGTATATAGATATTGGTAAAAATTAATGTGAAATATGAAAATTTATCCTAAATATATTGAATGTTTAAATGAAACTTTAAGAAACTTTAGAATGATTAATAATATATAAACTAGATGAAACTCTTAGTCAAAATATTTAGTGTAGGGTAAATAAACATGCTAAAATGATATCATGGTATAATAAATGATAAACATACATTCACAAAATAAAAGATAGTTGAAAGTCAACTTAATTCATGCACCTTACATCCGGGTTTTTTTTTTCCATATAATGTGAAAAAATATTGATACCAAAATGAGCTTTTAGCTGGTTCGAAGGCATTTGAAATACTTAATTTAAACAATATTGGTACTAAAATATGGAGTTTCAATAGCTTCTTATGTTAGTATTTATCTTTCAATCTCTATTATATTAAACCTCCAAGTATAGCAAGTTGTGAGTTAACCCAACTGCATGAGTTTTGCATGTCATCTGAAAAGTGAAAACTGTAGAGGCGGATATTCATGAAGATTAAGCCTCCGTTTAATTGACCGGTTTGAATTTTATTAATTTAAGTTTTTTGATTTGAATAAAAAAATTTAAATAGTGTGGTTTAAATTATAGTTTGAACTGATATTTAGATGACAGTTAAAGTTTTAATTTGAACATGGAATAAAATTTGAATTTGTGTTTGGTATGTGTAAAAAGCAAAGAGAGTGGACACCTTTTTACTGTTCAAAAATGGTTTGAACGGTTGAACTTGAGGAGGAGCTAAACTCTAAGTTGGACTATTTAACTCAGTTCAAACAGGAAATATAATTCAAACTACATACTTACTAAATATCAGTTCAAATTGTGCTCAATATTCAAAAAATGTGTGAATACAATTACCTTTTGAAAAGTGAATAAGATCAGTACTTGTGCATATCCATTCAAAACTCATTGGGAACCTAAAACAATGCATTATTAAAATGAAGAAAAAGTATCAATATTATGCCAAAAATTGTTAAATTTGTGTAAAATTTTTATGATATTTTGTCATTTAACATTGCTTTTTCATAAAAATTGATATTTTTGTAGAAAAGAAATCGCTATTTGCAACATTTTCGTGAAAATTTCTTAGATATTATGCGAAAGTGATATTTAACCCCTATTTTCATATCTAAACTTTCAAAACGAAAATTTTAGTGAAAATCTCAGTGAAAATAGTTTAAGTTGACATATTAATTTTTTTTCCCCTAAAACGAAACTAGATATATTAATTTCTAAAAAATAATGTATATTAGATTCTTAATCAATATATTATATTAGGGCCACAGAATTTGGTAAACAAACGTCAATTTGGACCAAGTAAATCTTTTCCCTTACTTTCAAATTAGATTTATTTTGTGGAAGCAGCAAAAAGTTAGAAGAATATTTTTTTCAAGGTAACGTTTCTTATCCAATTTTGGAATTCAGAGGAAACAAAAAAGAATAATTCTAATCTCCACTCACGTGTTCCAATAGTTGGTGGGGTGAGATTTGTTGGCCCTAAACTCCGCGAAAAACAACTCGTCCCCACTCATTGACAAGGTATTCGATCATCGGCTTCACCTTAGCCACTAAAAGAAAGAGAAACCTAACAAAGAACACATGGATATAATTAGATATATATATATATATATATATAGACACACACTCTTTTAAAAGACGAAGAATGAAGGGAAAAAGAAAAAAAAGAAAAAGCGCTCATTCGGCTGTGAGAAAATAGAAAAAGTGGTCGCTGATCAAGATTTAAAAACCATACTAAAATAATCATTATTGTAGAATAACAGCGAAATGAGATTTATTAAAACTCTCTTATCTAACACTCAAAAGATTGATTCACATTGTCCATAATACGTCTGAATTTATACGTCTAACCAATCTGCCGAATATAATTTAGGCTTCTATAGACTTGTTCGGTTGTATTTTTAAATTATTGTGACTTGAGTTTAGATTTAGAGTTGAATTTGAGTTTATGAATTATAGTATTTTTTTTAATTCTTAAAAACGCTATTAACTTGAGTTTGAGTTTAAAAACTTGAGTTGAATGAGGAACTTGAACTCAGATTTTAGTCCCAAATTCAAGTTAAAATTCGAGTTCAAACTCAAGTTTAAACTTAAATTTTATAAAAAAACGTGCACTTGAATAAAATTGTAACTTGAGCTTAAATTTTTTTTTTTTAAAGTTTTAGTCCAAAAAAAACAAGGATTTCTTCTAAACAGTTGACTCAATATTCACTATAATTTCTCTTGACAATAATATGGGTTGGGTTACTTTCTCTACTACATGCGACCCCATAGATTATTTAATGGCCGTTAGGCTAGGAACTGAAAAGACCTTTAATCTTTTTTAATGATTAACCAAAAACAAAAAAGAAACACACACACTTAAGTGCAAATATCAACATTCTAACTTCCAATTATTCATCTTAGAAAATGTTATAAATTTAAAGATTAAAATATATTCATCCTAATTTCTCATTATGGAAAATAATTAGAATTTTTTTAGCTCAATACAATTGAGCCCGTATTTGAATTTACCCCATATTCTCTATAATCTAAGGTCTATTTGTATCGATCTATGAAATATTAGCAGTTTACTCATTTTATTAGTGGAATAAATAGTTAATAGCCTCAACTTTTCTCTCACAACTTTTCCTCTCTTGGGATTTCTCCGCTCTCTTTTCCTCTCTCACTTCTTTGCGCCATCCTCAACTATTAATTGAGGTGAGTTTGGGTTGAATTTTTTTTAATTCAACTTAATTTGAATCCATCGAATTTATTTATTATATATAAATAAATATTTTCTTGCTTTATAATATATAGTATTGTCTTATATTTTACATTAATTATTTGATAATTTATAATATTTTATGTTGTATGAATTTTAATTATTATTTATTTATTGATTTACAACTAATACATTTGAACGTGTTTTGTATGTATTTTTATTTTTATATTGGTTTATAATTTATAAGACAATTTTGAAACTTAATAAAACTAATATTATGATGAAAATTAATTTTTTTCATATATTTCTTAGTTTTGATTTTAATGATTACGTTTATTTTTTTTATTATTTATTATGTTTAATCTGATCAATCCACTCAAATTTTAATTGGGTGGATTGATTTAAATCTTGTCACGATGAAAATTTATTACTATAAATATAAAGAGACGAGCCTCATATAGTGAGACTTGTGGGGTCTATTTTTATGTTTGATAGAGATAAATATCTATCAAGACAAATAAAATTATTCTATAATTATTTAACTAAAAAAGTAATTAAGAGTGGGAAATAAAAAATTAAGCTCATGCACTTTAAAAATATTTGTCTATTTTTTTTTCTTTTTGAAAGTATTCTTCTTAATTTTTCTTTAAAATCTTAGATCTTAGATATTTTATTAGAAAAATTTGTGGCCGAGCAAGGTCGGAGGGACAAAAAAGTTTTCCAAAAACGAATAACAATAATTAAAAAGAAAGTCGACGGGGTTTAGCACCACGTAAAAGAAGAAAAAAAAAAAAAGGAGAGAAGAGAGAAAAAGAGAGAGAGAGAGGAGAGAGGAGAGAGGAGAGAGATAACTTCACACGGGTGCCCACGTGTGATGCTCCCAACCACGTGAAACCATCGCGTGCTGTCACAATGCGGACGTGGCAGCAATTCTCCGCAAAAATATCCTTAAATTAAGTGGGTCCCAGAACCACCTTGGACGATCACCACCACACCCATGTGCTCAAGAATATAAAAAAAGATCTGACGACAATGGCTCACGTCTCGCCACGTGTTCCGGCTAAACCATCGCCCAATCACGGCCCACCTTTTGATCGAGCCAACCATGAAGCAACCCAGATATTTTCCAAACTCTCCATAAAAAGAAAAAAAGAAAAAGAAAAAAAATTTTAAACTCTGCCTCTTCTGTTTTCTACAAGCAAATTTACAGACAGAGAAAGAGAAAAGAGAAGATTTGGATTTCAGATTTTTCTTTCCGGATTAGGTAAAACTCGATGAGGTATTTTTTCGTATTTTGTTTTTTCCTTTCTGAATTTCATTCACGTTTTCCGAACCTTTCTTTGTTTACTGTCTTTTTTTTTTTTTTTTTTTTTTTTTTTTTTTTTTTTTTTTGTTTAAAGGTGTTTGAGAATAGGTGAAGAAGCGGTGGTGATGAGTAGAAGAAGCTCTGAGGAAGAGGTTATGGAGGTGGGGAAAGGAGAGAAACGACGGCGTATTATTGATAGGAAGAGAAACGAAGAAGAGAGAGAAAATGTTGTTGGATCAGAGGAGTATCTTCCAAGGATGCTGCTTAGGGTTTTGTTGGTTGAAGACGACGATTCCACGCGTCAGATTGTCTCTGCCCTTCTTCGGAAATGCGGTTACACAGGTCAATATTCCATTATTATTTTTTATTGTCGTCGTTTTTCGCTTTTTAATTTTTTTTAATACATATTAGGGCTTCAGTTTCTTTGTCGTTTGGTTGGATTTTGTAAACTGTGGTTCTTCTGTTAGTGGAAATGTTGTATTTTGCAGAATTATGCTCCGTTCTTTTGATATTTGTGTTTCTGGGGCGGCAGAGTTTTCTATAATATGAATGGTTTTGGAAGGTTCTGCTTCTTTTTCTTTTTTTGGGAATTTTTATTTCTATAGATTTTAACGTGAAATGTTTTTTACTCCCCTTTTTAGCTTTTACTTTACTATAATTGTTTATACTGGTTTTGTTTAATGTGGATAGCTAAAGCACCTTCTTCCTAAATCAAGTGGATGGAAAATATTAGATGTATTATATTTTCTTCTCGACAAAGATGACCGAACATCTCCGGTTTCTGGTAGAGTATAGTATAGGCGTCCATGGTAGAGAGGAAGTAAAGATTGATCATTTTATAAATTACAATGAGATCTTCGTAAAGTTGATCATTTTATAAAATCAACAAAGATGGCGAGGGATTAGATGACACAAATGTAGAGTTGTTGGATTTTGGTGGCATACTACATAAATTTTCCAGAAAAAATAATTGCACTTACTACTCTGTTGATCCATATGGAAGATTTTCTACTTGATGAAGATCATTGCCTTTCTCTTGACAAATGACGGTTTCAAAATTAAAAGTTAATACTTTGTTTGCTCAACCAGTTTCTGCAGTATCTGATGGATTAAAAGCATGGGAGACTTTAAAGGAGAAGGCTCGAAACATAGACCTTATTCTGACTGAAGTGGAGTTGCCACTAATATCCGGATTTGCGCTTCTTTCTTTAGTAATGGAACATGAAGTTTGCAAAAACATACCCGTCATAAGTACGTGATCTCACTAACTTCATCTTCTTTCTTGCCGTTGTGATATTTAAAATTGGATACGAAGCTAAACATGAAAGGTTTCGTTCTTTGACAGTGATGTCCTCTCAAGATTCAATTAGCATGGTTTTCAAATGCATGTTACAAGGAGCAGCTGACTATCTGATCAAGCCTCTTAGGACAAATGAGCTAAGGAACCTTTGGCAGCACGCATGGAGAAAGCACAATGTATGTTCTTTTGTTTCGTTTTGTGTTTTTTTGTTCTTTTGGCTTTTCCTTTATAATTATTGGATTTGTTCTATTATCAGTTCTTTTTTTTTTCTTTGTCCACAAAATGATATATTTTTCCTTCCATGGGATCTTGTTTTATCAGTTGCTTCACAGACAGGTGCACTCAACTGCTCCGCCGCAGAAAGCGGAGCCTGCTTATGAAAAGATTGCGGCAAGCAATCCTTCGTGTGATTACGAGGCTTCTTCCCAGAACACTAAGGAATGCAGTGAGAAAGGGAGTGTTGCCCAAGTAAGTATATTCAGATGTCTGTGATCTTGTTGTCCCTTCAAAAGGTGAAAAGCTTGGTCTTTGTTAAAATCACTTAAACACAATTGTTGTGCTAGATGTGTAGATCTCCTTTTCTGAGTAAATGTTGGGGGTGTTCAGTTTCCCCTTACATATGTCACGTTATCAGATCTTAGTAAGTTGCAATGTGGTACCACCAAGGAATTATAGAGTAGTTGTATACCAAAAAACATCATTACCAACAACAACAAAGAAAAATACTGACGGTATTTAGTATGAGCTGGTTTTCCCTTCTAAATATGATATAAATTGCTAGAAAAGAAATAAATTGTTTGAACTTAAGTATCGAAAATCCATAAATGAGATGCAAAGTGAGATTTTCCTGTCCTAGATTGGGTTGGCTTCATGAAGTTATACACTGAGACCGCATGTTTTGCCGCCTGTTGTGCAGAGCTCTTGTACAACGCCTTACTTGGAAGCTGAGAGTGAGCAAGTCCAAAATATGCAGGACATTTCACAGATAAAGTGTGGGAGTGCTTCTAATTTGAGTAAAAACAACGTGGAGAGGCATGAAAAATGTGCTAAATTGAGTGAAGAATTGGTTATAGATGCCAGTGAGACAGGAGGTATGCCATATGTTCTTATTTCCCTCTCTAATTTTATTTGGAATTTTCTTCTCTCAGAATCTAATTAGGTATTTTGTTCTAGGAAATTCAAACCTATTTAAACCAGAGGTTGTATCCTTCAATAGAGCTTTTGAGTCCACTGTTTTGAGCTTAAAAGAAGACCACATTCGTATTGAGAGACTGCGAGATGAAAGTGTCCAACCAGAAAGTTTTGAAGCTAGTAATGCCAACATTACTGCTGAGAGTCAGAGCTGCTGTGATGAGCTGGTTAATCCATCTACTGGAGCTATTGACTTGATTGGTACGTTTGATGTTCGTCCCCGGTGTACTAGTGGTCCCTCCATTGTTGATGTTGATGGCTTTAGCAACTATGCTCATGCTCCGCAATTGGAACTATCTCTGAGAGGAATTTGTCCAAAGGGCTCAAAGAGCCAAGGTAGTGATGAAAGGCCTAAACTGAACCATTCTAATGCCTCTGCATTTTCATGGTGAGCTCTCTGTCGCCTCACATAAATTATTGTTTACCTTTTCAATCCATCATAATCTTTAGGCAAATGCTTATTATTCATCATTTTCCATGGGAGAATCTCAAAAGCTAACAATCACTGTTTTGTTCAAGTCTATTTAAACAGATTTCCTGCATAAAAGAACAAAAGTTTTTTTTTTTTTTAAAAGGTATAGCAATAGTGGTCGATGGTTGCCCGTGGTTCCATTGCAGAAACGTTGACTATTCAAAACTCCTATCTTGCAGGTACAATAACAGTACTACATTACAATCCCTTTTCTCAGCACTTCCTGGCAAACGTATTGAATCAGAGGATGGTCCAAATAAATCCGAAGAATCATTGTTCAATCAATCCTCTGACAATTTCACCGTGGCTTCTCAACAACATGATTCTACAACGAGCAACTCTCATGACAATAATTTGGTTGCAGGCAAATCTGGCCATACTGGACTATCTTTTCCAAGCCCTCAGCTCGGACTGATTCCAGTAAAAGGTCTAAATCTTGACAATCTATGTTCTGGTTATAGTCAGTTTTTCCCATCCTTTTTCTATGTGCAATCAAGTTCGTCCCCTATGTGGAGTCCCGTTTCCGAAAGCCAGGGAGACAAGTCCCCCTTTGCTGTGAATAATGCCTCAGATCATTCTGATATTCACTACTCTGAAGAAACTAGTAATAATTCTATTGGTGGCCAAACCAAGGAAACACAGAGCAATTTGGAGCTTGAGGAGGATCTGAAACCTAGCTCTCTAGCTGCTTATGAGAGCAATGGTGTTGTGGATCATGTTAATAGCTGTGCACATGGCAGAAGCGATGAAAGTGCAACTTCTGCTGAGGCAGATGAGAAGGCCATTTCTGCTCTACAGAGTCTGAACGACAATGGTCATCTTGTTCAGGAGAGGTTTAGAAGTATGGATTCTGTCCGAATCAGCCAGAGGGAAGCAGCTCTAGCCAAGTTCCGAATGAAACGAAAAGACCGTTGCTATGAGAAAAAGGTATCACTACCACTACTATCATCATATTATCATTATCATTATCATTGTCATTTGCTGTTGTTGTTATTATGCTTCCTGTGTTTTAAGTAATACTACTATTTGTGCCTTTATAACGGTTGTTCTTATAGCGTTTGATCCTTTGACGAATATCATTTTTTAGCTGTTAATGATGTCACACTTCTTTTTTATTGTGCTAGTGGGAAGTGCCAAATGATCATACACTAAACCATATGAAAAGGGTCTTTCTGAATCTTAAAATATGTTTGGCTCTTTCTTCACACAGGTTCGCTACCAAAGCAGGAAACGACTCGCAGAACAAAGGCCGCGAATAAGAGGACAGTTCGTGCGCCAATCGGAAACGGAACACCCTCCAATTGCCAATGGCTCGTGACAATCGTTACTTCCCCTTTGCTTTGTGACATAACAGCTTGTGTTTTAAAAGCTTTTGGTAACTAATAGCAGGACGGTAGAGTGACTCAATTACTGCTGAAGATGATTGCAGTTGCAGGTGTATTTCCTTCGGGTGTCTGCGGCAAAATGACTCGATCATTTTTGCATTTCTTTTTTTGGGCTTGAAAATGTAGTGCTGCAATTATTCGGTGGTAATTGTTTGAGTAAAAATCATATGTTAATACGTTTTGGTGGCACCGCAGATAACCCAAAGTAGCTAGTAGATTATTGCTTTGATTGTAAGATAAATATGTTTTGTGAGCTTCAAATTGGATACAAGAGTTGAATGGTATCTTAAGAAGCATATCAAAATCTGTTGTTACAATGTGGCTCCATTACTTTGCCTTTTAGCTTGGCAGCGACGTGTGTGTATGTATATAGTATGTATACGTATATATGTCACGTTACCAAAATATTTCTGCCTTTTGATTAAATTTTGGAGCATGTCATTGAATTAGGAGACACGGCTCCATAACTTGCTGAAACTGCATTCTTTTCTTATTAAGGTTTTTAGTCTAATGATCACATGTCATGAGGTCAGATTTTCCTCATATTTTGGATCCACATCGGATAGAATCATAATAATACCATTTGAAGAGTCTATTCGAATATACCATTTCTACTCGTGAAATATGTACTCTTATGTTGTGTTTAATACACAAAACTGTACCTTTTATGGGTGAATGCTGGATTTTAACCTAAAAATATCTAAAATACCTGTAAATAAAAATAAAAATAAAAAAATAATTATTAAATGGTAAAATTTATAATGATTTAAATCATATGTTCAATTTTAATATCTCAAATCTTTAATTTTAATATTTCAAATAGTGTCAAACTATTATATTATACTAAGCTATTTAATTTTTTTTTTTCCATATTTTGTTGTTTAATTAATTTATTAAATGACGCGGTATAATATTATTAGTGAGGTATCATTTAGAATACCTAAAATTGAAATGCTAATCTGAATCTAATTACAAACCATCTCATTCTTAAAAGAAAAGAAACGACCTAAATCGTTTTCTTAAAAGAGACTATCTATCATCCCACGTAAAAACTGAGAAATATTTCATCAACTCAAATGATGTTTTTCATTATTTAAAAGTTGAGATTTGAGTTCCACATCACTCCTAAACAAACAAAATACAAAATATCAAAACTAAAAGTTAACAAATCTAGCTTATAAAAGATTTAAGAAATTATAAAAGTACTTTATAATTTTATCAAACACACTACATATATCTATATGAAAAAGTCTTGATACCCCCCAAAAACTATAGCAAGGTTGACCCTTAATCAAACATAGAAATTATATATAAAACCTCCTTTAAATTCTATCATCGGCCTAAAATTATGGAAAGCTAAGAATGAGACATATTCTAAATCAAGGAGGCGCAAAATAAAGTCGTTCTTTATAGGCGGAAAGGACTCGAGCAAATGCATGCAAAGTGCAACGTGTGCTTTGTTAGCCATGGAAACCTTTCACATGACACGTGGGATCCGACGAGACATGACCCCACAAAGCATCACAAACATGTAAAAGCCAAAACGACGGACACTTGTTGTGTCGGTTATGTGTAGTAAATTTAGAATTAGAGCCATTAGTCTGAACTTATCTACTTGTCGGCAAGTTCAAAGAAACTTTGAACCCTTTCTCATGCTATGTTTGGCAGAGGTGAAAAGTGGGAAAAAAGAAAAGAATGGAGGAGTTTTGAAAGAGCAAATAGAACTGTAAATTATTTGGGAGAGTATAAATGTGAAGGGAAAAGAATATAAAAGAGAAAAAAAAAATACGTAAATCAGTTTTTCTCCCTCCAATGGAAGAGATTTTTAGATGGAAAGTTTATTAAACGACACGTGAATAGAAATTGCTTTTTGTGTCCTCATTTTTAAACTAAAATAGTATCAAATAATTGCAAAAATGATAATTTAATTTAACTCGCATTTTCATAAAAGAAAAACCAGCTTCCCATTGTTCGATTTTTTTTTTCTTTTTTTCCCCTAGTATCCTCCTACCAAACAGAACATAAAACGGGCGCATCTAGTTAATGACCGTATTTAAAACGTGCATGTTAAAAGCCATTGTTGATTAACAAGTATAATAAATATAGAGAAAGAGATGAGTAATAAATTTTCACGTGATTTAGAACTTGATCAGATATTTTTTTAGGCTTTCCGTACCAAGGAATCGGTTCATTTTAGTTGGGAGACATGGCTGGATAGCTTGCTGAAAATTTATTATTTTCTTATTAAGGTTTAATTAGTTTAATGATCACATATTATGAGGTTATAGACTTTTCTCTTATTTATAATTATAATCCACCTTGTATTAATAGTTGAAAGTTCATTGACAAATTATACATACTATTAAAGGAGGCACTCGGTTTACCGTTTTGTCTTCAGTTTCTTATTTATTCAGTTGTTTTTTGTTGGGCTTTTTAGTCATTTTCGTTGCCCTACAATTACCGCGTTGTTTTGTTTCTCTGGTGTGAAAAGGATTGTGTAAGGCGAGATTTACCGTAAAATCCACGTGTCAAAACACAATTGGGCACCTTCTTAAATACGCTCCACGTGGCACAATACAGATCGCCAGATAGATAACGTCGCCACGTGGTGCAATTTTAAAAGTGAAGAAGAGCGCGCTCTCGTGAAATTGAAGCAGATGATCCCGTGCATTTCCTGTTGTGGCTGACAGCCTTACCACGTGTCATGCTTTAATTCGTCGGAAGAATCAAGCGGCAGGCCCTACCTCTAGTGTTGTTGACGACTTTGTCCCCTACCCCACTCTAGACGCGCATCTCCTTGCGCGTGCGGTTCACTCGCAAATCGCAGCCGCTGAATTTTTAGATCCAATGGCTTGTGATAAATCCCGAATTATTTTAAATTATTATTATTTATTATATTTAATGAATAATTTTTAATGGATTTGTAGATTGATTTTGTCTGTTTTAACACCATTTTGCGCAAAATTTCTGGTACAACTTAGATAAAAATATTATAAATAATCAAATTACATTAAAAAATACACAAAATAAAATAAAATCATGTCAAATTGAATTAACAAATAAATTAAACAAAATAGGTCCATACAGGCCTATCGGCCTGATCACTCCACTACCACTATAGACCCCCAAAAAATTTTCATTGTTAAAGCTCTGCCCCATATATCGCACCGCGAGCTCTTTGAGCCGGACCAAACAGAGTTCGGGTCATCGTACTTTGACACGTTTCTTTTATACCTTTTTGTTTCTTTCATTTTTAAACAATTTACATATTACTTATTTTGAATAGATCACGTGCGTTACTTGGAATCATTCTTTTTTTCTTAATTATTATTATTTATTATGTTTATTTATTTTTAAACAATTTACATATTACTTATTTTGAATAGATCACGTGTGTTACTTAGAATCATTTTTTTTTCTTAATTATTATTATTTATTATGTTTATTTATTTTTAAGTGAATATATATATATATGTATACATATGTAATACAATTACGATATGTAAAATTAATTTTATCTTTTATCGTCATTTGTTTTAACCTTTGAATATCATTTTCATACGCTGTTTTTTTTTTTTTTTTTTTTTTTTTTTTTTTTTTCATTTTACAATGTAATCGCTTCTTTGTAACTAATTATTATATTATAGTATCTAATCTTTATCATAAACAAACACCCGTGCAACAATACGGATATCTCACTAGTTGCAGACTAAATAGAGTTCAATAAGTGAAGCGTAGTCTTCAGCTTATGTCGTTTCAAGAAAAACAAAGAAAAAGGCGTAAAGGGGCATCTTTTAAAGTAACGTTCCTACTTGAAAAAGGGGTGCTCCATATATGACCAATAATATTGGTTTGTGCCGATAAAAAAAAAAAAAAAATATTGGTTTGAGAACTTTGAAAGTAAATTCCGAAATGCTTAACCCCAAAGCAATTATATAATTCACAATACCGATCGAAAGTAGATTTTCGTACAGTAGCTAGAAAAGCCAGTGCTTCATTATCAGTCCAAAATATAACATCTACATTAATCGAATCTGTCACTTTTAGATTTCCTCTAATATTGTATTTCCTTTATGCTTTTGTGCAGCTACCCGGTTACAAGTTGAGAAAATAATTAATTTAGTTTTTCTTCTTTTTCTTTCCCAAAAAGAAAAAAAAAATGTCTCTTCGACGTCTTCAGATTTCAGCCGAAACGGCTACTTAATAATTTATTAAGATCATAGACGGAATAAAAAGAAATCTAACTTATACTTCCGTCGAAATTACAATTCAATATATTCGAGAAGCTAATTATGATTTTTAATCTCATAGCATACATTAATAAAAATCGATTCCTAAACATTACATGAGAGAAGGCAACTACCACTAGTGGTAGAGAAAATGTAATACTTCCAACCATAAAACTCTGATGTGTCTAAATTAGTTCAAATCCCCACTATTTTTTTTTAAATAAATTAAAAACATTAATAAGAACAAACAATTTTATGATTCCAAAAAGCTGACTATAATTACTATCTACTTGTAAAACAGTTCTTTAAGTGCTTACGGATATATATCACAAAAATATGCACACATCATTTAATTTCTTATTAACCTTTGCAGTCAGTCAGAAACTTGGACAAAACAAAATCTTCAATCTCGAGTAAGATTTTGAGTTTTAAGCTTGTAATTTTTTTTTTTTTATTTTAAAAAGAACTATGTTAAGAAGATTGATAAACCAAAAACAGAAAAGAAAGAAGATGAGAACAATACTTTAGCATTAAAGCAAAGCCAACCACACCTCTTTTTCCTCCCCTCTTTCAATCCATTTGTCCCGGCCAAAGATTCTTCTTCTACCTCTTTTAACCTTTTCCTTCCATAAACACTCGTCACCTCCACTTACCACTTCCACCACCCCCACCTCCTACTTTCCTTCTTCTTTCCTTTCCCTTCCTCCTTTTCCACACATATACACATATACATACATATATATATATATCTTCTTTCCAGGCAGAGGATCAACAAGACGCCCCATCAGAAGAACCCCACAACCACCTCGGCAAAATGACCCACAACGACAAAGAATTCCGCTGCAGCCACCAACAGGGGCCGGCCAGCTACGCCCGCCGCGCCGTCTGCACGTGCCTGACCGTCTTCCTCCTCCTCGCGGGCGTCACCGTCCTCGTCTTATGGCTCGTCTACCGCCCCCACAAGCCGCGCTTCGCAGTCGCGGGCGCCGCCATCTACAACTTCAACGTCTCGTCGTCGCTTCCACCGCAAGTCTGCGCCACCATGCAGTTCACCATCGTGACGCGCAACCCCAACCGGCGGGTCACCATCTACTACGACCGGCTGGCCGCCTTTGTGGCGTACCGGAACCAGGGGATAACGCCGCAGGTGATGCTGCCGCCGCTGGTCCACGGGCGGCGGAGCACGGTGGCAATGTCACCGGTGCTAGGCGGGGGGCAGGCGGTGCCGGTGGCGGTGGAGGTGGTTAACGGGCTGGCGGTGGACGAGGCGTATGGGGTGGTGGGGCTGAGGGTGGTGCTGCTTGGCAGGCTGAGGTGGAAGACTGGGGTGGTGAAAACAGGACATTATGGGATTTATGTTAAGTGTGATGTTTTGGTTGGTTTGAAGAAAGGTGTTGTGGGTCAAGTTCCTTTGCTTGGATCTCCTGTTGGTTGTAAAGTTGATATATGAGGATCGGTTTAATTGATTTAGGTGAGAATGAATTAAAGCTTCTTTTACTTGATGTTTGATTATCTGTAAAACTGAGGATCAAGTAGTAGATAATATGGAAGTTTAGAGTAGTTGATGAGATCAAATATTATCATGCATGTTCAACTGAACAAATTAAAGATAATATGAAGATTAGTTTCTTATTTCCTTTTCTTCTTCTTCTTCTTCCTCTATGCTCAGAACTCTCTCTCCCCTAGCTCATAACTATCTGCCATTTTTCTCCTCATTTTTTTTTAATTTCAAGTTATTATGGTTTTTGGCGTTATAATTATATATTTATGGTTGGGATCAACTTTTAGTGTTGCCACCAGGCTTCAAAAGTCGTAATAGTTGAGACGCATGGCCTTTGAATGCGGCCAAAAACCGTATCTATCATTAGAATTAACAATATTTAAATAAAGCCGATCACGAACCATCTTTTATCAGAAGAATCGAGGACGAATTTAGCAGTAGTACTAGTTTTTAGCGGTGGCAAATAGTAAAACAGATTGACATATCATGGTTGTTAGCGGTAATTCCACGTCTAATTTCAATTTAAACTTCCACACGATCATATCAATAAGTTTGTTATTATTAATGAGAAAAGAGAGATTAAAGATATATCAATAGCTGGTCAGAAGGCTTGGTGGATTTATTAGGAAAGAAGTTACGTGAGGGTGGATCATGACACCATTTAGGGCATTTTTAGAAATAGCATTACTTGGCGTGTTGATTGACGGCCAATATTTATGATTCTGTAATGTTTCCCTTACTACCAGTGCTGGTGAAAATCCAGTGCCTCAAAATTGGAAGGAAAAAGAAACGAGAAAAAGAAAAAGAAAAAAAAAGGAGCCACAAATACGTCATGATTGTTAAGAAATAACAAATTTTATATTTGTTCCCGTGGAAATCTTTTGACTTTATACGCTCACTTGGAAAGTAGCCAATGTGCTCCTTTTTTAATTTTTTTAATCTAATTTAATGAGCCAATTGTAATAAATATATAATAGGGAGTTCTCTGATAGAAAATAAATAAATTACTTGTAGTTTTATTATAATGTGATTTTAATCATATTTAATGATTAGAGACTGATACTGTTAATAGAAAGCCTACAAGAGAAAGACTCTAATATATATAAAGTATAGTTTGGAGATTTCATCATTCATTTTAGCATCTATCATTTAAGACCGATCGCACTTGTAAAAATAAGTGTTACAGTACGGTCTAAATTAAAATCCTCTATTAAAATCCTCTCGTAGTATTGAGCCCTTGCGTACATATCCTAGGTCGCAATCAATGCTTTTTTAGACGTTTTAATAGGTTTCAATTATAAAAAAGACATTATAATAAGATACTTCTACCGTTAAATTTCCAATATATAAATTTACCAAAAAAATTTCTTATATATAAAATGCAGCAGGCATATTGATTTTGAGGTATCATCGCGTTTTGTATTTTAGACATAGAGCTTTGAAAGTGCCCTAATGATACATTCATTTGGAGTGTATATATATAAGAATGAGAGCTTTTTTAATAGGACTGGAATAAATAAATTACGAGTGATTTTTATTTTTTAACTGTTAAATCTGTATTAAAAATTATTTATTTTAATATTTTTTAAAATTTGTGTGATTTTGATTAAATTTACTATTGGTAAGAATATCTGCAAGAGAAAATCAAGTATTGGGATTTTGATGAATTCCTTTCTATTAAAAAAAAAAAAGGAATTGGGGTTTGGTTCTTCTGCCATAAGAAAAGTAAAGGGCAATTGGGAGAATCCCAATAATGGGCATATAGCATCTTTCTCGCAATCAATGCAGAAATTCTCATTGTCTAGTCGATGTATAAGGAATCGGATTCATTTATTAAAATCTTGTTAAGAAATCAACTCATAGAACTTGCCTTTTGGCAAATCAAGATTAATTAATCTATGAGTTTGTGGGTCAATGGTTTCGAGAGCCTAAACCATTAATGGGAAAGCTCAAGGGAAAGTTTTGGGGTCTCTTATATGACTAGGTGGGCTACAATATTTACTATCGGAGTATAAAAATGTTTAAATGGATTACATATTTTCAAAGCGAATTTGAGTACATAGATTTGATGTAAAAGATGATATCCTTTAAGTAGCATTTCTAAATCTCTACTTTTATTTTAAGTGAAGGCTTCTAAACACACACAAAAAAGGTGTGAGGATGAGAAACTTTAAGAAGACATAAAATGGAGGAGAGAGAGGATTTTGATTCCCATGGTTTGCTTTTCTTTGAAAACTTTTATGCATAAAGATTCTCATCGGATCCGAGACTTGGTTACTATCAAACAAATGATCATTTATTGAGTATTTAGTATGAGGATTCGTGTTATAATTCATGACTCGCTATAGTGTTTTCTCTCATAAAAAATACACGTAAATTGAAAATGATTCTGAATTATAATTCTGAATCCATAAACTAAATGTTACATTAGGTTGCATAATTTCCTTCGGAAAACATTGGACTGGAATAGTCATTATAAATCTTGTAACGAAGACAACTCATTCCATTGTGGTTTACCATTTAACTGAAACAACACATTCCATTGTTTCAAACCCTATGTTGTCATGGCTCCAGTAAGGACTATTGGTGCACGTGTTTCCACTGAAAAAAACCATATATTTTTAAAAAAAAATTTTCGGTACGTTAATATATCGGTAGTTTAAATTTTTTATCAGTCGCATAAAATTACGTAAAAGTTAAAAAATACGCAGATTAATAGTTAAAAAAAATTGACTTACCAATACGCTAGGCATACCATAAAATCTCATTTTCAAAACCTTTTACCATTTATCTCCATTCAGTTGTTCTTCTTGCTCTAATTTTTTTTTTTACTTGTTTGTTTTCCCTTTCTTATAATTTCCTAAGGCTTTTCGACTTGTACTCATCAGGCATTGTACAATTAACTACATATCCTTCTTTCCGTTTTTAAGTTTTTCCTTTTTTTTCTTTAGTTTTTTTATGGTTTGTTGCTATTGTTGATACGTTTTCTTCTCTTCTTCCTTTCCTTTTCTTTATACAATTTCAGCCTCAATATTCAGTCAAAAAACAAGAATAGATATAAATTGTAGTCAACATTACGTATTTACTCTTGCCACTCGTTTTCTTTTTTCTCATTCCCTTTCCTCTCACTTTCATCATTAACCGTTTTCTTCTTAACTTTAATTGCACCATTTTTTTTTTTCTGAAATTTATTTGCACTTGCTTTCCAAAATTTATTGCCTTAACTATCATTGAGACATAATACTAAGAAATAAAATTCCTTATTGCACATCAATTTATATTACTAAGACATATTAGAAGTACTTTAACCTATTTTCTTATTATTTTAATGGCATATTCACACCCATGCGTCGTGAACTTTGCAATCGCCTGTATTTTTTTCCCACGAATTTTAAAGTTCTCACCATACTACTTCATAACTTAAAATATTTTCTCCCAGTTTACTCCATCTTTCGTCAAAACTAAACAAAAAAATAGCACGAGCACTCACTTGGGGATCCGTGGAGGTAAAATCATAATTGAATATTAAATTATTCACATCATACTCCTGAACTCTAAAGTCACCTCTAGTTTGCCCCCAGAAATTTAGGTTCACCAACACTTTGTCTATTAAACTTTAAAAATTCTCATTGTACTGTCCCAAACTTTGAATTTTCTGTAGTTTAAAAAGTATAGTGTTGAATAATGAAGGGAGTTCTCTGGTAGTTCGTCTTACCGGTAGTCCTAATTTTTGACTGTTGAATCTGATCAAAATAACATTAGATTGAAAAGTATGCAGAGAGTAGACAGATTCTGATACATATATGATAGCTGAAAAGTGAGTGACTACTGGTAGTCTATTTTTGCAAGAACTACCAGAGAAAGTCCCAATAATAAAATATGGCGGGAACTTTTCCCTATGTTTGGTTTAGCTATTGAATCAAACAATTCAATTTAAAGTGTGTCTAAAAGTTTAAATTATTGTTTGTTTTACAAATAAAGATATACCATTCAAATCATCAACTACGATTCAAAGGCTGATTTTCAAATTCAAACCCCCCTAAAATCACAATCTGGATTGTTGACAATAGTTCAAACACAAATATTTTTTGTTCTTTTCTCTCTCTTCAACTTCAAGTTTAAAAATGTCATAACTTTTTCGGTCAATTCTAATTGAGATTATTCTTTTTCCTATATGTTCATAATGAAGAGAGCAACAAATCCTCGTGCATATTGTATATTTTAATATGTCTTTTGCAATTAGGTTTTAAAATATTTATTACAAAACTCTAATGACAGTTTTCAACACCATACTCAAACAAAATTCAGATTTTATTCTCAATTTAAATTACAATTTATTTGTATATCCAAATGCCAGCTTGAATCGTAATTCAAATCATCACAATTCATATTTACAATTCAAGCCAAATAATTACAATTCAAACGGCAAACCAAACAAGGCCTATGTTCAGTGATCAAAGTGGGAGAGACCCCAAATTTTAGGGATTATGGGTATGAATAATCTTATTTTAATTCATGAATTTTGTCCTTATATTTATAGGGTTTTTTTTAGCACAGATGCCCCCTAAATTTATCGTGGGTTAGCAAATTGTACTCAAACTTTTAATTTGACAATAAACCTCCCAAACTTGTAAAATTGTTATAATGTCAATGTGTCTCATTTTACTAAATTTGTTCATATTTTTTATTAGGTTTAAGGGATTAAAAGTTGAAAAATTGAAATATTTGTGTTACATTTAAATAGGAATGTTAGACTTTTTTTGTCGAACGTGATTTTTTTATATTAATATGATAATTTTATAAGTTAAGTAGATAAGTCAAAATTAAAAGTCTTAAATTGTTAAAACTATACAAATTCAGGAGGCAAATGTATAAAATAACCTACTGAAATCAAATCCTTGATGTGACACTGGTTGAACCTCATTAAATTTTTATGTTCATCAGTTCCGCCTTTTATTTTATCTTTAATTTTTAATACAAACAACATGAAGCATTCATGTTTTCTTTTTCAACGGAGAATCAAATAGAGTAGGTTTGAACATATGAGAAGAGACAAGGTCCTCAAATGTTGCAATGTAATAACATATTCATGCACAGTTGGCGAATGCGTCACTTTTAACTACATATTATAAATATATTAAAGGAGAGTTGGGGTTTACTGTTCACACAGACACAATTCATTGTTCCTTCTACAGTGAAATGACCATTTTGCCCTCGATTTATTATCTGGCGCAGGGGTGGTTTAGTCTTTTAACTTGCAATATACTAACAATAAATAAGACCTAGCATAGGACACTAACTAAGCTAAAAATAATAATAAAATAAAACGTTATGCCCATAAAAAGTTTTTTTTTTTTTTTTTTTTAATGTTTTCCCACGATTGAATTGTCCATGCATGTTTGTTACATTCACTTGGATTATTATTTATTTTTTTTGGCCCGTTCGTTTTCAATTATTTCTCTCTCTTGATTTGTTGGGTTATTTCCCCTTACACGTCTAGATTTGATAATGCATTGAAAGCTTTACTTCAACTACTGCGGTGCAAGGTTTGACCAAGTTTTTGGAGTTGGGTCAGAGCTGTGAAGTTCTGGTGAGACTATTTATAAGGAATTTTAGGAGTGTCAAATTGCTTATTAATCTCTTCAAAGCAACAAAAACTAGCAAAATTACTGTGAAAGAAAATAGAGATATCAGTATATACGATTCAAGCGTACGCCTCGGTATTAAGCAGACCACGAATATTTATTGGTAGGACAACACATTTAAACAGATGCTTTTTTTTATTTTTTTTTAATTCCCTTGCAATCGTGTTCAATGTAATTATTGTTGAACAATTTTCTGTTTTTGATTTATAAATTGAGTACTTTGCTATGGATTTAGGTTTTAGATAAAAATATGTCCGTTCCTTTAATTGATAATAGACTTGGGGTTTGGGAATATTCCCATATTATTCACTCAAAAGTCAAAACAGGGCTATGTACTGTTTCAATTTTCAAGTCTATTGCTGGAAAATTAGATTTACGTTTATATTTGTTAACCTTTTTTCTTTTTTGGGGTTTGTTTTCTAGTAGTTAACTCAATTTGTAATCTCTCATATCCTCTGAAATTTCCCAGTTCTGCTTGATTATTGTCAATGGAGTAGCTTTAATTAGGCATTGAATCGTAGAGTTTTAACTCATAGTCATAATCTTACCCCCTGATAATGATGATCTTTAGCCAAACTCATAATTTTCCTAAATTTTGGCCAATATTAAATCTCCTTATTTTTTTTTCTTTTTAATATTCTCAAGTTTCCCTGCGTTAGATTACAATTAAAAAAAAAAAAAAAGAATGGAACTACTGAATGAACTAATTCCAATTGTTAGAGCACTGTGTTGGTATTCTGTTAATTAACATGATTCCCCATGTTGACTGATTTGAGCAGGAATTGGTATTGGATTTTTTTCCTTCTTTTTTTGCTCTAATTTTTCAATATTTGATCAGAGAGTATAGTTGTTTACATCATTTTAAAGACTTGGACTGATGCAGAATTATATATCAAGAATTTAATCAAAATCATTCATCTATTTGAGCTTGAAGTGTCCAACCATGTTGCTGTTTTCCACACTCCTAGCCTTATGCATTCACTTCTGTTCCATGTGTTGTTATGTATGAAAATCTTTCAGATGGAAGTGAAAAATTCTTCACACGGGCACATTATTGAGATCAGAGCGGATGTTTCGTATGGAGAGGGAACCAGTGGAGGGGCTATTAAAATTTGCGGAGAAGCGCCGTGTGGACTGTCTGATGTGGGATCCTACTCCAAGGATGCAAAAGAACGGTCAGCTTCGATGCGGAAGCTGCTAATCGCGGTCTCACTTTGCCTTGTGTTCATGAGTGTTGAAGTAGTTGGTGGGATCAAAGCCAACAGTTTAGCTATCTTAACAGATGCAGCTCATTTGCTGTCGGATGTTGCAGCCTTTGCAATCTCATTGTTTTCCTTGTGGGCCGCTGGCTGGGACGCCACTCCTCGCCAGTCATACGGGTTTTTCAGGGTGGAAATTCTCGGCACGCTCATCTCCATCCAGCTCATATGGTTGCTTGCTGGGATATTGGTTTATGAAGCCATTGTCAGACTCATTCATGAGACGTCTGAAGTGAATGGCTTTCTAATGTTCATCGTTGCGGCATTTGGACTAGTTGTTAATGTCATTATGGTGCTATTGCTAGGCCATGATCATGGCCATGGACATGGCGAACATGACCATGGTGTCGGCCATAGTCATGGACTCACAGTTTCTTCTCATCATCCTCATCAGGAGGAACACGCAAAGGATGATCAGCCTGATCATGCTCATGAAGATCATTCGCACCATCATGATTGCGAAGAAGATCATGTTGAGCCATTGTTGGATAAACCGAAGCGAAGGAACATAAACGTCCAAGGAGCTTATCTCCATGTGATAGGGGATTCAATCCAGAGCATTGGGGTAATGATTGGTGGGGGAATCATATGGTACAAGCCGCAATGGAAGATAGTCGATTTGATCTGCACACTAGTATTTTCAGTCCTTGTTTTGGGGACAACAATCAAGATGCTGAGGAGCATACTTGAAGTCCTGATGGAGAGCACGCCTAGAGAAATCGACGCCACGAAACTCGAACAAGGGCTGATAGAGATGGAAGAAGTTGTGGCCATTCATGAGCTGCATATATGGGCCATAACAGTGGGGAAGATCCTTCTTGCTTGCCATGTCAAGATCAGACCAGAAGCTAATGCAGACGTGGTGCTGGACAATGTTATAGATTATATCAGAAGGGAGTATAACATCAGTCATGTTACTATACAAATTGAGCGTTAGAGGGCTCTCCACTGATTTCTCTAGGTGTCACAATTTGATGTATTTAAGTGCAATTCTTTGCAACATTATGTTTTTCATGTTCTGTGAATTTTGTCTCGAATTAAGGGCACACATATGTGCCACTAAGTGTGTATGTGTGTGTATATATAGACACTCAAACAATCTATGATAATAGGGGTCTTGACTTTCTGTTTGCATCTCATTTTTCGACTTTTGCTTAGCAAAAGGGGAATAATCGCACCTGAAAAAAAAAAATCTGGTATGTTTTCTACGTCAGCTCACATCAAAATTATATTAGCGCTTAGGATTAGATAGTATGCATATATGATGATTCGAATTATGAAGGAGATATATTCTCTTATAAGCGCACCATATCAGCAAGACAATTTTTGATAGTACCCTTCTATGTCCCACTTTTTTGGTACCAAAATGGATTAAATTAGATAAAAGAATGAGCAAATGAAAAATTACGATCCATGATACTCTCTTAAACCGTCATATTAATTATGTCAATTTTACATTTCCTTTTTAATTTTATGGTAATTTTGACCGTAATTCAAATATATATATATATATATATACCTTAAAAGCTCTATAAAAGAAAAAGTTGTCAGCTAAACCAAAGAAAAAGCAGTATAAAACTCTACAAAATTAAATGTGGAGAAGTCGCACATTGGAGTAGAAATAAATTTTATGCTCATAACAGTTAAGCCTTAAATGGCCCTTTTTAAGTAGCTATTTACATTTTAGGAATTTAATTTTAAATTAGATTTAACTTTTAAGATCGATATTTAAAAATGATCGAAGAATTATAGACTTGTCTAATGAAGGTTATCTGCGACAAGGTTTTGGTTCTTAAGTTGGCTTTGTTTTTTATGGCTTTCTTTTCTTGTACAAGAAATTAATGAAATCATTCTATAAAATTATGTTTTTACTTCGTCTATTTTTTTTTTTTTTATCGTTGATAAAATTGAATCAAAACATTGCATTGCCTTCGATAGTTCAATTAGAGGTCTGGTTTGCCAAGTTTAAATAGTCAATAGACACACAAACAATTAATAATAATTGGGTTAATGAGAAAAAGGCCCACTTTTAAAAACCCACACAATAGAAAAATTACTCTTACTTCACTAATTCGAGTTTAGAATTCAAGTTTTACTATAATAAAAAGCTTTTATAAACAATCACATTTAACTTTTTTGCTATAATAAAAAACTCTCACAACTCGAATAAGCGAACTTAACGGTTATTTATTTCAAACATTTCGTTTCGGATTTTTAAATACCCTACAATAACCTAATATTTATTCTTTATTCTTCTAATCTCTCCCTATTCCACCACTTTCCTCATACACTAGCATGTACACGGACTACGGAGGGAGGTGGAGTCCCTCCCCACTGAACTTTTTTTTTTTTTTTTATTAAAGACGTATATAATTATGTAATTTATTAGATTAATTTACACCTAGTCCCAACTAATTATTTACAAATTTAATCTCATTATCTTATTCTTATCATATTTTTAATTATTAGCCCCACCCACTAACAAACGTTTTCGGCTCCATTACTGCTGCTTATATTCTATCTCCCTTGCCAGCCGCTAAACATCTCCACCGGACCCCTTGTCTCGCCACCGTGCTCCGGACAAACCTTGTCGTTGTGCCACCAATCTCCTTCATTCGTGATGTCTCCATTCTACCCTAGCGACGCTTTCGCCTTCACCGATGTTGTTTTGCTTAAGACCCTAGATAAAACAGAGAAGAAAAGGGGACTAAATAATACCAATTGTTTTTTATTTACGTAGCATGCAATAAAATTCCAATAACTATACATTTATATAATCCGATCTCTCACTATCTTTGTTCGTTTTAAAAAATTTGATATCCTACCAGAATACTCCACGAAAATAGAAGTAGAAGATGTTCAGTCGTCTTTATCAAAAAGAAAATAATAATAATAATAATAATTTAGTAGGATATAAAAAATATATCACCGGGATATTTCTAGTGAATTGAGTAGCATAGATATTAGGTGACATAAATGTAAAAATGACCTCTTTAAGTGCTATTTTTGTATTTCTCCTTTTTATTTATTGAAATTAAGGGTAATATAGACATTTGTCCTATTCTTTTCACAATTCAAATCATAACTCAAATACATTGTTATAGTTTTTTTTTTCATTATATTCCACAAAACAAACTGGCCCATTATGACTCAAAAAAATAATGGGTGTCAGAAAGGAAAATTTATTTTTAGAGTACATGAGTTTGTATTTTTACCCTTAACTCTTAATTAATATTTTTTTGACTAAGATAATTATTTGACTGAAAAAGATATTAATCAAGAAAATAAGTAAATATCTAGACTCATGAACGCCGTTATTTGCCTCTTTTTTCCGAGGAAAATAGAAAACCGTATAAATCCTTAGTCAGACTCTGAAAATTGACATAGAGACTAATTTTCTCATAATAAGAGAGGTCAAAACTGCTTATTCCAAAAATAATAATAATAAATAAAATAAAATAAAACAGAGGTCTCGACCTTGTAGAGCTGTTTGCATCCTGTTCTTGAACTTTTTGCTTGGTAAGAAGGGAAAAATCATACAACAAATCCTTACTAGTATAATGTATTTTCAAAGCATCACAATTATATTAGCAGATCAGTAAGTATGCAATATGGTGACTTATGATAGAGATCTACCGGCTTAAAAATGCATCATTTCTGCATTTTGCTTTAATAAATATTTTTGCTTCCTTTCCTTTCATTTTGGTCAGTCTTAAGAAGGGCCTTGTAGTTGGCTTTAAGATACTACTTAGCTCCTAAATTCCTAAATGGGTCAAAGACCTGGTCATGCAAATAGTTGCAAAGGCATGGAAGCCTGCTTAATCTGGACCTAAAGATAAAAGAGAAGGAAAAAAAAAAAAAAAGAGAAAATTGCTAAATTTACTTTCGGATTGCATGAGTCTAAATATTTATATTTTAATCTTAATTAATACTTATTTATTAATATAGTTATTTAATTAAAAATATTATTTAAAAATAAGAGGTAAAAATTTAAATTCATAAGAGGTATTTATCTTTTTTTTTTTTTTTTTTTTAAGAAAATACTAGGTCAATTGCAGTACACTTGGCCTCTCGAAACTCCAAGTGTGTTATGCAGTAAATGTAACAGCTTGTGGATATGGGGTTCCATTTGGGTACGTGATAGTTAGAGAATCTATCTACTCTCCAAGGGTGAAATTTGATAAACTATAAAAGTGGTTGAGATTTTCTTCCACTTTTGTCTTTCTATGTCAAAATCCTTGGTGACCCAGCTGGAAGGTAAAAGTAGCTCTTCCTTCTTTTAACTGTCTCACTGTAAATGCAAAGACAGGATCAGTTTTCTAGCTTTTTTTTGTTGGAGATTAGAGGAATAATCCTTATCATGTTTGTTAAGAGGCCTAGAACTTCCGAAACATGTTTGCCAACTAATGAGAAAAGTGTAGAACTACCTTATTATGGTAGTCACCTTTCTATTCTGACCTTTTTCAATCATATAACTTTTTTTAAAAAAAGAAAAAGATGAAATAAAGGGACAATATATTAATTTCAAGTTGAATTTTAAGGACCGATTTAAAAAAAAATTCTTGACAAAATTTTTGTAAATATCCGGAAACAGTCGTTTGATAAGTTATCTACCTGTGTGTTGGTTGTGATACCAATGAGAATCAGGGGCGTTTGCCACGTTTAAGACAAGGGTCTACACTTGGCATATATATACTCACCTGGAAATTGTCGTTTTTGTTTCATGTTTGAGAGGTTTTTAATATATAGAAAAACGCATGCATATGGAGACGGGTTTTGTCACTGTACTCAGCTATTTATCTGTGGCAAATTTCATTTCATTAAATAGGAAGAGATTATTGGTATGGTTAATGGATTCGTCACACATGTTCTTTGTTCCTGTTTTTTTTTTTTTTTTTCACGCCTAATAATTAAAATAAAATTAAATATATCACGTCAATTAAAATATCACATCACTTAAATTAAAAAATTAAATTAGTAAAAATATCTTATTTCAATACACGTATAATTATTGAGGGACAAGAAAAAAGATAAAAATAAAATAAAATAATGAATCCAAGGCCAATTGATCATCTGACCATATAAATTTTTGGCGCTATGTATTTGTATGATAGATTGTAACTGACAGCTATAGAAATTTTTTTTTTATGGCATATTGAGACCTATCTTTCTCAAACAGATGATATGGCTTTCCATCTTAGTTCGATGGATCCTTCTAATCAAGCTAAAAATAATAATAATAATAATAATAATAAATCAGAAAATTAAAATGCATAAAAATTGTACCACCTTTAGGTGTACATCAACTGACATCAAGATTTGGGGTCTACCACACCCAGTTTCCAGAGTGTTAAGTCACAAGCCTGAAAATAAGTGAGATATTGGTGGTTTCAACTCTCTCTCTCTCTCTCTCTCTCTCTCTCTCTCTCTCTCTCCGTTTACCTGAATATCTGCGGGCAGTTTCGTCATCGAATTCAGTCGGTGGAAAATTAACTCATCGTATTTTTATCCTTTAGGTTTGGTGAGTGAATCAAAACTACGTATGAAAGCAACCTTGGTACACATACGACATTGATGTGGCAGTTCGATTAATTAAAAAGCCAAAAAAAAAAAAAAAAAAAAAAAAAAAAAAAAAAAAAAAATAAGAAATAAAAAGGGCAAAAACTCACCGATTTGGAACTTGGTGAGCATTGTCACGAGATAAGGATAAGATTTTTCTCAAAAGTCTTCTCCTCGGCTAAAATGAGATAGACGATTTTTAACTGTTCCCAATAAGGTTCTACCACGTATAGTATACGGCAGTATATATGACTCTGAGCCACAACCAGTTCCTTTTGGATATGGCTGGTCGAGAGACCTTATTGTCCTGTGTTGTCTTGCTAATCTTTCTTCCCCATGTGCACTCTAATAATGCACAATTGGAGGCGCACTTGCCCTGGAAAACAACTAAAGTCGTCCATGAAATTACATTACTTTCTTTGTACGTTTCTTTCAAAACTCAAAACGACGGTTTAGTACCTTCTAATTAGAAATATAACTACCATCCTTTATCTTTAGGCAAAGTCTTGAGTTGGATATATATATATATATATATATATATTAATGTTAT